CTGGATGAAGTCGAGGGACTCCCCAATGTGTCGATCGAAGGGACCATGGCAAACTGGAGCTGACCTTACCATATATACACGAGGTACTCGGTAAACTGTACCACCAGGAGTAGGATAAGAGGAGTCTTTGCAGCCCTGCTGATGTTTATTACCTACGCCTGTTGAGTTCAGCCGAAACTCTCCTTCTTTTCCTCACTGCCGAGAGATATTTTGGGTCGAGCCGAGCAGCGCCACCGAAGGTCCGGACGAGCCTAGAGCCAGAGCCACGACCCGATCGGCTGAAGCTAAAGGGGATTAACTTTGCGTCCAGCACCGCCATCAAATTTGAACGGGAGCCTTTTATGGCTGGCTGAAAAAACGGCCCAGAACAGTTCTCGACACTCCCTTTTGGGGGTTGAGTGAAACATTCTCCTGCTTGTACCGATTGCAAGCGACAAACACAATGTCCCCATTCGCTTGCCTGGCACATCACAGGCCACGCGAAAGTGTCCACCACGTTCGCTTATATTCGTAAATCGCTAGTTCGAGATATGGAGGCTCCGCAGGGTGAGTGGATTTTGTGGAAGCTCCGAAAAGGTCTCCTTCAAAAAGGGAGAGTCATCGAATATACAGTCTCGTTGCTCGACCTCGTTGAGTCCAATTGCTCTCCCATATTGCCGCTAGAAGAAAAGCTGGCAACATGGAGACGTCAAAGCAGGGCGACAGTGTCGTCGTCGTCGAATCTACCGAACTGCCCTCCTCGTCACATTCGCAGCAACCAATCAACCCAGAAAAGCAGGCCGAAATCCCTGTCCCCGTTGCCTCGTCATGGCCCAAAGAACCAGTGCCCCTTGTACCCGACACCAAAAACCGACTGTTTATGGGGCTGTACGATGGCGTCCTCCTGGCCGTGCCGCTGATATTGGTCGCCAAAATAGGTCTGGTGATTGGGGCGTGGAAACTGGACCGACGACACCGTGGCGACGAGGTCGACCTGGTCAGCGGGCTGACGACGTTCCTGATCGAGTTCAACGGCCAAATGACGACAGCGTTCACCATTGTCTTTGTCACCATCATCTCGACCCTGGTGCGGCGGTACGCACTGTGGAAAGCGCAGACGGGGGCGCGCATCGCAGACCTTGAACAGCTCCAGGGCAGTATCAGCCTGCCGAGCACAATCAAGCTGATCTGGTCTCTGCGCGCCTTCACCACCATGAGCGCCGCCCTGGTCGCCATCTGGTCCTTCTACTACCTGGGCAGTCAGGCCAGCAAGCAGGAATTCCAGCGCGTCGACTCGAAGCCTTATCACAAGATGACTGGGTACACGGCCAGCACGGGTCCGCTGTCGGGCTTCAGTCCCAATTACGACAACACCTATCTCGCCTTCAACATTGACGATCTAAACGCCGCTCTGATCACCGCCGTGGGTTTCACCAAGCCCGATTACAGCGCCGCCACCGCGATCCCCGAGGGCACCGACTCGATCGGGTCGGCCGTGTTGCCCGACCTCAACGCCATCCTGGACCAGGGCTTTTGGGTCAACAATGTCGGCTACGTGGCCCCTCATCCCGGGCGCCACGGCTGGGTCGACGTCGCGCACCAGTCCCAACTCAAGATGAATGACGACTACTCGGCCTTTGTCGGGCGGGCCACGTATTTCCAGCTGCTTAGTGACGGCTACGGGCCGATTGCCATCCAGATCAACGAGTTCTTGGGCGAGTACACCCTGCCGACAAGCTACATGGCTGTGAACTGCGGCCGGCCGACTATCCTCCCGTACAGCTCGTTCCCCAGTGGCACGTTCATGAACCAATCCGTGAGCTTCAACATGACGCAGCCCCGAGCGGACGCCCCGCGCGACACCCAGGGCCACCCGCTTCGCGAATTCGCACTGTCGACGCGCTGGATCCCGAACAATGACCACGGCATCGTCGAGCGCGGCAGCTCGCGGCAGCTATGCAACATCACGACCGTCAACGTCGAACTCAAAGTCCACTGCGGCGTGACGGGCTGTTTCCCCAAGAAGATGCGGTACGCGGCGAAGCACGCCAACCGACAGAACGCGACGTCGTTCGCCACGCCGTTCGACGACGACGTTTTTGCCGAGCGGTTCTTCAGCGCCCTCCTCCTCTCGCGCGGCGGGCAGCTCAACGTCTCGACGCCCACGGACGTCGGAGCGAGCCTGACGCTGGGGGTGGCGAACTTCCTCGGTGCGCCGCTCGACACGCTGGGCGTCGCCGCGGGCCAGGACAACTACGACGCGTTCCTCAACTCGCAGCTGCGCGGCCTCTCGCTGCCCCTCACGCAGTACTTCAACACATACTACATGCTCTCGCAGGCCGTGACGGGGGTGACGCCGACCTTTTCGGCCGACGACACGCAGTTCCAGCCCGTCCGGATTGACGGCGCCCTGTACGACCCGCACTACGCGATCCGGTGGCCGTGGATCGGCGTCGACTTTGCCGCGTGCGCGATTTTGTTAATTGCCTCGCTGGCCGCGTGCTGGCTGCGCGCGCACACCCTCGCGCCCGACATCTTCGGCTACGTGTCCTCCCTGACGCGGGACAACCCGCACGTCGCGCTGCCGGACAACGGCACCACGCTCAACGGGCTCGAGCGCGCCCGCCTCCTGCGCAATGTGCGCGTCAAGATCGGCGACGTTTCGCCGCCCGACGAGCCGTCCGGCAGGGTCGGCCTGGCGCAGGTGCACGGCCAGCCGGTCGCGAATCTCAAGCCCACCGTGGCTTATGTTTGATGACTCTTTTACACACACACACACACATATATATATATATCTCGTTGAAATATTTCAGTTCAATAATAAAGAAATGCATGCACGCATGTCGAAAAGGGAGATGAACCTCTCTCTTGTGGGAGATGTGCGTTGAATACATGTACACGGGTCGATATTACCTACCTACCTAAATATGTGCCTCGTAATCCCCCCTCTCGAATCCGCTCGGCGCCGGTGGACTTTTTTCGCTGACTATACTGACCAAGTATGCATTGCCCACTGCTTCCTGTCTTCAACTGTAGTTGGTACTTGAAGGTTTTTTTCCCCCGTGTTTTTTGTTTCTATCCCCCTTTTTTTTTGGTTCTTATCCAGATCTTTTCCGACTCCATGGGCAATGGACGGTTAGAAAACGAAAACGACGGGTATTTATCTACTCGGTACAAGTACACCATCATGTTGGCTAGCGGTAGGTGGGAGGGTCATGATGGGCCCCAACCGAACATTTCAACTGTGAAAAAGATTATGTACCGAGTACTGGTATCTCTGTCCATCCATCCAGTCACTGAGTCACCCCATCAGTGCCCACAACGAAATATCAAATATCTATCGGGGGGTTTCCTTAACTCACGCACTAACGCTATCGCCAACGTACACGTATTGATTGGACTGATCAGAAACATTTCTAGACTCTGACCACGCCCAATCGCATTTCCTCAGGGGCAGAATGCCTCTCTACGAACGACGTATCACAACGACGTATGACCTGGTCGAGTACGGGTATCGCATGAATGTGAACATAAATAGTCGCTATGACTGACTTGAGTGATTGATTGATTGGGTATATGCCCGTAAGGGATATCTATCCTTGGTCACGAACCCTGATGGTTCCCTGCATCGTCGAGGGTAAAGCCACGTTTGTAACGTGACCTGCCTCCGCCGTGAGTGTCGTGCTAACGAGCGCCATATTCTGAGGCCTGACCTTCAGGCTTCCTAGTGTCTGCACCTGTCTTCTAACGCCCTCCATTGTCCCCGACTGTCGTTACTCAATCATAAACACAGGATCGCCATGCCATGGCTTGTAGTTATTCAGAACTTGGTCTCTTTGTCCTTGACGGGAAAGTCCTTGCCAGTGGCCGATTTGTCTGCGGTGAGAGTCTCGTTGTTAGTTCACCGACATGTCAGGTCGCAGGCAGGTACGAGAAGTGGGCACTGACATTGATTCCGAATAAAGTCACTGATCTGCTCGTCTTTGGCTTGCTCAATGGCAGACTCGTTGTCTTGGGGGCCTTGCCCGAGGAACTTCTCCTGAACAAAGTCGACTCCTACCCGTCAAATGGTTTGGTTAGTATACCCCCATCACCAACAAGGGGTTCGTGAAATAATGCCTCACCCTTGTCGAGGTAATCCTCATTCTTCTCGCTCTCCTTTCCACCGCCAGCCGCAGAATTGAGCTTGTCACCCAGCCCGCCTAGGAAGTTACCACTGCCACTGCCACTGCCACTCCCAGAGGCCTTTTGCTGACTGCCACCCTCTTTCTGCTGTTGCTCATTGTTGCCGCCGGCGAAGCTGCTAAGCGCACCCTTGAGTTGATCCATGGTTGCAAGAATGGGAATGGCGAGGTTGGAATCGATCTAGAGATGAGTGAAATGGTCTGGAGATGCGAGTGTCAGGTTTGCACAACGGGAGATGAAGAAGAAAAAAAGGTTGGAGAGAAGAAAGAGAAATATAGAGGTTTATGGCTTCTTGGTGGGTCAAACGAGCGTCACCAAGTGAGCTGAAGGATACAGGTCACAGAATGCAGCCAAGCGGCTTGGTTGAGCAGGGCAAGGGAGCTGTACGAGTAGAGATGGTGTGGAACTGCGACACGAGCATCTAAGAGGCAGAAGCCCAGTAACTCAAGGTTGGACGATCAGTGGAGAGACACAAGGGAAAGCCACACCGACATGTTCTTGGTACCAAGATGCAGGCAAGCGGTGACTTTTGGTAAGGAGGAAGTGACAAAAGCAGCCACAGGGGGGGGGCATTGGGTGGTCGCAGTCAATGACGTCAACCTCAGCCGGATCGGATTAACTTATTCGGAATCGTTTCGGCTAGGCATCAATCTATTCGACTTTGTTTTGGAAGCGCTACTTTGCACAGCCACAGCCACCAGTTCCTCCTAGACCTGCATTCTACTTAGTCCCCAGGACATTGCAAGCTGAAAATGCTGCAAGCCACAGTTCAATGGACCACCATGTCATGCATCTCAGCTGCACTAAACTCCCATTGGCGTTGAGTCCCATCCTGACTATTCCCCCTTTGTCGCTGCATCATTTTCTTCTTGCTCCATCTCCTTCTCCCAATCCTCTACAACCTCTTGCTGCTGTGCTTTCTTCCGCAGCTTCTCCTCGTTCTCCTGCTTCTTCCTCTTGGCTTCAGCCAACCGACTGCCCAATACCGTGTATACTGGTCGTTGACCGACGGGCTTGACTTGAGGCGCTACAACAGGTGCTGCTCTCTTCGCCGCAACTTGAGACCATCCGTCCGTAAGTGACGGAATCGGTCTGCCTTGTTGCTGAAGAATCTTCGGCTCGAGGTCCGAGGTGTCGAATTGACAGAGGACAACCGATGCACCGAGGCCATGCTTTGTTACCTCGCCGGCAATCGTGGGCTGCAGACTTGTAAGAAGAGTGACCAGCTGTTCAGGAGTGTCAGAGGAGAGGGTGGGTAAAAGAGCTACGCCTTCATCGTTGGACAGAAAGATGATATCGAACTCCATGCTAGGGGCGGACTTCTTGATAAGAGGCCCCAGTTCGTCTTCGGTCAGTGCAAATCGGGGCTTGGTCAACAACAACCCGTTGTAGTCGTGCTTAACTTCGTCTGCTTTTCGATCCGGCGTCGATTGCACAGGAGCTGACACATTCAACTGTGCTCGCTTGATCCTGGCTGCCTGGGCTAGGGTTTTCATGGGAGCAGCGACAAATTTGGGAGTTTTGAATAAGACAACATGTCGATGCGGCTCTGGGTCCAGACTCTCCCCGTCCAACCCGAAATCTTCGGCAAGACTGTGGATGAAGGCTCGCTGCCGGCTTTTCATGGGTGGGAAGGGATATCTCTTCTCCTTCTCGTCCGCCGCGAAGAGCCGTAGGGTCTCTTCTTGCTTGTGAGCCCATGCCACATCTTCCAGGTACATGTTGAGAGTGGTGGTCGAGTACGGGACGTGCTCATCGGTGTGATCGTCAGGAATGTGAAGAGCCAGCGCTAGTTTGCGATTTCTCTCCAACCTGGCGCACTCATCGTCACACTTGAGCGACGTTTGTCGACCGGGAGGCTCAGGCACATTTGCCCGCGCATTGCACCTGACCTCCTCCTTCTTGCGTTGGCAGTCGCATGTAATCATGACTTTGAATGGACATGGCTTGTCCTCTTTGCACGTCGCAGGAGCGTGACAGGGCTGCTCACATGGATGCCCACAGGTCTTCTTCGTCTTGCCACACTCTTGCTGGCATTGTTGATGGGCATCTTCACATTCGCCTGGCTTGTGGCAGGTCTTTCGGCAGGCGTGGGACCCGCACTTCAGCGGCTTTCCGCAGACCAGCCCGCACAATACATCGGCCCTCCAGCACGGTTGGTTTTTCAGAGTCTTCTTGCCGCAGAGACATTGCTTTTCGGTGAGGAATGGACACTTGGGGCATTCCTCCTCATCCAAGTGGCAATTGTGCACAACCGGAGGGTGGCCACAATCTTTCACCCGGTTACACGGGAAATTACACGGCGGTGGACGAGTGCCGCATGGCAATGGCGCCTGAAGGATGGTCCTACCACAGCTGCAAGAAATATCGTCAAAGATGGCTTCCCTGCAGCTGCCGCATGGCCCACGATGGCAAAGATCTTGACAGACGTGGTTTCCACACTTCAGTTTGCGTCCGCATGGTCGGGTGCAAATGTGCTCTGCTTCGACATTCTCATCCAAAGCCCGCGTGACACTCCCCAACGGCTTGAGTTTCCGTTTGGTGGCTTGACGTTCAGATGCTTTGCGCTCTCCGGTGCAACATCGTTCACCACACTCGTGACGGCCACAGTTCAGAGTAGCCTTGCACAGTCGCGCGCACTTGGGTGGTTCCTCGTTCGCTTCGTGGCAGATGACGTCAAACGAATTGCGACCGCACCGACACGGTTTGGAGATTTTGAGCGTGCAGGGACTGCATACTCCAGAATGACAAATCTGCTTGCATTTGTGACCACATGATAACGATCTCCCGCATTCCTTTTCGCAGCTAGGGATTGGATCGGTGCAGAGTGTTCGAAGGCCGTTCTCGAGGTCTGCCAGAGGCGTTTTTCCACAGGGGCAGTGAGTAACGACGTCGACTGACTTCGGGCAATGCGGTATTGCCGCATCTTGGGGATGACAGAACTTTTCGCAGCGATGAACTCCGCAGTCCATAAGTCTGTCACATTGTTGACCACAATCGAAGAGGCCAATCCAGTCGCTGCTTGGCCTCTCCTCGCCACGGTCTTTGCATAATATATTTTTTTCCACTTTTCCACAGTAGCATCGCGCGGGAACCTCAATCGTACACGCGCCACAGAGACCCTGATGACAAGGCTTTTGGCAAGTGTGCTCGCCGCATGGCATGATGTCGCCGCACACGGCACCGCAGCTCCAGCCCGTCTCGTAATTTGTCTCGACACATCGTCTCGCTGTTTCCTGCTTGCCACAGTAGCAACTCTGCTTGGGGCCCATGGCTGTGCATGGTGGACATGGTCCCGCATGACAGAGGAGATCGCAAGGATGTGGACATGGTTTGGGGAACGTCCTCTCCCGGCCACACGTCTGCCCGCAAGAGTGAGGAGGAAGACCGGAGATATTCTTGGGGTCTATTTCCTTTTCGCACCAGCAAGTGTATGCGGACGGGAAGGTGTCCTTTGGTAGATTGCAGCCGGGACATCTCCACTGTTTTCCCGACTGCGTCTCCTCGTCGCTTTGTCCCGCGGAGCGAGGAACGGCCGAGCCCTCGTTTTTCGACCATCTCTTGATGCAGCCGATATGGAACACGGTCCAACAGGTCCGACACGACCAGACTTTTGAAGACCGACCGATCTCGTTGGTGCAGATTGCACACTCGTAGAGATTGTGGGAGATGTCCTCATGAATTCTGGTGGCGATGTCCGGCGCCGTCGATCGCGCGACCGACCCTTTCCGTCCCTGTGGCCGCTGCGGTGTTCGTGCGGATGTGCCCTTATGACCAGGGTGAGGAGGACGAGCTTTTGAGTCGTTGGGCTGCGTGCTCGATTGAGGAGGCGGTGGTAGAGAGGATGGGACAAAAGGCGGTGCTTCTGCGTGGAGTCGTGTGAGGCGTCCCCCGAAGGGTCTGCCCGCACTCTGCCTGACGGCGGGAACTGTGGTTTCTGGTTGCGAGGGTGATGGTCTGTTGGGACCACCGCCGCCTCTCCGTCTATGTCGTTGCCCTCTGTTAGTACGGCTGTTGTTGTTCGGCGGGGTCTGTGTCTGCTGCACAGCTGGACCATCCATGGTGGTGGCACTGAATTGAGAGTGTTGGAGACGCCGTAATGTAGACAAGGCTTCAGGATGGAGCGCGGAAGCGAATGCGAGTATTTAGCGAGAGGTAGAGATAGGGGTTGGAAACAAAGAAGATCCACGCAAACAGGAAAATGTACAATTACAAGCAGGTATTGCGAATAAATCACCTATGTATGTACCTGGTAGTTATGTGCGCAGCGTGCGGCTGGCAGCATCAACGCCTCTTCAACTTTTCTGGCAAGTCGAACTTCCACTTCTCCAAATTTCTGGCATCGGCACGTCACAGGCACCGCAAACTCCGCCTTTGACTCACCAGCGCCAAGAGAGTGCAAGGCTGGCCAATCATAGTCATCACATCTCGTGTTCCAGACCGTCGTCTTTGCCTCGTTGTGGCTCCCATAGGCCAACCTTAGCGATGTTGGACACTTCTACGCTCTTGTCAGGGAAAAGATGACTCTAGTGTCCAGGTCCGTGTCCATAAGAGGGATTTTATTTCTCTTGGGAATATTCATGGCCCACCGTGTGTAATTGCCCTGCATTGGAGTGCTCCGTCCTAAACTGAACGCCGTGCACCGGTCATGCTTGTATGCATTACCTCCCCCTAATTGACTTGCGTACCATATCCTCGAATTTGATCGGCAAACGCCCAGCTTTGATTCTCTAGCTTCTCATCCTCCTTGAGCTCGACGCCCTCTTTGGTCACCACTGCAATGCTGTACTTGTCCAAGCTCCTGGCGTCGCGGTAGAACAGTACTTTCATGCACTCCTTGACCGCGTCAATGGCCATCTCCTTGGTCACATCCTTGACACTCTCTTCATCGTGTGGCATTAGTTTTCGTAACAAAGGCAGTGCCAGATGCGCGCCAAACCCGGTCGCCAGCGTTGGAGCCGAGAAGGTTGTACCCAGCAAATCCGCGCTGGCCAAGAACGGCTTCTCATCTTCATCCAACCCCGCAACAAGCATCATGTTCCATAACGGATCAAACTCGCTTCTCCTCTTGTACATGACCTTGGAAAGGTAAATGTGAAGATTTCGTGCGTTCAGCGTGTGCCCGGTGGCCGAGAGGTAGTTTTCTCGAATGTCCAGCGACTGCAATAGCCGGTCGAGATACTGCATGTCTGAGACGTCGCCACCGAAGCCGACCACAGTATTCGGAGGGAACGTTCGCAGACGTTTAACATCTGTGAACCTCGCGAGGGAGCCGTAGGACGCTGACAAGAATGTGTTAGCCCTATCAACGGTGAATGCGCTGCAGCCGTGGTAAACATACCGAGATTATCTGCTGCCACCACAACGCCATCCTTGAATTTGACTCCCAGTACCGACGTTCCTGTTACTGCGGGGGATTGCGTGTGCGTCTGAGGCATCGAGGTCTGGAGGTGTGAGGAATCGTAGGGACCGTATACATCATCTCTGGGCTGTTGAAGGTTAGCTTTGTTGCGGTTGCCTGCAAAAAGGGTAGTACGAACTCGACCCCATGCCTGAGGATAGTGATTCATCGCGGCAGATAACAGGTGAGGAAGTGCGAAGAGCTGAAGAAAGAATTCAAGAGCAGGAAAAGATGGAGGATATGAGAGCCGTGACTACCAAGTATGGTCATTGAGGGAGCCGCGTCAAGATGTGCAGCCTTGCGGTGTTGAAGCTCGGCAGAGCTGCCGAAATTGGAAACGCATCTCATAGCAGCCGTAGACCCAACAATTGGCCAACACCTCCCTGCTCAATGAAGAAAATCGTATCTCAGTTACAACAAGCTTGATACCAACTAATAAGGCAAAGTCAAGCCATGGTACCGCTTATCATCGGGTATCGTATTCTATGCCCAAAGCAATGATGCTGGGCTTCAATTATATCTAAGCAGCCTGGCTATCTCGCTAGGCCACCCCCCTTCGTTATGTATACATGCCCATCTCTTGCCTATGCATCTCATCTTCATCCTGCAAAAGATGTTCGGGAGTCGTACTCCCACGGGAAGGTAACGGGGGGCGTATCCGTTCCTGCACATCCTCGGTTTCACTCTCCAGCTCGGAGGGGGCCATGTTGAGGGATTCTGTGATTGAAGGTGCTGCTGGCTCGTCGTTCTCGCTGCCGTTGTCTGGTAGGGAGGGTTGAGATGACTCCTTGGCCGGCGATGCGGGCTCACCATGACCAAAAAAGTCGTCATGATGTTCATCATGAGCTGTGCTCGTGGGCGATTCCATCGGAGCTTCAACCACAAACACTTCATCCTCTGCACCATCCTCGGGCTGCGCAGAGCTCGTTCTCTTGCGCCTTTCCGGAAGAGGTGGCTTTGGTGACGACTTGGCCGATATCGACTCGTGAGATCCATCTGTCTCGGGGCGCTTCGGTAGCAATGGAGGTGGCACCGCTTTCCGCTTCGGTGCCAGGAATGAGTTTGGCCGGATTTTCTCAGGGGGAGGCAGTGGAACTCCAGGAGGTGGAAGGGGCCTTCCACGCCCCATTGGCTCTCGCGGAGTAGGGGGACTACTCCCCGATCCCCCACCTGAAGTTCCCTGCATTGCCGCTTGTTGGGCGTCTCGTTGTCGATTTCTTGCGAGCACGCCCCAGCCCCATTTCTGCGCCGCGGCAGCAGCAGCATTAACAGATGCCAATGCTTGTTTCCTATCCGCAGCATTCAAAGATCTCGCACCGAGTGCGAAGCTCTTCAGAGGCTTGTTTTTCTCCTGCGCTGAGGCAGGCCTGCTGTCTTTTTGATCAACAGAATCGATTGTTTGGGTTGAGGACCGGCTTGCATTTGTCAGGGCCCTGGGCAGGGAAGATGGTCTTGGACCGTTGTGGTCCTCCTCCTCCGACACGCCTGAAGCGTTGCTTGACGACCGCCCCTTCAACGCTGCCGCCATCGCAGACTCTACAGAAGGGGATGCCGCTGGAGAACCCAGTTCTGACCCGTTTCCGGAAACTGACCTGGAAGATAGATCTTTCAGAATTGTGGCAACGCTTTCTCTGTGCGTCGGCTGATCTACGCCACGAGTGGGTGTGTTCGCATCGGCATGGTTCGTAGTGATGGTGGGATCTGCGGCGCTGGCAAACGATGTTGATCGCATCAATCTGGGTGTCGTTGAGTCGGCCTTTTCCGTTGTTTCCGACTTTTTCTTACCAAACAGGTCGTTCAAGGAAGCCATAGATTTCTTCGCGGAATTGTTCTTGCCCATGCCGTTGGTCTCAACCAAAACCGGCATACTCATGACCCTATCGTCCTTCGATAGCTCTGCCGGTGTGTCCGTTCCAGAGCCACCAGTTTCAATCACATCCTCCGGTTCCTCGTCTGGGATCTCGGTGGTAGTCGTAGATGTGGGCTCCGTCTTCCAGATGCCACCGCGATATTTCTGATGTCTCGTGTCGAAGAACGGTACGTCGTCCCAGAATGGATGTACAATACTCTCCGCTACCACCTCTCGGATCCTGCTTTCGATCGCCCTCAGAATGAAAGTGTATGTGATTTGCCGGGTGCTGACAATGGGTTCGATATCGAGTTCCAGATGGGGCATCTTCTCGAATGTGAACCAGAATCGGTTACTGGGAGGCGGTTTACACCTGACCAAGAGATGGCCCTGCAATGTTTTGCACGTCACTGCTAGGACCATGTCGACTTCGCGGGCTTTGAAGCGAGTACCCAGATCAATGCGCGCGGTAGCCGCGATTTCGATCCTAAGCCTTCCTGTATAATCGACGTCGGCCTCGACAGTGCAATCACCATCCACCGTCAAGTCTTTCAGCCTCGGATTTTTGAAGAAGGGCGCGCCGGTGCCCAGGTCGATTTTCCGCAAACCCAGCTTGGTGATGAAAGTGGGCTTTCTCACCCTCGAAATCTTCTTGGTGAGCTTCTCTCGGATGAACCCTTCCAGCTCCGGGGTCTTGTACATGGCCAGGAACACGCGGCCGATCATGGCATTGAGCCATCTTGTCTGCAAGTGCTCCTCTGACGAGTGTAGTTTCTGTACCAGTAACACAATATGCTCGACATCGAACAGTTGCGGGCCGGGTGGTTCTTCGGTGCTGCTTTTCTCTTGGTTCTTGAGAATGGCATCGTAGAAATCTTCTTTGTCCGACTGGCTCTGCCCAAAGAGAAAGAATGGTAGCGAAGTTGCTTTGTCTCCCACTTGGGTCTTTTTCCTCCTCAATCTGATGGCATTTCGCTTGATCCACAGTTCCCCCTCTGGAATTTCTTCCCCGCCCGCGTAGACATCGACGTCGTGGTAATCGAGGGAGATGACATAGCGGACCTCCAACTGCTGTATGTCATCGTAAAGCATCAGATGTCCGTGCCTAGCTTGATCAGTCAGGCTCCATCCTCCAGACAGGCGGCTCCTGCATTTGTAACCCACCTCAAGACCACATAGAAGACATTATTTGTTTTTCTGACATTCTTCCCCGCACCGTCTTTGTTGGGTTCTATGGTCGGTTTCTGCGACCGGTCGAATATGCTGCGGTACATGCTCTGGTAGACGCTGGGCGACTCCTGGACGGCCACGTCGCCCGCAGGGGTCAGCTTGTCCGGCGGTTTGCCAGGGACACCGCCCGGCACATATTCTCTGCAGACGGCGAAGTAGCCGGCGGCAACGTCAGAGTCGTGTTTGCGGTGGAACTGCTCGGCCAGGTCGTCGGTCCCCGTCTTGAATGCAATCTTGTCATCTTCGGGGCGGAGTAGTTGTGCAGGATCGTCGCTGGATTTCGGCTTCTCTGTCTTCACTTCCGGCGGAGGGAGCGTGTAGTAGGCATAGAGGAGGGCGAGGGCAATCAGGAGCGGCACGAATGTGAGACCACCGAGGACGTAGACGAAGAGGAACCATTTGAATGGACCCATTTGCTAGGCAGCGCATCGAAGACACGCTGCTCCTGGGGGGGGCGGCGCACAATCAAGCGGGAGCCATGAGGGAAAATGCGATACAAGGAGATCAAGCTGCCACAGCGTGACCAAGTTGTTTCAAGCACAGTAACTCCCCAGGGAGTGCAGTTGGGACGGATGAAATGTCGGTGCAGGGAGTTTTGGAATCCGGGTTGCATGTTGAGTGTTGCCGCCTCCTCACTATTTACGGCGCACCCACGACGCCTAGCGAATCGAGTGACGTATTCGCACCATGCAACTTTGAGTTGCCGCCGAGGCTCCGCAAACCTTCCAACGGCGCAATCCGTGTGTTGACAAACCACCCTACATATCATTTTGCAATATAACCACTCTGACATAGGCATGAATCCTATCGACTTGAGAGCCCATATCTTATCTTTCAAAATCAACAAACCATACGGTACTGCACGACACCAAAACTATGAAAAGAACAAGGCCAATTGCAGCTAGTCTTGTGACGAGGCTGAACAAGGCTGCCGCCCAGATTTGGGGGAAGGACTCCAGGATCCAGAATCTCAATGTGCCTGGTAGAGGTTGTGCCCCCTGTCTGTGCGTGCGTATATATCAGAAGGCTAAGCGTGTCTCATGAGGGTCAGAGCATTGATATGCGCTTCTATATTTCTCCTACCCCACTGAACATAGACATATCGTATGGCGACGAGTTCCCCAGCTCGAGCAGGGTCCAGTTTTCAAGAATTGAACCTCCAGAGAGCCAGTCCAGATTCTCGGCTTCGGCAACTGAAGTCTCCCTGCATTGGTTGCTCGGTAGAATACCACTGTCGTCGTCAATTCTAGCTTGTGCATTGTTCTCGGGCGGAGGATTATGTTGTCTGCTGATCTGCGATGATGTATTTTGCCTCGAGTACTCGCCTGACATGGTCGAATTACGTCGTCGCGACGATAAATGCTCATCTGATGATCTGTCAAGCATCCTCTTGACCTGAAATGCTAGGTTTTGGTAGGGATGTGTCTCCAACAGGCCAATGACGGACCTGACCTGTCTCTCTGTCTGAGATTTGTCCAAACACGTCGGCCACCGATGCGCGAGTTGAAGGGCTAGAACTACTGCTGGACCATCAGAACTCTCCAAAGCAAAAGAATGGAAGGACTTTCGGCCAATACTGACATACGAATGTGAGCATCAGGGCGGAATACGTAGGTGCCCATCGGAAATGCCATTTGTAGGATTTCGAGTGTTCGATGAGACAGAGCTGATCGGATACGGTCTCAGCAGTTCGACGGACAATTTCATCCATGATCGGCAGCATGTGTGTGTCTGTGTTCTTGTGTAATCTACCAAGGATGGTACAGTAGATTGTGATGGCTGAATAGTTCTTCTGGATACGTAGGCTGATTCGATTAAGCGAGTCCTCGTTCACATTGTATGCTAAACCACGTCAGTGCATCAAAACGAGGCTTCCACGCAGTGATAAGGGCGGCAGAGCCAAATATTCCGTCTAATCCCGTAGAGTGGAGTGGGAATACCTTTGAACCGGCCATCCCAGTATTGGAACCATTCTTGAGCCTTCTGTTCAAATTCTCGTGGCGCGCTCTCAGAAATGGCAGACAGTGAAGTGGTATTTTCGATTTGGCGCTGAAGAGCGGCTAGAGAAGCGTGTTAGATAGCTCATTGTGGGAATAAACGCCATCACTTACTGCGAAGTTGCACAATCTCGATAGTAGCTACGAATCTCATGTCACTGGGATAGGAGACAGGAAGATCCAGATAATGCCTCAGTAGCGCCGTGTTAAGTTGACGAATGCGTGGTTTCCTTGCAGTCCCGACCGCAAGCTCGCGCTCAATGTGATATAAGATGAGCCACGTACGGGCTCTACGACTGCCACTGTAGAAGTGTACTCGGTCAGTTGTTGAGTCTGCACTGAGCAACTCATCAAGTGCGTAGTCCAAGCCCAATTCCAGAGCCATTTCGTGAGCATGTCCAATTGCGAACCAACTCTTCTCCGCGTTTGCTGCCAGTAGTGTCATTGCCTGCACACTCTCGAGCGTGGGGCTCTCGAAGATACTGTCGCATACCTGGCGACGAGCCTCTTGTAGACAAGCTTCTCGCACTGTTTTCTGCAGGTCCGTGGTGACTTTATGCACGATCCCTGATTTATGTTTCAGCGCGATGAATAGAATTACAATCAGGCAAAAAGGCGAACGGGCTCGGATAGAGTCAAAGGTATCCACGATGGGATCGAATATGGGAAGATACGGATTACCCCCTTCAAAATAGCTAAGTCAGGAAAAGGTCAATGGCGGCATCTCTTCCCGAAGGAACATGGAATGCTTACGACGCGAAGAGTAGTCGTGCCTGGGACTCATCCTTGAAGATGTCCGACACGACGTCTGATGTTTCAATAGATGGAGGTGTCAATGCCTCTGTTAATGCCTGCGAGGTTTGACCATAATGGATGCTACCATCGTCGAGGACCGCTGAATGAAGAACCTTTTGTGAGTCAGGAGACGTAGATCCCATGGACTGAACGGCGGTAACCGGAGCATTCAAGTGCTGATAATGCATATAGTCAATATCGGGCTCTGCTTCAGAGCTCTGTCGCTCGTGCCCGGTTCGGCCATTGCCCTGGGCAACAGGAGGGACACTGAACGCTGAAGCTGATGGAGTAGGTTGCTCGATGTCGAGCAATCGGCCAGATCTATAAATGTCCGTTCTGTAATTTTGCTTTTCACTCTGTGTAGGGGTGAAAGAGTGCGAGATGATAGGCCGAGTGTCTTCATTTAGAAGCGAGTCGCTGTCATTAACGGGAGGCCTGGATAATCCTAGGCTCCGTAGGGAATTGGATTCATCAGCCGGGATCCCTTTTACAGCCTGTGAAATAGACTTGAGCTCTTGTCTCAACTTCTGGATCTCATCTTCCAATTCTCCTAGTCTAGTAGGAAAGATAGAGTCAGCGTAGCACGGCTATATTAGGTTGGGACCATTAGACATGCTTTCTCTTATGTGCCCCTCCCACGATACCGTTCGCCGTTGCCTTTCTGTGTTCAAAAACACAAGGGAGTCCTGCATTGATACAACGTGGGCAAGGTGACTCCGGGCTTCCTGTGCACCTCATTTTTTGTCGCCGGCAAGTCCGGCACGCTTTGAGCCTGCGCCGAGGGGTTGGTTCCATGGTTGATCGTGGTACTGCTTGCGCTGACTGCCCAGTCCGAGGGGACCGGCGTTATTGTTTCAGGACCGGTTGGAACACTCAAGGTTGGGGAACAAAGTTGTCTCTCGTCCAGACAACGTGATATCGCCCCAAGTTCGAGTTTCCCCCACGAGGCTTGGTCCGATAAATCAACATGTCCGGACCATTGATTTCTACCCGGCCCCGGGATTGGTATTTTCCGGTTTTAATGCTATCAGATCACGGCTATCCAACCTCTGTTACCTCCTGGTCTACAACGTGATTCGAACAGGTTGGCCCGAAACAGGCCCAGCATGGCAGCCTTGGCAGGAAATTCTGTGTTCTGTTTATCGGAGCAGTATGTAGCGTCATTTGTTATTAGGAGAGGAGACTGAGAGCTTTGCATGTCTATTCTCCACGATAATAACGTCAAGGTAATGGCTGTAAATGCTCGATACAGCATGGCTTACTCGAAAGTGAGAAAGACGGACTGGTGGAATAAAGCGAAGTACTGTGGCCCCATCATCGAGTAAGCAACACATTTTTGTGACCTCTGCCAATACCTTGGTGGATAGGTTGACCTCGCCACCGTCAGAGCTTACGTACTAGAGCACTATGAGCCTGCTGGACAGCTCTCTAGCATGCTTGTGGACGAGTCGCAAATACCAACCGAGGAACGAATTCCTCGGGTGACTGCGGCATTCTGGTATGTGCTCGAGTAGAGGAACCTCTCAACTCTCATGCGGCACCAGGCTGATAGAAAGCAGGAAATATCAGGGCGGAGCGGTTAGATCGCTTATGCACATCGTCGCACTGCATGGTATTCGATACTCGAACGAGATCGTCATTGCTGGGGATGGCTTCCAACTTCGTCTAGTTGACCTATACAGCGCTCCCACTCTTTACGTGAGGTAAGCTGCCGTATACGAGATTCGACAAAATGATTTCCTAGGCATGAGTAGTACAGGATCCGGAGCTCGGATGAGCTCTGATGAGGCTTGAGGAGTTGTACAACAGCTGACATTGAACTCTTGTAGAACTCCGATTTCGGAACAAGAAGAGTGGTTCACCTTCATCAATGACCACCCGTTCTATTCGGAGTTTGCAGGCTTGCTAGGCTCCCTCGGTGCTGCTCCTTCGGAAGCTGTAAAAAAGGCCAGAAGCGAAGAACAGGGCTTTGTAGCTCCCTCGGACGGAATCCTGTCATCGTACGAGGATGCATGCAAGACCTACGAGTTCACGTGGAGAATTCGAGATGAGAGCGAGAAGTCAAGTCAGCAGTTACGCGAAAAGTGACAGTCGCTCAATCATAGCTCTGTGAAAAGCTCTTCACACCGTATGATATGCTCTAATTCTGTTTCCACTCTGTATTTCTGACCGCCATTTCGACCCTGGCATAATGTCTCGATCTCCAGCACAACGAGCTTAGTATTGGAAGGTTCTCCTCAAGTGTGTTGCCACCGCGTTGACACGGCGAGATTCGACTGTCAGGAAGCCGAGAGACTACACAGAGTAAAGCGTTAGCAGCGTACCCTTCACCCTCTAAGGGTGCATCACGAGCTGTAGAAAATTGGGCAGGGAAATTGACTAGCTGTGGCGACAATAATCACAGGCGGCGGACTGCTGTCAATCCCGTGGCCAGGAACTCAGTTCGAGGCGCCACCAGGCACATAGGGCAGTCGGGGCCACCTCTCCTTGAATTAGAGACACACATCCAGCACCGACGATAACCGAAAAATGGCATGCATGATCTTTCCATCCATGAACAAAACCCATTCGATCACTTCTCAGGAGTAAATGAGCTAATGTTGGCGGCGGTTCTTACGTCCATGCCGCCGCCAACGCTTCCAAAAAATACTCTGCCGTCTTTGGAGGGGAAACAAGTGGCAGGCGAGGTTGCGGAGTTTTCGTTGTGCAGTATGGAGAGGTCTGGGATGCAATGAAATAGTAAACCCCACTTGACCCCGGAGGTTTTGTAAAGCGGCACCGGCGGACCGCCTGTGGGGAAACACAGACCGCCGCTAAGCCAAACGTAAGGAGCATGCATATTGCCTTGTTCGTCAAGCCCCCGCAAGGCTGATTAACTGGGGCTGTTCGCTTGTGGGTACCCTAGTCCGTAACAGCTCTAGTTATATAGTACTCATACTCGTGGACGCTCGCCAAGGAGAACCACTCCATGACAGGATGTCAGGCGCACTTCACTTCAGCTATCGTGAGTGTGGCACTAAGGTGACGAATTCTCTTTCACCAAGACCCGTGTCTGGTACTCAATACGGAGTTCCTCCGACATGGCCAGAAATCTCACGCAACCCCCAGCCGTTCTACCCCGTGGGGTCTGGACTATCCGACCGGCTGGAAATTGACAGAGCCGGTTTGGAAAAGGCAGGTATGCTTGGTTTGGATCAGCCACCAAAAGATGCCCAACAAACATAAGTGCGCTCTCTGTCCCGCCCAGGTCCATGACCGTTCTTCTACCAAACGACATTCTCCTGGCAACAGAGCTCGTTGTGGACTTATTCATCTTTTAGACAGTTGCACTTCAACATGGCCGAAAAACTTCCGTCCGAGAAGGTCGAGCAGGCCTCTCACGACGAGAAAGGGCGTACCCCATCTGCGGGGCATATTGCGCTCGAAACGATCAGGGACAATAGCACGGCGAGGTATGGCGACGCCCATGACAATGGAAGTTGCTTGGTGATCAATCGCTGACCATATATACACAGGCTGGTCAATCCTCTGGCCGGAATTTCAAAAGACGATCTGATGCATCAAGTCGAGCGCTTTGCCATGGACAAGGACCTCCTCGACATACTTCCTGTCCTGAAGAAAGGTGCCTATGTCGCCCAGGAAGCAGTGCCGTTGGAAGAAATCGAAGAACTCGACGTCGACGAGCTCGAGGCGCTCCAACTCGAAGTCAAGCACAGGTGGACTCATCCATTCGCTCTCTACGCCACCGTGTTTGTCTGCTCCATCGGGGCGGCAGTACAGTAGGTTCTATAGCAAAAGTCCAGCACTGGGCACTATAAGGCTGACGCACCAAAAGGGGCTGGGACCAGACGGGGTCGAATGGCGCTAATCTGACGTTTCCGGTCGAGTTTGGCATCGCATCTGGCTCCAATAGGGACTTTTGGTTGGTCGGCCTGGTGAACGCTGCTCCTTATATCTCCTCTGCTTTCCTGTGAGTTGTTGGACGCCCTATGACCCAGCAGGATGTACTGACATGGTGAAGTGGATGCTGGCTGTCTGACCCGTTCAACAACCTTCTTGGCCGCCGTGGTGCGACTTTCCTCGCGGCCATCTTCTGCATTTTGACGCCGATTGGGGGTGCGCTGTCGCAGAACTGGCATCAACTACTTGTCACCAGGCTCCTGATGGGGTTCGGAATGGGTCTCAAAGGTGATTTTGCCGCCCGGTTTTCCCCATGTCAATGCGAGTCTGGCTGACTCTCCTCTCTCCGAGTAGCTGCGACAATCCCCATGTACGCTGCCGAGAACTCCCCCGCTGTCATTCGAGGTGCCCTGGTCATGGGGTGGCAGATGTGGACGGCTTTCGGGATATTCCTCGGCTTTGCAGCCAACCTCGCCGTCTACCGAGTCGGGGAAATCGCATGGAGACTCCAGATTGGATCTGCCTTCATCCCTGCGGTGCCACTCGCCCTTCTCGTCTACTTCTGTCCAGGTACAGTTATCCATACGGTGCTCTTCTGGCCCACCGCTAACAGAGACCGGTTAGAGTCTCCTCGTTGGTTGATGAAAAAGAACCGGTACAGGAAAGCGTTCGAGTCGCTCTGCCGTCTGAGGCGGCACAGAATACAAGCTGCACGCGACCTCTACTACGTCCACGCTCAGCTGGTCATTGAATACGAGATGGCGGCCGCGTCGACCTACCTCATCCGACTGCGTGAGCTCGCCACGGTCCCTCGTATTCGAAGAAGTGGTATAGCAGCCCTGGTCGTGTTCATGGGTCAGCAATTCTGCGGTGAGTTTCCAGCCTCTCTCCTAGTTGAGAACGCTGTCCATGTTTTTATGAGACGAGACGAGGTCTCCGCTCTTTCAAAGGGGCTGCCTATTCTAAAGTTTGGTCTATTGAAACAACCAGTACCCGTTCCTGAAGCTGATCATCTTTGCTACAGGAATGAACATCATTGCCTTTTACTCGTCCACCGTCTTTGTTCAAGCTGGCGCCTCCGAGCACACGGCACTGCTGACGTCGTTGGGGTACGGGATCGTCAACTTTGTCTTTGCCATACCGGCAATCTTTCTCATTGATAGGTTTGGTCGAAGGTGCGGATGACCCGCTCGTCGCGACTTCGGGATTTAAAAAGATTGACCTGTGGGATTCTAGATCTCTCCTTCTCTCGACCTTCCCACACATGGCCTGGACACTCCTTGCCGCCGGCTTCTGCTTCTACATCCCCGAGTCCAGCAAGGCACACGTCGGCTTGATCGCCCTGTTCATCTACGCATTCACCGCTCTCTACTCCGTCGGTCAAGGTATGTATATATATCTATCAAACCCTGCCTTCTCTCCTCGTTTCGACATTTTGAACCGTGAGATAGTAATCACATTTCTGACACCATTTTTCTGAACAGGACCTGTCGCCTTTGTGTATTCCGCCGAAGCTTTTCCACTGTCACACAGAGAAATAGGAAACAGTTGGGCGGTGTCGGCGACGTTTGCGCTGTCCTCGGCTCTATCGTTGACGTTCCCCCTGATGTTGAACACCTTCACCGCAACAGGTGCATTTGGATTCTACGCGTAAGCCTCCCATCCAAATATCCTCGCACACATAGTCTCTCACACAAAAGCAATATCTTGCTAATGACGCGTCGACGACAACGGACGACGAGGGTCCTTGCAGTGGCATGAACGTGTTTGTCTTCATCTTGATGTTCCTCTTCGTGCCCGACACGAGTGGCTACACGCTCGAAGAGCTCGACTACGTCTTTGCGGTGCCAACGAGACGCTTCATCAGCTATCAAATCCAAAAGGTGCGTGACGGCCTCTCCATGGATTGTATCAAAAAACTTTATTCTTACTGACTTCTGCTGTTTGTTAGGTGCTTCCCTGGGCGTTGCGACGGTACCTTCTCTTCAGGCGCGGAGAGCATTTAGAGCCGCTCTACCAGTTTCAACGCAGTGGCCGACAGGTCCCTCGGGATGCTACAGTTGCATGAGGTGTCGAGTCGCAGTCAGGAATGCGTGTTGCCGCTTGAGCGCAGTCAAGAAGATTCCTCGCCGTATACGGGCCTGGACGCCGGACATAGCTGCAAGGGGCGAGAAGTGTGTGTGTGTGTGTGTGTCAAGGTTATTTTTGAGGATGAGAATGCCTCTTGCTGCAACAGGTTCAAAGGACTGTGACCCATGAATCAGGGGACAGGATAGTTGGGCTAGAGGTCATATGAAGAGACTTACTGCAACCACGTATTTGTTTTTGGAGGCGAGGAACACGAGATCGCGCGGAGGTGGAGAAGATTTGTCTGCGTACCTCTGTATCTGGAATCCATTACTCGGCAGACCATGAGGGTCTCGTTGGAGATACAGGAGAATTGTTTCTTGGTACGCACTCTGCAGGACCAAGGGCCCGTGTCTACTTGAAGCGGACATTCTCAATCTATTGGGTAATGACTTCTTCCTGCATTGACAGAAAGATTGGTATGATCTCTTTCCAACAGATCAACATTCTTTTTCTTTTTTTCTTTTCTTTCCTTTTCCTATTTGCTGTGTTCTCTTTGTCCCCTTTGCTTGTTTTCCCTGTCGTTGTTGTTGTTGTTGCTTTTTTCTCTTGTCTTTTTGTTTCCTTTTTTCCTCTTTTTCCGACGTTTTTCCTTGTTTTTTTCCCTTTGTGGTGATCCATCGCTCGTCAAGACCAGGCAGGGTTATGAAAGACTCGAAACAGCGCTTTTGTTCTTGGATGGCTACTCCTCCTCCCGTCACAACTTCAGAGTATCACCGACCTCCATTTTCGTGTCGAATATCGCGCCACAGGAGGCATTTCATCGGTATGATCCGACCGCCTTCACAGGGTGAGAGAAGTAAGCTGTCGGTCGATCTGGTGCTTGTCGAAGTGGGGCTTTTGGAGTTCTGCGATACCGGCAGCGGTAAATCCGAGGACACTGTTGTATTTGGGATTGTTGCTGCTTTCTCCTTGAACTACACAACGGTCAGTTGCTTACATTTCGCAGGGATGACAGCTCAGATACGGGCATGGACTGACATATTCCAACGACACGAGCTCCCCAAACACCAGAGTTCTTCTCGATTCTGCACACCATCCCTCCACTGCATCCCCAGAAGCCAGGAATATCGCAATCCCAATTCTCGGTGAGCTTGCCATCTTTGTACCAAAGTGCGGGAGAACTCCCGTTCTGTTTCGCAATGACCCTACCAACGGCTATGCTTCGAGTTTCCGATATGAAGGTATAATCATAATTCTAGAGGGCAAGTCAGTATAGAGCGACTTTGAAGGGCTGGGGCAAAGACTTGCAGGTGGCGGGTCCAGGAGTGTCTGGGGAACGTAGGCATTTCTGACTTCGTGCCCCATAAATTCGCAAGCATCGATGATGTTTAGTGCTTTTGACTTGCGTTTGAGCTGGTCAGACAATGGCGAGTCGCGTGTATCCACTTTCTTCCTCGGATAATATGCGGCGAAGTAGTCCGTGGATAACATGTTATTACAGAAAGATAGCGGTTGTAACAGGCCAGGGTCGATGGAGTGCGTGGGAGGAAAAGGTATGTGCTTGTTTTCAGCAGCTTGAGGGTTCAAGACAAAGACGGCAAGGTCTGAGGCTCTGCAGACGGTCGATAAGCGAACAGGGTACAAAGGCCCGGCTTGAGGAAGTTAGCAATGTATGACACATTTATCCGCTCATCTGTTGCTTACAAACGTCGTCAATCTCCTCTGATAGGTTTGTTGTCGAAACACGTGCTTGCGCCTGACATGGATCGAGCAAACGCTTCACCGTCTCGTCCACGTGCGTGTTGGGCAGTATTTGTAGAAGGTGTGCACAGGTCACGAATTTCCCCCCATGCAGCCAGAAACCTGACATTTCGACTTGCTTTGGGCTCAGTGGACGGGATTTACCGGAAATGCAGTACACGTCGCAGTACAGCTTTCCAGCAGCGAGCGCGAATTGGCCGATGAGTTTTAGAGCCTAGAGGGGTTAGCATAAGTTCATAATGTTTTGCGTTGCGGAAGCGTAGGGCACAGACTGCATCAAGTTCTTGCGGGTCGTCTGCGAGGTGCTCCAAATGTCGGGAATAGCCTTTACTTCTCACTCTCACTTCTCCATTGTCGAGAACTTCAAGGGTTCGGCGCCATCGTTGCCGGCCTTCATCCCAGGAGGGTCCCCCCATTGAGTCGCTTGCAGGAGGAGGGGGTTCTGCACGTCCACCCCAACTGGGAAAAATGTGAGGTCTTCGTTCCTCGAGGATGAGATCCAATTCGGTCTGCGAGAGCCCTTCTATGGCGACAAGTCAGTGGCAGATGAGCAAGAAGTATGTAGGGTTGCACAAAATACCTGAACCAAAGGGTGAATGTTCATTTTCATAACGTGCAGTTTGAGCAAGACCGCTCCGCAGTGGTTGTGCACCAACCATGGTGAACGCTCAGCAGGAGGAACGCGACTCTCACAAGTGGTTCTTCTCCTCTGTCCGCGACTCTTGTGAGTATGGACGCTCAGGTCAGGTCTATTTGTCTTCTCGTAGTACCAGAGATGGCCAGAATAAGAAGAACCAGAAAGTGCAACTGTGAACCGCTCGGTGTATTTTCACTTTCGTCTTTGTGAAAGAGGTGGATAAAGGCGCGCGACAAGGTTAGCTGAATCTGGGCGTGGAGTGGGCGCCGCTTTTATGATCCACCCTCGCGCCAAGCACCCGCCAAGCGCAAAGATCAAGTCGCCACTGTGACCAGGAAATCTACCCCATCAAGTGTTTGTAGTTCCTTTGGTATGGTGACACAAGACATATTCTCTTCGCAGGCACCTGCCCAACCTCCAAGTGACACATTACCTACTTTGAAGCAGTTTTGCCGTAACACAGACAGCGGACTTGTCTATTGCTGGGTACTTGTCTTCTACAATGGCTTACCGCCATGACCCTGACGCGATCACTATATGCGATGCAGACGAAGAGATAGTGTGGAGCCCAGATGTTTGATTAAACTAACGTAGCTTGCACGTGAGCTCTCCCCTAAGGTGCTCCAAGCAAAGATGAGCTCCAAAACCCGGTGGTTGTACCCCTTCGGCACCAGGGGTGGCATATGCTTTGAATGATCACAGTGCTACCTTGAGGCTAGCGTGGTCGGTTGGTATAATTGTGGAAATGGCGAGGATTTGGATCTTTCAGCCATTGATCGGCGAGCTCGAGGGCTTTGATACTGAACTGGTCCACGTCGAACGCCTCTGCCAAATCCTGCTTTTGCATGACTTCGACGGCCGCTAGAACCCAAGTGACGCAGTTCTGCACAAGCGTGGAATTCTTGATAGGAAGTGGTACTTGTCTGAGAATGTCGTCAACCCCTTCAATTGTGATGCGCGGGGGCACCTTTCCGATCATTATTCTTCCCAGGAGGCGACCGCTGTGCATCGGATTGACGCTCGTCTTGGAACGAAAACGCCAGTCGTGGTTCGGGTTGAGATCCACTCGGCTTATGGGATCAGGAATTGTCGCATCGGTTGCATCGTAGACATTTGGATCAAAGCCTTTAGGATTTCTTAGGCTGGATGAGGATTCCTCAATGGTAGGCCGCTTGACCCAACTGTTTCCTGTTGTCTCCAAGCGAGAACTCATCACGGTGGTGGATTACTACCATAACTCGCGCCTTGCCGCTCATATTGCTGTACTTCACGTACTTGTGGCGTAGTAGCAATATGTGTAGAGGTAAGGCTGGAAGTAAACCGTCCCAAGCAGGCGCCTGTATGTCCGTATATGTCTTTGGCGCTTTTTGCTACTCATTCACCTGTGCGGGCTCTAAGCCATATATGGAATAGTGACAAAGTGTGGGTCCCAGTCTCCAATCTTTAATCCCAGTCACTCATCAGCGCAAGGTGACCTTAATCGCCAAGGAATCATGTGATCTAATTGCCTCCAACTTGTTTGTCACGTGTTTCCGAGAATCTGTTGTCTTCATCCCAACCTCTTCCAACGCATTCCTTGCACTGTTTTCACCATGCCCATTCGACAGAGACTGATATCGCTGATAGTCCGTGCTCGACTCTGGCTGGGCAAAAAGCGCTTTGGCTTCCTCGGGCCGACCGTAATCAGAGTGAGCAAGAACCGAATTATCAAAGGCCCATGTGAAGTGGGAGAGCTTGAAGGCCTAGAATACGTTGCGCAACACACCTCAATCCCCGTGCCAAGGTCTACCAAACCTATCGAATTGATGAAAAATTATACATGGAGATGGAATATGTCCACGGTGACACTCTTCAAGCGGTATGGAATGGCAACGCCTTTTCGGCCGACGAGAAGCAGGCCTTAGTTAACCAGGTATCCAGCTACATCGGGCAACTTCGAGGGCTTGAACCGCCTCAAAACGGCATAGTTGCCTCGCCAAAACTCGGACAATGCTTCGACGTCCGTCTGGGGTACCGGCCCTTTAGCCCCTTTAGTAGCACTGAAGAATTTCATTCGTTTCTGCAAGGTAATATTCCGCTAGAGACTTGCTCGGAAGTCTTTGGTGAAGCTGTTACGCGCTGTCATAGCCGCCAATATCGCACCTGTTTTTCCCACGCCGACGTTTGCCCACGCAACCTCATCGTGCACAACCGCAAGCTTGTTGTCGTCATTGACTGGCAATTTGCCGGATGGTATCCAGAATATCAGGAATATACAAAGGCGCATTATACATATGTCAACGCCGACTGGTGGGCTAGGTTTGAGCAAGCTGTTACTCGATATGACGACGAACTGGCTGCAGAACGTGCTCTATGGCGACAATTAGAAGAGCCTGGAATGTCCTGGAATGTTGTACAACTAGGGCCTACTTGACATTCGCTATCACTAGCGGATAACCAACCGACAAAGACCGCCTTCTGATAAGACTCGTTCCAGCGAGGAAATCTCAAACCGACCTCGATCGGATCGCCCATCGTTCTCAAAGGTCTCCGAGATTCGACACGGTAAGCACAGAGATACAAAAGCTTTCAGGAGCAGATCACTTGAGGTGCTCTAAACCTGATGGCATTTAACCAGTTAAGAATTTCGGTGTCTCTGAAAAGCCGGACACTCTCGGGATCGACCCTGTTCAAGCGGACTGTGAACCTCTTCGTACTCGACCAAGGCCAGTAATCCAAACCAAGGATCGTATCGGCTCAAGCAGGGCAGACATGTCCGCAGGCTGTTGTACGACGTGGACTTTGGGACGCCTTGCGAGCTTCATGCACGATGCGCAAAAGGCGTTGGACGACCTGTTTGCTCTGAAATACCTTTTTCTTGCGGCCCAACCACAGCTAACTCGCCACTTGCTTCACTTTCAGACCAGACAGCAGGTGACGACCGTCCATATGTCGCCACTTCGCACAGATCTAGTGTCTCTCAAGGGATGATCGCACGGGGTGGCTAGGAAATGGGATAAAGATAACATTGATACAGTCAGCTGGGCTTCAAAAGGTCCCCACCACCTCAGAGGTTCCTACCAATTTCTTGCTGGAGGCTCCCTTTTCAAGCGTTTACCAAGGCGGCCCGAAGCTCAGTGTGCTGGTACGGACAGCACATAGGATCGCCCCTCACGGCCTCCTGGCTGACTTGGGAGGTATGCAAAGACTGGTGGTCCTCAAGTTAACTGGTTTGACCACTACAAAATCTCTCAAACAACCCTGGTCAAGGTGGCAACCAGTTAAGGCAACAATCTCAAGCCTGAGAGTATGGGTAGTGACGTTATCCATGTCCGCACGAGGTTTTTGTACCATGAATCGTCATCGACCGATGAGAAGAAAAGCAAAGGCGCACCTTCTGCTGCACGAATTCGCACCCAGCGATGGCCAACGCTGCATCGGCCTTGATCGGAGCAAAGCAATGCTCGACTTCCTGCACAAGAGGGTTTTCCATCCCCCGTCCTTGCGCGATGTGCCTGGCTGCAAGGCGAGATTCTCGGTTGACGGGTTCAACAATGACAAACTTAGGGTACCTCATGCACGAGCATTCTCTGGCGTTCTGGAGCTGTCCGATCTGCGAGCTCGGGATCCTGATACCCTTTGCAACATCCTATTCCAACTTCAGAGCGACGTCTTACCTTCTTCGGCCTGAACCCAGTCGCTGCGTACGTCGGCTGAGAATATGTGCCCCAGGTGATCTTGGTCGCATTGCCAATGCGTTATCCATACTGTGAAGGCCGAAAGACAGGGGGCAGGATGGTGGGGCACAGGCACCATCGCAGTTAACGGTGACATTGTCAATCCCTGAGAATCGGTTCTCGCCGCAACACGGATATTGAGACCACTATCTTCGCCTGAACTCACGTACAACCGATATCTTCCCCCAGGGGAAAAAGTTTAGAGAATACTAGCTTTACTTCACATACGCGACAGGAAGGTTAGGCAAGATATATTCGAAAAAAGCATCAGTCTGCAAGCCAGCCAATGGCTGCGACCCGAATCATTTGCCAAGTAACACAGATGGAATATATCTATTCCTTTTTTTTTGTATATATATATATCTCTCCCCAAGAAACCTCAATTCGCAGCTCATGATTGACTACCCGTTCAATCTCTACAAGTCCTCTCCTCGTCCCCAAAATAGCACCGGCTCCATCAAGTCCTTACCACCGCGTGTACCCTCCATCGACCAACAAATCCGACCCCGTGACATACGAGCTGGCGTCCGAGAGCAGGAAGATAATGGGCCCAATGTAGTCGTCCGGCACGGACAGGCGCTTCAGCATGGTTTCTTCGGTCCACATGTGCTCAAAGTGGCTGTTGGACAGGACGCCCGCGGTCATCGGAGTGCGGATGACGCCCGGGCTGACCGAGTTGACTCGGATCGAGGGCGAAGGCGAGGCCCCGTCTGTGTCGTTCGGGGAACCCCATTCCGACGCCAGGTTGCGCGTGAGCTGGTGCACGCCGGCCTTGGAGGCGGCGTAGGCGGCGTTGGGTGTGCCCTGCCCAGATAATACAAAGTGATGATCAGCCAGAGCGTTCTCGTCTTTTTTTTTTTTTTTTTTTTTTTTGGAATGTCTTCGGCCCTTTTCTTCTTCATGTTTATCTTCATCGCATACGATACGATATGATACGATACGAACGAGATCGTCTCTCATTTGACCTTGATGACTCTGTGTTGCGCATAGGGTATAAGTCATTAGAGATATTGCTCACCTTATTGACCACGTATCCACTCATGCTCGCGATAAAGACAAAGCTGGCGGCAAAGCCGTGTTTCTTGACCAACCGCGCCGCGGCCTGCGCACAGATCAGCGTCCCGACCAAGTTAACCTCGATGATGCGCTTGGCGTCGTCGACGGGGAAGCTGATCGAGGGGCCGACCCAGCCGATCGCCGCGCAGTTGACCAGGCCGCGCAGGGGGTATCGGGCGGACGAGACGGCGTGCTCGAAGACGGCGTACGTGGACTCGAGGTCGGAGATGTCGCATTGGTAGTAGGACGCAATCGTCCCGCTCTTTTCTGCGGTGCTTTGTAGGTCTTCTAAAGAAGATTCGAAGAGGTTAGTAACACACGTTTGGCACGGGCAAGATTACAGGCGTGTTTACCTCCGCTGAAAGACTTGGGCTCCGCCTCGCGGTCAATGGCAATCACATCGGCCCCGGACTGCAATATCGCCTTGACCACCACGATGCCCATACCGCCCGTCGCACCGGTCACTGCCACGTAGAAAAAAAAAATCTCAGTTTCGCACCCCCCACCAATCTAGAGAACAGAAAGAAGAAGAGTACATAGGACACAAATGAAACAGGAAGGCTGGCGGGCTGGGTTTGGGGAGCCAGCATTGTTTTGTTGCTGTATATTTCTTGCCCACTGCCAACAATGCTGTCACATACCGATGATAGTTCTGCGGTCGAGGGAGAAGAGGTCTCTAGCAGACCCGGCTTTTTGACTCGAGTGCCCATTTGTGACCGGCTCGACGATGGGTTCTGAGGAAATCATGGTGCTTCGGCTTGGTGAATGGGTAGGTAGATTCAGGGGAAAAAAAAAGAATGATGCCTTGGGAAGAACGAGAAGATGATGCTGTTCCTTCTCTCCCTGCTCTCTTGATCACTGCGAAAGTGGCGCAGTTGGACCTGTAGATGATTTCGCGTTCAAGTGACAAAAACACACATGCACACACGCACAGTCGAACAAACTACATTGCTCAGATTGTCGATTTTCGGCCTCTCACACGCATCTGCCGTCGTGGACCCTGCGGATCATCGGTCTATGCTGTGACATAGCAGACAGAAGCACGTGGTATGGTAGCCACGCCGTCTGCTCGATTTCCTCGGGGAAGAGTCGGCGGGAACAGGCCCTCATTCCCAGTCTCATGCAGTGCTGGATCTGGCGCCTAATCGCATCCGGTTAGCGGCGGAAGGCGGACCGCCGCTAAATTGAAGTGAGCCCACTGCCCCTCAAGACGATCTGGTGGGTCTGTAATAGCGGCGGGAACGCCACCTTTCCTGATCAAAATGTGCGGAGAGGAAGTACCGAGTAAAAGCGCGGACAGTCGGCGACACCGGAATCAGCAGAATGAGAAGTCCGGGGAATGAGTCGCGGAGGACTCCAACGAGAGTAGTCGTGCTAAAACAAAAGAGAGCAGGTTTCAGGGCGTGTTTCCTGTACCCGAACTCGTGGAAGCACGCGACGGGGAACACTGAACACCAAAACCGTCTCTCTTCACCCAGAAGGATTGCCTCTGTCGTCCAATTTTCCAGGCCATCGGCAGAGCAGGATACCTCTCACCGGCAAACTCACCATGGCGCCGCGGTCGCTCCTCGAGAGACTCGAAGAACTTTGCAACGTCGACGTCGACGATGTCGATACTGCACTCATCAAGAGCTTGCCGTTCACCCCTCACAACCGTACGGTGAACTTGAGACCTGTTAAAAGGCCCCACTGATTACTGACGCACCTACCAGAGACCTCGAATCAAGGCGTCATCACGAAGGAGCTGTTGAACCCTGAGAACCAGACGCTCCTGGAGGACCTAGTTGACAAGCATGGTAAAGAAGGATGGGAGAAAGTGTACAATATGGCGGTACGTCCTCCTCAATCACTGAACAAATATATGGACATCTCAAGTTCTGATTTGGGGGGTGTTTATATTATTAGGCCATCGCCCTTTGTGCCAGGAACGTTCCATTCCTGTCAGGCCGCGTGCTTGTTCAGACCTCCCTCCGCTACGTGAACGACCGGACCGCCATAATCAAACAATGTCACGAGTATGCCGAAGCATTCGAGAAGTCCGGCGTGTCAAGAGATCGTTTCGCCATCAAAGTGCCATTTTCTGGAGCAGCGGCATCGGCGGCCTTGGAGCTCAATGCTGAAGGTATTCGCACGCTGGCAACAGCTGTGTTCTCTCTGGAACAAGCTATTGCAGCAAGCCAGTCAAATTGTCTGTTCATCAGTCCATACTACAATGGTCAGTAAACTGCATTTGACCTTGGATCTGGTGCAAGAAAGTCTCACCGTCATTTAGAAATCGCAGCACATTTTGATCCGGCGCTACGTCCACAGGTCAAAGATCCAGCTCTCGAGGTACTCCTCTGTCCCGGGTGCGGTTGAAACGATCGAGGAAATTGACAAACCTTGCAGCATCCCATGTCCGCCCGCGTTATACATATTCTGAAGACATTTGCGCAGGCTTATGTGCAGACGGGAAAGGAACAACCGATTATGGTCATCGCGAGGTAAGTCGTGCACTGGCAGCCACTAACTTGGGTTGCTGTAGAGCTGCTGCTGACGCCCCTTGATACCACAGCCATTTCAACATTGATGAGGTTCTTGCGATGGCTGAATTAGGTTGCCAACACGTCACTATTCAAGGTCCCAACCTGAACAAGCTTATGGAGACACCTGACACCCTTCCTCCGGTAGCCAAGAAGAAGCCTAAGCATCCATACGCTGAATTCGCTGTGGCAGAGCGATTGAAGGCATTGGAAACCATAGATCCGCTTTCCGGACCTGAATGGAATCAAGTGCTGGCGACAATGGACACAGACTATGTGGTGAACGGTGGAGAAAAGCTTGACCAGTTCATTACAGAGAATTCGGTGCTGAATAAGAGGTTCGGAGACGCTTGCAAGTTCTTTCTCGAGGCCGAGGAAAAAGCGAAGGTGGCTATTGAAAAAGTCATGGCGGAAAAAGGCTTATAAGACTCCAAATTGAAGTCGACTGCCGCCTGGAGATAACAGCCCCACAAATGGCGTTCTATTAGAAGTAGCACACCAGAGTCCGTCAGTAGTGTCAATTCTCCATGCGGCTGCTTATGTTGACTCGAATCTGTCGCTCTCATGTGCCTCCAATAATGTAGACACCCATGCTTCGTGTGCAGCTGAACGACATCTCGCCATAAGGAGTTCCAATGACGATAAATCGAGTAAGGTAGTGGTAATCAGACTTACGAGCCTTTCCGGAGGATACAATCCGATTGCAATTGCAGCTTAACGCGCCCGAAGGTTAAGGTTACGTAGTCGCTGCTTTCTGTGTATAGAACTCACAATTTCAAGGCCACATTCAATGCTCGATCCAGGGAGTGCCCATGGTTTCACAAGTCCAACTGCTGTCTCCAATAGCTCTGAAACATCTTCTACTGAGTCAGCCAGAGCAGTGGTTTGCGCAGCGAGCGCGATAATCAGTGCGTAGCCTACACAGCTGTGAAATCACCAATTAGCTAGCTATTATGGAGAGGTGAGCGCAGGAGAGTCTTACCACTGTGCTGTGCTAAAAGTGTATGGACTTCTGCTCGACAGAACATGGCCAGCAGTTAGCAAGAATATCCGACTCGCAGAGAGGCATAGCCGGCAACGCTCAAGAGCCGCCACCGGTATGCTGCCCTCATGTTCTGTAGCCCGTGACGCCGCATAGACCACAAAAGGTCGATAGATGTTGTGTTTGGCGGACCAATATCTCAGGCGCAGAACACAAGCTTGGTCACTGCCCCTGGGTCTGCCCCAAAGATCTGGTTTGATGGCCTCTGGTAGCGATTCGTACCATGTTTCAAGTTGGCGATCGAGTTCTTCGCAAACTCTTAACAGTGAAGCATCGGGATCGGACGAGAGGATCCCGCCTGAGTTTTGTGACCGACCTGCATATAGGGAGAGACTGTCCGTGAAGTACATAGTATGGTGAATTCGATTGAGCAAGGACCTGGCCGATATGTCGGCCAATGAGTACAAGCTTTCTAATGCTGTGACGTTGCTGTATGCAGGAAAGGGCATCCTATCAACCAGCGGTTCGATACCACTTCTGGGTTGATGGAATTCGGCAAGGATATCGCTATTCGAAATCTTTCATCAACGCCTTGTTCCTATCCTCAGGTTCGGGGGATAGACGTACCATTCGATTAAGAAGCACGCCCAACTGACTCTGATGACACCTTCATTGGTGTTTTTGGACAAATGTTCTCTGCGCCTAGAGGGTGTCATGGTCAAACTTGTACACCACGTCAGCTAACCAGGACGAATGCCAAGCTTACATTTGCTGCACACTTGTGGATGCCATATGTGTAAGCCTCCAGGCCATCAATGGGTCGACCACATAGCAGAAGTAAAGCGCGCAAAGAATGAGTGCCTGAGACAGAACGAGATCTCCGCTAAACGTCGTGGCCCATGTCGGAACTAGTATGCGAAGAGCTCGTCTGACCATCGCATCACCGCTGTGTTTGGTTGCGGCGGCTTCGATAGGGTCCAAGGCAGTTGCTCCCAATGCAAGGAGAGACAGAACGAGGGCAGAGCGTGGGTCCTCCTGGATCCCTTCGCTCAAGGTTCTCTCGTATTGTGATTGAAGGTCTTCCAGGTCAAACAAGGGCCGGTACGGATGCACTAGTGTCCAGAATCGCTCAAAACAGGTGTTTGCGAATGAGTTCTCAAGCTGGAGAGTGTCTTGTCCTACCTCATCGGACGCTGATTCGACGCGTTGTAACCACGGAGGCTGTGGACGATTCTCCTCTACCAGGAATAGAAACTCCTCTGGGAAGTCACCCACCAGAGAGCGCATCGAAGAGAGTGTAAGGAGACTGCTTGTGCTAGTCTGATGACCGAGGGGAATCGTCAGTGGAGGCACTTGCTCGTCCGATTGTCTGGCGAAGTCGCCCGGCGCATCATTCACTATGCTTGTAGAGCGATCACGCCTCACATCATCCTGCTGAGTTCGAGTCGTATTTACGCAGGATATGTCCTCATAGGCATACGTCGGTGTGGAGGATGTGTCGAATGTCTGTGGCGGGTTTGGGCGTAAGGAGTTGATAATCATTGAGTGTTGCCGTAGAACATCCTCGATTGCATTCAATCGACCCAGGTGAGCATCAATCGGTTCATGTCTGTCAATTCTGTGCCAGCTCAGCATTATGTAGCGTTAAAAGGACAGTCAAGGATCCACCGACATACCTCGGAGACGCGGCGTCTTGATATACGCACTCCAGGCCTCTGTCTGAGCACATTTTGCATGTGGGGGTATTGCCATCACAGCGTCGTTTTCTGCCGGTCAGTTAGAGCCTGCCAACCCTCGAAGTACCGTTGGTCCCAGCCCACCTGTAACGGCAGTAGTTGCATGCCAGATTTGTCCGCCTTGGAGGGGATGCCATACTGCCGATCGTAACGAAGATTGAGATGCTGGAGGCGCGAGAAGCATTCCTAGCAGCTGGTGAGGCTCGTTAAATAGTATCTCCTGGTCTCATGCCAGTCTGATGATGGGTGCAAATCGTTGTGAAGGTGATGAAGAATGAAGTCGAGAAGGCACGAGAAGAGTGTCAAACATGCCAAGGCGCTAGTACGTATTCGGTGTGATAATGAGAGCACTTGGGCACATGTTGTTGATGCTTCGAAAGGACTGAAACAGCCCCTGATCATACATAATAATATACATAATCCATTATTTCCATGTCGTATTCTGTGGCCTCAACAAACCGATGGGGTATCTCATGCACCTGTCCCTGTCCCTGCCCCTCGTTATCCATCAATCCTGTACCCATGCTATGCTATCCAAGATCAACCAATGCCTCGCCTCATCAATGAATGCAATACATCACCAATCTATTCGTCCATCCGTGCCCTTCTCCAGAGTTTGCAGAACAGGCAGAATCTGGGCTTCCTCGTTCACAAGAGCAGTCTTCTGTCTCGTCCTTGAATAGAAGACAGGACAGTCCTTGCTGTCACACCGTATTTCTTCACTCCAACCAAATCCCGAGCAAGAACGGCATACCTTGGCGAGTTGTGCCGCTTTTCTCTCAACTTTCATCAGTCTCGACCGGAGTGCTAGCATAGTCTGAGGAGACTGCTGAGAGCACTTGTCACACAGCGGAGCCGGAGTGTCCAGGCGATCGCGACAAACAAGACATGTCGACGATCTCATGTATGACTCCATAGTCTTTTGAGCCCTCGCACTGTTTTTACCTTCTGTACCAAGCCCACCGTCTACTCTCCTGATACGCTGGTATTTTGGCATTTCGTCGTACCATTGGCGGACATTTGCCCCCACCAGATTGAAGATGCGTTCAAGGGGTGGGATGATGTTCTTGGAAATGTAATACTCCGCGTCGAGCTCCGAGTGCGCGTCATTGAGTAAGACTTCTGGCGCCACACAACGATCGATCAACCTGGCGCCTGGTCCGCCTGTGACAACCACATAGGGTACTCGCTCGCCATATTGCGGTTCCAGCCTCGGATCCTCTACCATTTTTCGAGCGCTGATGAGTGCACCAGGAGGTGGAGGTTGTTTGTCACTGTAAGTCCCAAGCTTGACTTCTCGAGCGAAACAAAAGTCCTGGATGGAAATCCGGCCTTGCATGATTTTGGCGCATTGAGACTGGAAAAAGGCTTTGACCTGACTCAGGTCAGAGGTGCGGAACAGCAGCTTCAATGCCGTCTCCTCGATCTTCTGCTCGGCTGGAGTGCCGTCTCGACGCACAGTTTCGATTCCTTTGGCATCAAAGTCTGGTACAGTCTGGTTGCGATTTTCGTACTTGAACCCCACGTATCTTTTCTTCGCAAGGAGAACGCACGGATGATAGACTTTTTCGAACTTCAACTTGACCGGTCGAGGATTCATCTTGGTGATTGTGTCGGCAATTTCTTCACCAATGTCAAAGGCTTGCTCTCTTGTTCGGCCTTTGAGGTAGACAAAGAGACTGTCAGTATCGCCGTAGACCACTTCCGCTCCCCAACGCTCGACCGAGTGGATCAGAGCAATTGCCTTCTCGAGCGTTTCGCGGCCAGTCTGTACAATGCTGTCCGCAATCTCTGAGCACGGCATCCTTCCGGAAAACGACGCTGACGTATAGCCGTAGGTGACGTTGGCGATAAGCTTGAGGGCAAGTTGCCTGTTATTCAACAACCTCTGCAGTGTCTTGTCATCCTTGTCGACTTTCATTCCACTCTTGACCATGACGCGGGTCTCGAGAATTTCACTCAACATCTTTGCCAGCAGGGACTTTCGAATTTCAGGTTTCGCATACATGATCCCGTTCGGTGCGATATTGATATAATCCTTAAGTAGCTCTAGTAATCTAGGCTCCCGGCGATAATTTGTGAATCCCATTTTGTTCGCGCCTCGCCAGCCGACGACTCGGCCGAGGAAAGTCGAGTAGCAGTAGTTGTAGGCTATCATGACGCTGGGGTAAAGGGACTGGAAGTCGAGAACTAGCAGTGGGCTGGTATAGAAATCGCTTTGAGGCTCCATTACCAGCGGTAAGCACTCCAATGCATTCTGACCCCCGACTTGCCTGCGACTGGGTGAGACCAAGATGAAGTTCTCCGGTTTCGCTATGCGAAACATCAAAGACTCTACCTTGAATTGTGAGCCACGGGAAATGACTGAAAACCAGTCGACTCCCAGCAGTCGGGCCTGTTCGCTTGTTCTCGGGATCAGCTCATTGGCTTCGAGAAGTTCAATGTCGAGCTTTGTCCTCGATATGAAGTACTCGATGACTTTTGCCTGGTCGCGAGGATTCTTGCTGTTGTACCACCTCGTCAAATCAGCAAAGCTGTAGTGAGGTATTCGTTGATGTAGCAAGTGGTACACAACGTTCTCCATAGTATAGCCAAGCAAGTTCAATTCGCCGCGCATGGCTCGCCAGATATTGATTGTATGTCGACCCGTGACACGAACTGTCGAGGTGTGGTTGAAACCCCAGCGGTCGTCTTCCTTGCCAAACCGTCCGTGAGATTGGGATTTCATCCTGGACAACTCATCGCAATAGTTCAGATCGTACTTGACACGTGCTCGTTCAATGAGATAACCCCAGGAGCTATTGTGCACTTCATAGCCTGTGAGAACATCGGGATCATAGTGCCTCACAATGTCGACAAATCTCGTAAGAAGATCCAATTCAGTAGGCTCTTCCTCAACGTGATAGGCGACGTTTCGGGCAATTCTTTCCGCAGCCTGCTTATCACCAGCAACAGCAAGAATTCCGACGTGGAGCCCATCCGTTCTTGCATCGTTGTCAATACCATCATCGTCGTCATCAGTCTGCGCGCACCAGAATATACAAGCAATGGCATCTTCATCAGGATTTGGAGCCAGAGCACCTCGAGTGTTGACGTGGACCTCCACGCTCATCACATTCATATACTGTGTCTCATGCTGAACGCTCGTACTGGGCTGCTTCTGAGAATATTTGAAGCCATGATCATTCTTCTGCGTTGGACCGTCGATCTGCGAAAGAGCGGCACCACGCGTCCGAAGTTTACCAGACCCGTTGTTGTCAATATGTGCCTGGGTTTCTTCTTGCAACCAGGAGAGAACGTCGACTTTTCGAGGCGGAGTCGCTGCAATAACCCACTCAGAAATAGTGCATCTTTTGCGTCTCTGATTGTCGCGAATTCTCTCGGCGGCGAAATCTAGTACCGAGGGAGGCTTCCGGCCGAATGTTGCGGCGGACTTTCCGGAAGCATCAAAGTCTGGTAGATAGGGCACCGTTGTACTCTCGAGCTTGAATTCGCGACCAGCATATTCCCTCGATTGGCCAGGGACGTCTTCCTCCTGACTGTAGTATGCTTCCTGATAAATTACATCAGGCAGACCATTCTCCCACATAGTTGACGCTATCTGTTTGAAACTTGGCGGGCGAGGTTTGTACAACTGCACACTGTTCCCTGCCTGCCATTTGGACAAGCCTTGGAGTGTGATATTGAGTAACCCAGATGAACCGCTACCTGCACCTACGGTGGGCGGCAAGGCGGTCTGTTCTGAGTCGGTGAATATGGACTTTGCAGGCGTCTTCAGCGTCGCAGGGGAGATTGAAGGTTCACCTGTAGACGCCTTTGAGGAGTTTTGCGAAGCAGCGCTTTTCTGGCTAAGCCGGAGTATAGTAGCAGGATCCGTGGGATCTTTCACTGTGGGAAAAGACAGTATCGAGCGCCGCGAGAGGCTTCCAGAGATTGGCCCATCCACAGCCGCGTTCTTTGATGTGCGGTGCGGGCCTGCGAGTGACACACGGTCGATGGTAGCTTGTGGCAAGGGGATATTTCGCATCTCTTCCTCTGTCGGTTCCGCACCTGGTTCAGCATCACTGATCTCGTTCGAGAAGTCTGGGTCCTCATCCGACTCCCAGAATCCCACATCGGGCAAAATATTCTCACCATCAACCAAGTGTTTGTGTTTCTTCCTCGGTTGGAATGTTGGTACTTCTCCGAAGCGTGCTCTCTTGGTCCCATTTGTAACTCCAGCTCGATCGATCAGATATTCTTGTGGTACTTCAAATGCGTCTTCGTCAAAGTGTTGCGCATCACCCGCAGGACGAATGCCGTACCTTTCGTATTCGGAGGAGCTGATCGGACTTGAGACTTGCTTGTCGGCAGCCCTGGGTTTGATGTCGTTGTGAGCATTTGTTTGTGGTGACCGGACAGAAGAATCTCCTTCTGAGTTGTCTCCATCCACGTCAGAGCCTGTCGAGTCCCCAAACTTATCCGATCGAGCTTGATCGACGATAGGTCGAGAGTTATCCTCTTGCATGGGGTTATTACCATTCGAATCGACATTCAGACTTCTCAGGTGGAGCAATTGGATTCTGTGAGGGTACAAATCGTCGACGCTTTCTAATGCTGTGCGAACAGTGTCTTCAAGGGACGTGGGTTTCACAAAGGTGTCAAAAGACACGTTTTGCCTGTCACTCTTTTCAAACTCTTCAGCTGCAAGCTCGGCCGCTTTTTGGCGGAATTCGTGTTCGTGAATCCAACCTCCGTCAGCCGTGTTCCTCGGATCCGCTGACATTGACACTAGAACCTCTGGAGGGAAGGGGCTGCTATTCGGGTCCTTAAGTCCCATCCTCAACTTCCTGCGCCGAGTCTCATCCTTCCACAATCCGGCCATGCTTTGCACCAGTTTGGCATCTGCCGGAATGGGATGGACGCGCTCAATGAAGTCATGATGAAGTGTGCGAGCGTGGACGTCATTGCGATTCAGAATTCCCTCGACGTGCACATCCACCTCGAGCGCACAGTGGCTCTGCTTGGTCAGTTGCCCATCGTCGAAGATCGCGTCGGAGGGAATGGAAAGATCGTGCCATTGGTGCAATGGGTTGGTCAAATCGGCGTATCTGGGAACCGGGGCGCGAAACCTGACTCTTTGGCAGTCGATATAGCCACAACCGTATAGGTTATAGTCGCACATCCATTGTGCTATGTATTGCATGTGACTCTCGTATGGCTGTAGCACTCTCTTCATAACGGCTCCTTCCCGCAACAGGTCGGCTAGCCTCGTCATATGCAGCGGGTTCAACAAGTATATCTTGAGGTAGAACTTGTAACCGACATGGAAGCCATAAAATGGAACCCCCTTCACAAGGGAGATGTGTGCGACATATCGATGCTTCCTTTCATAGATATTCTTGCGGTAACTCACGGCTAGAGCGTGATCAATGGAGAGCTGGAGGGTACGAATAGCCACGTCAACATCGTCGGGGACCAGACTGCCGCTGTACTCGATGTAGGTATATTGCAGAGCCCCGTGGATGTGCAACAACACCTTCTGCCCGGTTGGGGTGGCGCCAAAGACGCGAATGACCGAAATTCGAGGTTTGTCATTGTGACTCGCGCTGCCGACACCGAGAGGTACTGGAGGATCTAGGCCATCAATCGGGACCGCTTGGTAGTGGTCCACGCAGTTGAGGCGGACTCGGAAGGTGTCCATGAGAGTAATGAGGTAATCGACGCGTCTTTCTCATGTTGACGCTGCTTTGTCGCGTATTATGTGGTGAGTGATATGATCCCAGAGCATTCTAATCATGGGCTTCCGTATCCAAAAGAAGTCTCACTAAAGACGTGTGGTGAGGGTGGAAGGAATGCAATGTTTACAGAGTGGGGGACTATTGACATGCGGCGGCGCGAGGCTGCGATGCAGCCTTGTCATTCTGACTTTTCGCCTCTTGTCCCCCTCCCCTCAATCTTCGCAGCTTTCCTCTTACTCCGAAACACTTCGCAACGTCAATGTCAACATCGACTTCACCTCGCGTCTACTACGAACCCTACCCATCTTTCTCTCTGCCCCGCGAGAATGGCGCAGCAGAACAAAAAGCCCTCTGGCCCCGACCAGACTCGCAACGAATACATCCCCTCCTTTATCTCGAAGCGGCCGTTCTGGGCCGAGACCACCCATTCAGACGCCGACTACCTCGAGCATCAGCGATTACAATCCGCCCCCAAAGATACCCTCGACAAGGCGAAATGGTACGACCGAGGCAAGAAGCAAGGCCCGGCGGCCACGAAGTTCCGCAAAGGCGCCTGTGAGAATTGCGGCGCCATGACGCACAAGACAAAGGAGTGTCTAAGCCGGCCAAGGAAACAAGGCGCGAGGTGGACGGGCAAGGATATCCAAGCTGACGAGGTCGTCGAAGACGTACAATTAGGATGGGATGCCAAAAGAGACCGCTGGAACGGGTACGACAGTCGAGAGTACAACGCCGTGGTCAAGGAATATGAGGAGCTGGAAGCTATCAAGCGTGCAGCTGCAGGTCAAAAAGAAGACGGCAACGACTCGGGAACCCCCGATCTCTCCGACACTCGGTATGGCGAAGAAACAGACATGGGTCGCTCTCAACCGACCTCGACCCGCCAGCTCCGCCTGCGCGAAGACACGGCAAACTACTTGAAAAACCTCGACCTCGACTCCGCGCGCTACGATCCAAAGACGCGCTCTATGGACAAATCCGCTACGCAGGTAACAGACGATGCCGATGCAGACGAAGGGTTCATCCGCCCAGCAGCCACGAACGACGACGCCTCGGAATTCGAGCGGGCGCAACGCTACGCATGGGAGACACAAGAACACAACACGACCTCATCGCAGACGAAGAAACTCCACTTACAAGCCAACCCGACAGAGGGCGAATTCTTGCGCAAGAAACAAACGCAGGAAGCGGCAGAAAAGAAAGCAGCGGCCCGGAAAGCTCTGCTCGAGAAATACGGGGGGGATGAATATCTCCTGACCGAGAGCGGCGAGCAACAACAACAACAACAACAACACCCATCGAAACGAATCAAACATCTCAATGTCGTCGCCAACGAACGATACGTCGAGTACGACGAATCGGGACACATCAAGGGCTCGGAACGCGCGGTCGCGCGCTCAAAATACCCGGAGGACATCTTCCAGAACAACCACACGTCGGTATGGGGATCGTGGTGGAAGGACTTCAAGTGGGGCTACGCGTGCTGTCACTCGACGGTGAAAAACAGCTATTGCACGGGCGAAGAGGGCCTGCGAGCGTGGGAAGCGAGCGAAGGAATGAGGACGGGCCAGTCCCTCTTGCAGATTGAAAATGGCGATGGCACTGACAAGGACGGCAACGCGAGCGCCGAGCAGAGAGCAGACATGGCCACCACCAGCACCACCAGAACAGACCCGGTCCAGGGCGACAAGAACCAATCACCCCACCCTGTGCAAACCGGGGAAGAAGACGCCACGCGAGAGCGTCACGATGCTGATCCGCCAGCATCAGCGCCGGAGCACACCACCACCACCACCAGAAAACGCACCCTGCAAGAACTCCAGTCCGGCATCTCCGAGGAGGAACTGGAGTCGTACAAACGCAATCGCATGGCCGCCGACGATCCCATGGCGAAACTCCTGGGCACGGACGAGTTGATTGAGATGAGATGAGATCAGATAACTCATACCAAAGAGATGTGCCGAGGACAACAACTATACGAATAATTCCAGACGTCTTTTCTTTTTCTCTCTTAGCGTTCAAGCGATCCTTGTTGGCCGGTGCTGCAAAAGGGGATGGTGGATGCATATTTCTGTCTTGGGAACTGGCTTACAGGCAAACAAAAGCAAGCAAGGCAGTGAGGAACAGATAAACCTATCGAATGGATATATCATATGAATGCTCCTCCTATTCTCTTCTACGCTCATAGATAGATATCCGTTCCACCTCTGCCATAACCCCCTACTTAAGAACCAGCCAGCTGAGCTACCTAAAGGAACGCAACATCACTTTACAGAGAGAGCCCGCCAAAAGCGTGTCCAGCAGTGTTTCATCACATGCCACATGTGTCTCAACGCTTGCACGCACCTTTGCTTCTTCCCACTTGTCCAATTCCTCTCGTGGACTGCGATAACACTCGCATTCGGCGGGACACCAGACGCACTGTCGATGCTGAGAAGAGAAAGCATCGGACGTTCTAGGTGCACGGGATTATGAGCGATGCCTGAACGGTACGTCGAGTTACCTCTCAGGTTTGGAGAGGGAAATGGAGGGCCAAATTCTGTTTCACTGGTCGGATGAAGTTGCACAGGCGGAATCTGCGATTCATCGCTGGCCCATCCTTCTCCTGGCACAGTATGTGATAGTCCGGATCCGCTCTGAAGCATGGCGTTTTCAAGATTGGTCCTTTCGCACGCTTTGTCGATCTCCCTCATCGCCTGTTGAATCGCGCTTGATTCTCTCAATCGACCCAAGGGGTGCGAATCAAGATTGCGAGAACCGACGCCATGCCCGCTGGCGCGAGGTCCGAATCTCCCTCGCACCAATGTACCATCATCAGCTCGAGCAAGTGGTCCGGGGATATTGGCCTTGTAAACTCCACGAGGCAGGGAAGCCCGAGAATAGGAAGGCCCTGTGCGCGAAGGGTCCACAATGGTCGCCATCCCTATTGCAGCCAGAGTTCGCTCAAAGAGTTCGACCGAATTTGAAGGACCACTAGACGGGTTCTGTGCCGACATCCTTGGGGAACCTTCAGAGTTGAGGCTTGCCACTGTTTGCTCATCGCTGCCGTCCACACTGCGTCTCCAGATGCGATTCCAAAATGAAAGTCTGCTTGACGGCTGCTGCTGTACCAAGCGCAGGAATGTCGCCTGCTCGGTGCCGAATGAAGGTATTCCTGGCGGTGTCGAAACTCTGGGTGGTGGTGACGCTGGAGGTTTTATAGGGAACAAAGAACACCATCCACCTGTATGTATACTTTCTTCGGAGCTCGTAGAATTGGTAGATTTGCATAGTATGGCATCCCGTCTCCTGACGCAGTCAAGGTCGTTCACAGAAAAAGAGCGTTGATGGTATAACTCGATAGAAGGCTGCTTGCTCTTACTATCCGCCCGAGACATGGCAGGGTTCACCGAATTGAGCGACGTTCTGTGTTCAATGATAGGGTTGAGCTGTGGCGTTGGCCAATTACTATGTGATGTAGAATGCCTGCTGAGAGGGAGCCGAGACGCAAAGGGCAAGCTCAAAGATGCTGGCAGGTCCAGCCCGCCAGCCGGGTCTATTGCTGGTATCCAGGATAGATTTTCACGCGACTGGACGGGGTCGGCATTATATATCGAATCGTCTGGGATCGATTCTTCCGAGGAAGGTAGTTCATGTCGCAATGATGGCACTGATTGTATCCTCCGAACAGCTTTCGGAACGGTGTCTTGCGGATAATTCAGGGAGGGTGCCTCCAACATGACTTCGTTCTGAGATCCAACTCAATATCACAGCTGACACAGAGGACCGTTGTTCGAGCTAGTCCCCATTGGCACGAGTACGGAGTATGGTGTATGTTCTGAAGTGTGGTTCCGGGATTGGGCAGTGTTTGCAAAAGGAATGTGTTCCATAAGCGATTGATGACTTTGGCTGTCTGAACCGATCGAGATGAAAGAGAGATAATTGTCTAAGTTGTGTCAGTGTCAATGCTCAAGCGCTTCGAATATATTGGAAGGCGAGACGGTGAAGTAGGCAGCCGCGATCGACAGGGAGTTGCTCGAGAGAGAATTGAAGCAGCAGTTGCTGGGATAATAGACCATCCATTACCATTTGTACTTTTCCTGAAGACCTATTGCTTGGGATACCGCAGATAGGGGTTGTCCAATTTCAAAATATCGCCGAATAAATGCATCACAGCCGTCTCTTCCCAATGCCCGTTCCTTCTAATGATACAAATTCCCCATGAACAGTGTGCGTAGTACAAGCGGAAGTCCCGAAGCCAACAGGAAATCGCCCAGGTTTTGTAGAGTGCTGGCCATCAATAGCTGCATGTGTTGGTCGTTGATAGATCATTACGGTCATGAGAAACATCAGCGAGAATCTGTCGCTTCCACCGGTGTTGACGGCGCTTCTTTTTGAGAGTGCCGTTGCTGAAGATCTTTCTTGAGGCCCTTGATGATGCCTTCTAAGCGACGTCTTTCCTCTTGCTCGGCCTACAGACACTGTTAGCCTCTATCTTCATATGACACTCCACCGATCGGTCAGTCTTACCTTGAGGATCTTGAGATTCTCTGCTCGTGTTTCGCGCATCATTTTCTTGAATTCGTTCTTCAAGACCATTGTAGACGTCGTTTCCGTAGGCGACGAGACTTTGGCCCCTAGCCCTTTCACTTTCTCTTCATTGAGTTGTGACTCGAGTGCCTCACATTGCTGCTGCAACGCGTCGACTCTCTCCTCAAGCCTCTCCCGCTCTTTTTCGTCCTCAATGCTCTGTCTTGTCATGACTTCGTACTCTTCAATGGTCTCTTTCAGTTCCTTCTGCAGAGCGGCGACCTTGTTCTGCAGCTCGACGCTTTCCGTGTCCCTGGCCTCGTGCTCCCTCTTCAGGTTGTTCACATGACCTTCGAGCTCGTTGTTTCGCATGTTCAAGTGGTCAAGTTCCTTCTGAATGGCGGGGTTCATTGACACATCGGCCGCTCGCTGAGCACGTGTTCCATAAGCACCATCTAACTCAGCCTTGACGACGGTCAACTCTGTCTGTGCTCGCACCACTTCGGATTCCAGGTCTTGCATCTCCGCACGGAGTTTCGAGAGCTCGGTCTCTACCTCAGCTTTAGCACTACTCAGCGCCTCCACTTGCCCCCGCAGGTCATTGACCACTTCGTCGTGCGCCGCCTGAGTCTGGGCGTGGCCCGCCGCTAGGCTTGCTAATTCCATGGACTTGGTTTCCAGGTCCCTTCGTGTCTGTTGTATTTCGGACTGCAGCTGGCTATGTTCCTCTTGCTTGACCTTCAGCTCAGCGAGGAACCTTTCCTCCACCTCTTTACGGGCAGTGCGTTCGAGTTCAAGAGCCTTGCTCTCATCCGCACCTCGTTCGTGTTCCATGAGGACGCTCCGTTGCTTCGAAAGATCCAATTCCTCCATGAGCAAGTTGATCTGGTCGCGGGAATGCTGCGCTTCCTGCTCGCTATTTGATTGCGTGCGCTTCGCTTCCTCCAGCTCGGCCACCAATTCGTGGATTTTGGCATCACGCTGAGCATCGGACTTGCTGTTGAGTTCGCGCTGCTGTTGGATTTGGCGGGTCAAGATATCCTTCTGTTCGACAAGGGTTTCGATGCGCTTGTTTAGCCGTTCGATGACATTGGAGGAGAAGGCCAACTGCGACTGTAGGTCCTTGCCGCGGGGTTCATCTTGCAGCAATACAGGGCTATGGCCGACAGAGTTTGTTCTTGCTAGCATATCATGTAGTCGAAGATTAACGTCTTCGAGCTGCTCTTCGGTGTCAAAGATGGATTGCTGGACGGCAGCGTGGGATCGAGCTTGGGCAGCTTCCATGGCGTCCAGTCCCTGAGACATATAGCCAAGATATGCTTGGATTTGCGCATCAACGCTTCCAGCCATGTGCTGGTCGGAAGGCTGAGGAGGCGGGTCAAAGTGTTCTTGCAAGCTCGCTTGGGTGATCATCAGATGTAGCCGTTGATTCAGCTCCTGTAGGCGGGTTACAAATCCGTCGACGGCTCGAGATCCAGGTCTGCCCTTGTTCATGGAATGAGGCACTTGCCCAAACTCTGTGACATAATCCGGGACCTGGTAGAGACTCCGTTCATCAAAATCGTCTCTGGCATCAAGCATGGAACCTCGTCCATTCGGTTGACTAGTCATGCTTTCCGGACTTCGGGGGAGTTCATTCCTGCGGATATTCTTCTTCAGACCCCTGTGTGTCATCTGTAGAATACCAGCCGTGTGTTGAAGGATGCGCCTGTCTATCTCTTGAAGTCTTTTCTCCAGATGGAATAACTCGCGCGAGAGATCCTCCACCTTTTTCATGCTTGTGGCATATTCATCGTCTACACGATGCACTACCTCGTTTCCACTATGTCTGCTCCCCAGTAGGCTGCGCCGCGACTTTTTGGGTGATGCCGCATCTCCAGACTCACGAGTCGAATATAGACGATTCAGTGACTGGGCGGCATCTCGCAGTTTGCTCTCTAGCGCCAGCTTCCGTCTCGTAGCTTCAATCTTGCCTTTCAGGAAACTCCTTTCTTTCTTCAGCTGCTCCACCTCCTCAAACGACAGCACCTCAAAGTCTCGGCTGTCGCTTATTGCCGTCTCGGTCAGTAGATGCATCGCCACAGGGTCATTGATGTTTAGAAGTGTCGAGTTTCGTGGGGCGTTTTGGGGCGGCTGTTCAAGTGTCAGCACCTCTCGAAGTCCGCTTAACAAGTGATTTCACATACCTGCGTAAACCGGGCTGGGGGTGTCTCTTGTTCTTCAAAAGGTCCCCGCAGTGCTCCCGACATGAAGCTGTGGCCCTGGGGCATCGCCGGCGAGTCCTCGACAGGACCCGCACCACTGTAGACCGAGCTGGGAACATAGCGGCTGCGGCCATCATTGACGCTGTCGACCGAAGGTTCCCTCATACCGTACTTAATGGCGGCCTGCATTGTCCCGTGTTCGGGCTGCGCCTCTTCGCAGCCTCCCTCCTCTTTGTAATTATCCAAATGCCTTCCAAACGGCCAATGCTAAGGAAGAGAAGTGGTCGATATTTCTGCGAGAGGCTGCTTATAGCTGAGCATGTTGTTGAGCTATATTAGGCTGGCAACGGATCATCGGTGCGGGAGCCGGAAGATGAGCAGGGAGGAGAACGGTGGGCAAGAGCTTGTAGCAGCTTTGAGGCAGGCGGCGGGTATGAAGGAACGTGGGAAAAAGGCTTCTGGCACAGCCGGGAGACTGTACCACGCGCTCAGAACTTTCGGTCCTTCTTCTCAGGGAGAGGCTGAAGTCAAGTCAGGGGAGCAGGGATGTCTGCGCTGGCCTGGCTGCATCGCTGGGCGTGCGCTGAAATGGGTTAAACAAGGCGCATAAACTCCAAGCATTCGTCAGGGCCTTGAGTCTTTATTAGGTCTGGCGAGGCGGATAGCGACCCAGTCACTAAGGCAGGGTGCCCCGGTAGATGGACACCCAGTAAGGGTTCGAGTGCTTGAGAAGACCGCCTACGAGTAATAGAAGCCAATCGCCAGGGGGCTGGGCAGCATTGGCTGGTATTGGGGGGCTGCCTGGGACCACTTGTACCAGGACTGTTAGGCCCACTTGTTTGTTGATCTCGGCGAGTGCTTTGGAATGTTTGCTTCGGGCTCTAGGGGCTCTAGGGGCTCCCCTTCCGTGCCAATGCGAGCACGTTAGGGTAAGAGATGGAGGGCGCCACAAGCAGCTAGTGAAGCCAATTATTATTGCAAACAACTACACTTAATTGCGAGTAGGACAGTCTTCCAACGCAGCCACTTCATACTTGTATGTAGAGGAAGCATGAATAGGGGTGTCTATACCTACATTTCCCAGTCCTTTGTCCCCGTCATGCTGCAAGAATGGTGTTCTTCTCCTGACCGTCCTGTTTGCTCGTAGTTGGTTACATTTCAGGCAAACACAATGTCAGAGATCTCTTCCCATCCCCTGTCCCGGAGCCTGCGGCCTGCAGCCTGCACTTGAAGCAGGGTTCAGGACATCTGCGCTGCATTAGGCACCCAGACCCCAACCTTGACAGGCCATTGTAGTATTAGACATTGTTTTTGGAACAATGTCCATATCTAGCAGGACATGAGACTCCACTTGCAAGACAATGGAAATGCAATCCGCACTCAAGACTGTACTCGGCCTGGTATCGAGTACGAGGTACCGGGTACAGCGCTTGCAACCAGGTACATCCAGCCTCGTCAACTCAGCCTTGTTGAGATGTTGCATTCCTTATTCGAGTGCGGCCCGGCAAACACCCGACACGACCCCGGCGCTAGTCTTGTTATAGTAAAGGCCTTTCCAAGTTGCACTGAGATGTCCGATCTGTGGTAAGCAACGGCCGTTACCCACCAGTGCCACCATCTTCTGTCCTGTCCTGATAACACAGTCACTGCACAGTCCACACCCGCAGATATGTGTCGTCGGCGCTCGAAACATGTCGAGACCTGAAGGCAGGGAGAGTTAATGAGTGCACACTCCTCACCTTCGACTCCCCACAACTGCTCTGTGGACAAACTCCAGGGGGTTTTGCCCCTTGTTGTGAGGTTGGGCGCGTGACCTTTGGCCAGCGGCTATGTCATTGCGACATCCCCAATTTGCCAACATGGGCAAAGTCGAGCAGTCACACATTTCTCAGCGAGAGACAACCAGCGGCGAAAGCAGCTCATCGCCCGAGTCTCCAGGTCCATCACTCGACGACCGGGCTCGAGGCCTTCTCTCGTCGACCCGGACATTATCACGGATCTCGACAACCTCGACCGTCGAATATAAAGTGTATAAACGACGCTTCTTCGGCCTAGCGCAGTTGGTGCTGTTGAACATTGTGGTTTCGTGGGACTGGATCGCATTTGCGCCCGTCTCCAAAACCTCGGCGACGTACTTTGGCACGACCGAGACCAACATCAACTGGGTTTCGACGGCGTTTCTCTTCGCCTTCTGCGTAACCACCCCGCCTACCTTTTATGTTCTGCACAAGTACGGCACAAAGACTGCCGTCATCATTGCCGCCTCGTTGGTGCTGGTGGGTAACTGGGTCAAATATGGCGCGACCAGGGCAAACAACTTCGGCGGCGTCATGTTCGGTCAGTTGATCATTGGCTTTGCGCAGCCGTTCGTCCTTTCGTCGCCCACGACCTATTCAAACCTCTGGTTCAGCCCTGCAGGACGCACCACCGCGACGGCGTTGGCATCGTTGTCGAACCCCTTTGGCGCAGCGCTGGGCCAGCTCATCTCACCTTTCTGGGCAGATGAACCAAACGAGATCCCCAATATGATCTTGTACATCTCCATCATCTCCTCGGTGGCGAGCGTGCCGGCCTTTTTCATCCCGTCACGACCACCATCTCCACCATCGGCGGGTTCGGTGGCGGACCACATGGACCGCACGTCATTGCGCCATGATTTCGGCGTTCTGTCCCGGTCAACCGAGTTCTACCTCCTCTTTCTCCCCTTCACCTTTTACGTGGGCTTCTTCAACGCCTTTTCATCCCTGCTCAATCAAATCTTCGAGCCGTACGGCTTCAGCGAGACCAACGCCGGTATCGCCGGAGCCGTCTTGATCGTGGTCGGCCTCGTCTGCGCGGCCATTTCGAGCCCCATCATCGACAAGTATAAGTTCTACCTGGCCTACGTCAAGGTGGCCGTCCCCGTGCTGGCGATCTGCTATATAGTGGTCATATGGGCGCCGCAATCCCGCTCGCTGGCGTACGTCTTTGTCATCTGCGCTATCCTTGGGGCGGCGAGCTTCGGCCTCGTCCCAGTAGCGTTGGAGTTCCTCGTCGAGATCCACTATCCTCTGGGACCCGAGTTGGGAAGCTCCCTCTGCTGGTGCGGCGGCCAGATTCTGGGCGGCATCTTCATCGTCGTCATGAACGCACTGAAGGCTGGCCCCGATGCCGACCCACCACAGAACATGAAAAAGGCACTGATCTTTCAAGCTGTGCTGGCCGCGCTGGTGATGCCGGCACCTCTATGCCTCGGCTTATTTGGCCGACAGGCTCGTGTGAGAAGGAAGCGATGGGAAGCTGATCGCGCCACCGCAGACGAGGTCGTGCAAGGCTACGTCGACAGAATTGAGGACGACGATGATGAGCAGAGATTGCGTGCGCAAGGGCAGGATCCCGGGTCTGCGTGAGAAGACGTACGCCGATATATGGCGAGCGAGGAAATCTTTGTGCGGGCATGCAAGTTATGTCGAAGGATGTCCAAGGGATATTTGAATATTTGAAATGATTTGAAAGCAAATAATATCCAAGAGGAGGAACGACAATCTTCATGGCTGGCTGGAAGTGATTGTATATTGGACAAACATACTCAGTACAGGTACGAGCACGAATATATTATTAAGGAAAGGACATCGAGATGTCGATTACATATGGAAGGGGAGACGCAGCCAATTCCTCAAGAACGTATCCTCCTCAAATCAAGTCGTCACTTGAGCGTACGAAGTGGATAATCTTGGCGGACCTGGTCCTCGGGCCCTGAACAGTAACTGATATCTATCTGCTGTGTGCTTGGTACTCGTATCAAAACCCCAGAGTCGGCATGGCATGGCATGGCTGGCTGGGCCGCACTGTCAAGAAACGAAAGTCCTTCCGAAAAGGGAAAGTGTTCAAGTTACTAGCAAGGAGACCACCGACCACAGAGACCGCAGATGACGGAGCGGATTGGTCAGTAGTGGGCCAGAGGGTCCGAGGGCTAGTACTCGGTAGACCGAGACTTGAGGCAATCAGTCGTTCAGCCAGCCAACATTTGCCTTGGCCTAAACACTACCTCGTACCTAGTGCACTACGGGTACATGCGAGAAGGCTAGAAATGCGGCTCGACTGGAGCAGGGCAAGTTGACAACAGTCCAGAATCAGCTATACCAAGCACAGCCCAGAAGAGGAGGGCGGGAGTCAATGCGTGGTATCAACGTGGACGTTTAATAACGCCTCGAGCGTGAAGGAAAACATAGATAGGAACGAACGGGGCAATGCCGCCGGGACTGAGAAAAGGAAAACCGTTCCGTCTTTGATGCAATAATAGGTATGTATATACAAGGCGCGATGACTATGTATGAGGAGCACAGGTGTATGGATGCATTGGGCAACCCGAACCCTTCACACCAAACCCTCTTAAAAGCTGCATCCATGTGAGCAGAGGAATCTGGATCTATCCCGTCTCTTCAGGAGCAGCTTAAGTTATTGGTCCACGTCATGCCGTCCATTTGGGCGAGTACATATGGCTTGTTGTGAGATCTTCTCTTTTGCTTGCAAGTCTCTTTGTTCAATGCAAACTTTTATCGATCTCGATGAGCTGTCGGCGTGAGGGTGATCTATTTCAGCTGCTTGAAGAGTTTGGGCGCAGCGCACTGTGTTGCGCAGTGTTGGAGGTGGAAAACTGTGTTTCGCAGTGGTCAGCTTTGGTGTCCTCTTGCCACGCCGCAGGTAGGTACTCTGGTAGAGACGGTTGCGATACGTACACTCTTCAACACAGTTTTCCTTGGGGCCCTTGTGGTCGGGATTCTCCTCCTGTTGAGTAACACGCTCAACGCATTCGTCAAAGTGGTGCTTGTAGCCCTGGCACTGGGCGGATCGGGCGCATTCTGCTAGTTGTTAGTCTTCTCCCAAGTCCTCGCACAGTTTACCGCGTGGTAATAACAGCTCTGCTCTGAACAATTGTGATGATAAGGAGAAACATACCTTCTTCCAGTCTTGGCTTTGGATCTACAGGCTCCTCCTCCTCTTCCTCTTCCTCTTCTTCCTCCTCTTCTTCGCCCTCTTCCTCTGCGTCTTCACCTCCCTCCTCTTCGCCTTCTTGTTTATCCTCACCACCTTCTTCGTCGTTGCCCTCCTCGCTGCTGTCACTTGACTCTTCGTTATCGTCGGCGGGAGCTTCGGCTTGGACCTCCTGAACGAACGAGACGGAGCTCAGAAGGTCGGAGAAGAAATCGGTGATCCCCATTGTGAAGTTTGTGGAGAAGGCTGAGGATGAGAAAGAATGGGTCAAGTGACTACGTAGATGAAGTCCGAGATGGGCGCAACCACTCTAGAGACTCGAGAGGATCGTTGGTGTCTCGTTGAGTTGGACTTACAACGTTGTGTGGAAGGAGTTGCAAGTTCAAAGAGTTCGAGCTAGCTTGAGCTTCGGAGGAAGGAAAATTACAAGGCGCATGATTGGCCAGCGAGGTGTTGAGGCGCCAAGCCATTCGGTTCGCTGGACTCTTTCACGATCGAGTCCAAGGACGATACCACCGCGAAATAACATCTTTAATGTTAGAATGGCATATCATCGTACTGAGGATAAGCTAATCAATAGAAACAAAATCTTAAATAAGGCTGGCCTCGGATCTCTGAGAGAGGAACCTTCTTGCGTCTATGGAGAACGCCATGCACAACCGCAGAAAGGAGGCCGTTTGTCCGTGGTGCCTCCATATTTTACTGTCAGCCACGAGTCTCTGACAATCTTCGGTCCAACTCAGCCTGAATGCTCTGCTGTTGTGTCTCTTCGTACCCTGGAGGCGCGTCGCTTGGTGTTTGCGATTCACCTTGAGGTGTTCCAGCTCTCCTCAATTCCGGAGCTGTATGAGGACTCATCAAGATAGGGGAGTTCACGTCCTCGCTGGTAGCGCTGGATTGGTTCAGAGCTATGGGATCATGCCCAGACTCGTTATATGAAGGCAGCTGATCAAGATGGACGTTGTCCAGATTCACATTGCCCAAGTAGGCATCCTGCCGCGAGCCTGTCAAGTTATTCTCCCTCGCTGTGGACACTACTTGCTGAAGTCGCTCCTTAATCTGTTCAAAGGTGGAATGGAAATCGGGAGCTCCACCTTCTTTGAAAGTCAACTTGAGTTCAACGGCAGCTTGTGTTGCGGGAATGTTCCCGCCAGGAACCGGCTGTAAGAGGGCCTGCCAGGCATTCGGTCCGAACCAGGGCAGGGTAAGATGTGTGTCGTGCAAATTGAGAAGGGGCGCGGAGAATGATTGGAGCTCCGAGGTGGACTTCTCTGGCAGATACACGATCTGTGCATGGTGTCAGAAACGACTTTGTTGTTGATTCCCCTGTAATTCTTACTCTCTGATTGGTCAAATAAACGATGCCAGAGTTGCAGTGGATTGACACTGGATTGTTCCCTGGATATGTCGACGGGGTGGTGATGGCGAGACCAATTCTCGGCGATGACTTGTGGATGATCCTTTCTCCTGGCAACGGGACAAAGGCTCCTTTGCCATCGAGCATGACCCAACTGGATATGACATCATGAGCGTTGGGACACTGAGGGCGGGATGGCATGGGGGACATACTTGATGGACATGGTTGAAAGTGCGCAATTGAGCTGGGTCCTATGGCAAGGAGTGTCTCTCTCAAGGGGACTGTTCACCAGGTGAGTCTCAACGTTGTTTCGCTGGCGGAGGACTTTTTTACCCGCTCTCGGTCCAACACGGAGCAACGGACGACCGGTATGGCCGGAGGAGATCAGGTTGCGCTCATCTTCGACAATGGAAGGCTGAGACAGTCATGTGCCAGCTATTGAAATAATGCAAGGGATCGGTTGACCGCGAAACTGGAGCGTGCGTAAAGAGCGGCAGGCAGCTTTCCCTGTGAAATGCGGGATGATGGCGAGTGAATGCGCCAAGATGCGGTTGAACCATGGCGGGATGTGCAAATGAGGAAACTCTGTGACGCCGCCCTTCTCATCTTAAAGCAGCGTGGCTAACGAGGTTTTTGATTTCTCCCTTAACGATTTTGCCTCTGTCAGAGTCTTTCCAACGACTACTGTTCGCAGTATATATTGACATTGCACAGGACTAAGAGCCACAGTTCTGAACCATCTGGTAGATACCAAATCTATTTCCCTCGGGATCTGTCACGTTGATGTAGACGCCGTGATCACCCTCCGCCGTCTTTGGCAGCACCGTCTTCCCGCCCAGTTCATGGATGCGGGCTTCGGTCTGGTTTGAATTCCTAGTCAGACGCTGTTGTCTCTCAACACACCTAGGCACTTCATTGGGAGACTCACCTTTTCCAGCGACTCGACCATGTGGTAGATCGTGACGCCCGATCCCAGCTCCTGCGTGTTGGGGCCACAACCATCGGGCATTTTGACAAGGCCGCCTCCAAGACCTGGAATCACCAGTGGGTGTTGTAAGCAATCAATCGAACACATCGCCCCATTTGTGGAGGAGAATCTTGAAAGGACTCACCTTCGGGGTCCTTGAATCGGAACATTGCGACCTCGTGTCCTGGGCCGGAAATATTTGGCTTCCAAGTCCAATTGGGGAAGACGTTACTGTAGAAGGTCTTTCAACGCCGATGTCAGCAAGATTTATAGAGAGGTCCGAAGACGAAGAGGCAGAGGGATGGGAGAATATCCTTCGTTGTGCCTTTCGTTGTCCTTTGTTTGACCTTCATACCTTGAGCTTCTCGATGTCGCGAGCAGGAATTTCAATCCAACATGGCGACCCTTCAGGAGGGGGGACCCACGCGGCAGCTGCAGCTTCAGAAGACATGGTATCAAGTTATTTCCTCGATGGCAGACAATGGATACCTTGTTGGAGTGTATCTGCTTCGAGAGAAGAACCGAGAAAAGAGGAAAATGAAGAGGATCTTTTCAGAGGGTCCTCTCGACTATTTCCTCTGTTTAAATACCTCTTTCCCACCACCTCCTCTACGACACCTCCCTTACGAGCAGAAGCGGAAGGATCGGCGATTCTTTACCCCTTTGACTTTGAAGACCCTCGCTCCTCCTGCAAATGCCCGAACAAAACCTGGCAAGCGAGTCCTCGTATTCTGGACGCGTCCAATCCTCTTCGCCAATATCACTAGTTCCATCGCCTTCGGGACGCGAAAGCACATGACATGATATCAGGAAATGAAAAACCCCGCCTTTCACCTCTTCCGTCGGCCGTTCATAGGAAATTCTGATTGGGCAACAAGGCGACGTACTCGCTTATATCCCGCGTTGGTGCGTGGGAGCAGGGCTGGGCACCCCAGGCATGGTCGTTGTTGCCTAAAGTTTAATATGCCTAGAGCCAGGGCCAGAGGATTATTAGTATTGCCATTCAAACGACAAAGTAGTATCCCCTGCTTCCTTGCTGGGCGGTGACCTCTGGTTATAGCTGGTACCCGTGGGAGAGAGGACTTGAGGTTCTTGTTCCAAATATCGATGGGAAAAGTCTAGCGTTGAGTCCTTGATCTGGCCTGGCCTGACCAAACCGGACCAGCGACTCTCTGATAGACAGACACACCATCCATCTCTGTACCCGTCGAGGCGTTTTCAACTCCACAGACGCTCATGTCTCGATATACCTGGAACTCGTAGACACCAGCGACTAGCAACAAGTAACAAGTAACAAGTTACAGGTATTTATTAGGACGTTGTCAATCCTCTTTCCTCATATGAGGATGCAGGCCCGGAGCTTGTCAGTCCCTTATAGGTACTTTGACAAGGTTCGGGAAATCAAGACAACAATGTTGTGTTTTGGATAGTCGTACATTACTTCTGGACCGGTCCGACCATCGAGCCAATACATGATCTCGACAAGTGGACTGGCAATACATATCATGAGGGTGCCAGAATACTTTGGGCAAACTGGTAGACGTGATAAAGACGTGATGGTAATCCAGTGGTCTAAACACCGGCCTTCCTTTCGTTTTTTTTTTTTTTTTACATCGTCGTACAAGGCACCTTTTATGGTACTATGCTCCTCGTCACGCGACACCCGACCCAAAGACCTCGGAGTGGATGCGCTCCTTGGGCACGCCCAACGCCTCCAGTTCCCGCTGCTGGAGCTGCATGAACGGGATCGGCCCGCAGAGATAGTACTGCGCGTCGGGGAGCAGGGCGAGATCCTTGACCTTGTCGAACTCGATCCGGCCTTCAAAGTCATAGTCGCGGCCCTTTTTGTCGCCGTCCTCGACGTGTTCGTAAAACACGGCCTTTTTCACCTGTGGGTTCTTCTCCACCACCCGTGCGAGGTAGTCCTTCATGGCGTGGACGTGGCCCGAGCGGACCGCGTGGATGAAGCTGACGGGCCGCGTGTTGTTCTGCCCGATCACGGTGCCCAACATGGACAGCATGGGCGTGATGCCGACACCGGCGCTGATCAAGACCACGGGCGTGTCGGCGTCGACGTCGAGGAAAAAGTCCCCCCGCGGCATGCTGACGTCGATCTGTGCGCCTTCGGGGATATCCTCGTGCAGCACGTTCGAGATCCTCCCGGCGGGGATTTGTCCCCTGGCAGACTCCTTCTTCACCGATATCCGAAAGTGCTTGCCGTCTGGGATGTCCGACAGGCTGTACTGTCGTGGCTGGTAGACGCCGAGTTCCGGGAGGAAGACCCTGACCGACACATACTGGCCCGACTGGAATCCTGGGAGGGGTCCCTTGTCCGCCGGTTCGAGGTAGAAGGAGACGATCTCGTCGCTCTCGTGCACCTTCTTCGCCACGGTGAATGTGCGCCACCCGTTCCATCCCCCTGTAGTCTTCTCGGCCTGCTTGTAGAGGTCCCGTTCAAAATTGATAAAGATGTCTGCGAGCTGGGCATAGGCCGCTTTCCACGCGTCGAGTATGTCGTCAGTCACAGCCTCGCCGAGCACCTCTTTGATCGCAGCGAGTAATTCTTCGCCCACGATCGGGTATTGGTCTGGCTGGATGTCCAGGCTGGCGTGCTTGTGCCCGATTCTCGACACCGCCGTGGTCAGTGCGCCCAGGTTGTCAATATTGTTGGCATAGGCCCAGACAGCGTGCGCCAGAGCCGCCGGCTGAGCACCGGTTTCTTGGTGTGCCGTGTTGAATATGTTGCGCAGAGTGGGATGGTTGTTTAGTAGTCGCTTGTAGAAAAGGCTCGTGATAGTGACGCCATGTTCCTGGAGAACGGGTGCTGTTGACTTGACGATGGCCTTTTGCTGCTCGGTCAGGGCCTCTGCTTGTCGCTCCGACGAGGTGTTGAAATGTTTACGGTCGATACTGGGGGTTGTCGCTATAACCCTCGAGACTCTGATGGGGGTGGATCTCTGGAAGAGGCGGGTTGGATTGCAGCCCCTCAATGCTCGACTTCCGACCACCTTGCTCGCCATTGTCCTTGTGAGATGATGTGTAATTGGAGTTCCTATTGAATGTGAGAAGGCATACGCAAGGGCCAGTTATATATTCACCATCGCGACAACCCAGTGGAACCTGTTATGTAAGTCGAATAACCGCAGAAGTTCTTTAGCTCTGTCCCCCGTGTCACGTACTTGGATCGGCATTCGCCTACATAAGCCGGCGTGTTCATGTACTTGCAGATCCAGGGGGGAAGAAGCTTTTCCAGTGTTGCGCCTCAGGTGATACCAAGATTTCATAGGGAAGCAACCTCATCAGGGCAGTGAATCTGGGTAGCGGGATATTGTCGCGGGCGAAAACAAGCATTTCCCCGGCAGACCAGTATGTGTGAGTGAGTATTGGGGCTTACCATACACTCACTCAGTTCATTACCTACCCATAAGTCTCAACAGTTGAGGCGAGTATGCCTCAATAACTCGGCAGTGTTCAAGTGGTGTGACAAGGCAAATCGAAGATCCAGAACAGCAAAGACAAACTGGGCAAATCCTCCACGATGACGACGTCCAGGAACGTTTTGTCCCTTGGGGTGGATGAAGCCCAGAAAACCGGAAAACCCACAAAATTCTTAACCATGTGGGACTTTCCCCAAGCAATCCCAGCGAAGCGAAGCCAGGCGACGAATGAGACACACGGGCTTAATAATTGGCCAAAGCTAAGGGGAAAAGGGTCCGTTCCGAGGAGATGGTAAACACACAAGTCCTTGTAAATATCGCGGACAGCCGGTTTCACCCAGATTTGCTTTCCACTTGTATTTACGGGTATGCGGAGGGGGGAAACGTGGCATCCCAGATCGGAAAACTGGTGAAACATGAGCTATTATTTTACGTGTGTAAATGCGATCGATTTCCACGGCGTTAAGGCGTTGATGGTTCTTTGGCGAGCGGATCCCGGCTCCCCTTGTACCTACCTATAAAGTACAAGTACCTCGTCAATTAAATCCTCCAAGTCCCCGAGTGTACAAGCACAAAGGCTCGTAAGGCTCCCGGCAGCATCCCGAGCTGTTCTGGCCGCTGCGGGCTGCTTTGGATCTCCCCTCCCACCCCTGCCAGGGCAGCCTTGCATCCGCTAGCAGAGAGACATCAAATTATCAGACGCAGTGCAGGTATTTTCAAAAATGGGCGTAGGTATTGTCTCTAACGCCTGATGTTTGTCCACAGAGATACAAATATGCCGTCTTCATTTCTCTTTACGGCCTCCCCCTCGGCCTTTTGATACACAACATTGGCCATCCACCTTTGCACGCCCAATTTGGCACAGGATGGAGAATATCGATGCGATGAACGAGGGAATTTACCATAGTCCACAGCACATCCTGTCTCAGTATTGTGTTTCCACTCCTTCCATCCCCTCACATCGAATGCACGCTGCTGTTCTTGGTCCATCGTCGGAACGTCTTCCCGTAAAAGTAGAAGATAATAGCACACAGGCAAAACAGGAGAATCAACGACGCATTGGTCATGATTGGCGGGATATAACCGTCGTCGACGATCCAGTTCTAACTTCAAGTTAGTGCATCGCTAGAAATACCAGAGCGGAGTGCGACTTACCGTGATGAACTTGCTGAAACCGTATCCCCAGACATTCTTGTTGACCGTGATGGCCACAAACAAGCTGCCGGCAACGGGCTTGTAGCTGTCGACGGCATAGGTCGAGGCGATGCCGGGAATAGCTGCGACCTGGATACCAGCACAAGTGTATCCGATAATGACAATGGCTTGCCACGGCCATTTGTTCTCATACCCGACGCTGACAATGATGTTGCCAAAGTACATGATAATGACGTACGGAATCAACGCAAGCAGGCGCATCTCAGGTTCACGGACGCCTTTGTTCCGTGCTGTCGCTCGAGCGGCCACAAAGTCGGAAAATGGTCCTGCTGTAAACAGGCCAATCATGGCGCCCACCAGGATGGCGAAGTTGGTAAATCCGATTTGCTCGGTGGTAAAGTTGTAGGGCGGCGCCGCGAAGGCTTGAGTCTGAGTCAAATTGAGGGTCAAGAACGAAGAACAGCTCCAGCTGACGATAAATGCAGCCAGCTCGACAATGGGGAAGGCGAACAGCTTCCATGGAATCCAGAGATCGAGGATGATGGCCCTGAGCGGATCTGGATTGGGAGTGTAAAGACCCCATTGGGCCTTGTTTGGCTTGCCACGGCCGAGCCAAGGGTCGCGCTCAGCGGTTTCGACCGGACCAAGTTCGTTGTTCCCGGGTGCCTGTTCAAGCACAGCGTCTGAATGCTTCGGATCAGCGCCCTCGACACCTTCAGACTTTTCTTCTTGTGTTGCAATGGCATGCTTGACCACCTCCTTTGGATGTTGTCGGTGCCACTTCGTCTCGGGGAACATAAAGACCACCATTACCAGGGAGAGGGCCAGCAAGGCAGTGTAGAACCACCAGAAGCTTCTCCACCCAACGTTTTCAGCCATTGCACCAGCGATGATGGGCGCAACCATGAGGGATCCCATGTAGACGACCCAGTAGAGCGTATTCCACTTGCCACGATCGTGGAGGAAGAAAATATCCGCAATGACTGCTGGCTGGATGGTTTCAGCCGGACCAGCACCAATGCCGTTAAGACTAGGCACTGTGTCAGCATGCTTTCGTGTACTGGACAGAAGATGGTTACGCACACGCAAGCCCCCATAAAAGAGCCATAAGTCTGAGCTCTTGCACGCCAGATGGATGAGCCCAGGCAGATTAGCTGGGAGAAAATGTAAACCGGGCGACGGCCGAACGTCGAGCTGAGAGGGACCCTAAGTCGCGGTTAAGTAAGTACGTGTTGTCTTCCCCGTGAAAAGCCATGAGAGCATACCAGATGAAGTTGCTGAAGCCAAGCACAAGGATAGCAACGCCGGTAAACTGCACTGCATCTGCCAGAGAGCAGTTGAATGCCTCGATGTAGTCGCCAAACATGGGTGCGAGAGATAGTGGACCAAAGCCCTGCGTGAAGCTGACCATGCTCGAGGCTACAATCGCCGAAAGCTTCCAGTATGTCGACCAGTTGAGGGGATCATGGGGATCCTCTGATGGTTGTGGAACCAAGACACGATGGCTCCTGCCGGTGCTCTTGACGAAATGATGCGATCCAACATCCGCCATCAGCTCCGTGCCAGGGAGGATCTCGACGTTGAGCTCTCGCTCAATGGCGGAGAGCTCCTGTTGCACCCCGGGTCAGTTCATCATCGAGAGAGGTGTCTCTTCTAAGGGTAGAAGCGCATACCTGTTCATCATAGTTCATCTCCATGGTGTAGAGTAAGTTATCGAGGCCGGTTGTGAGTAGGAAAGTTTAGTTAGGGCTTAAGGGGAGAAGTTAACGAAGGAATGGGGCTAATATAAATACACACGTCAACATGATGCTCGGATCGGGGAGCGCGTGGCGTGAAGGGCTGTGCTCCCACCAGGATCGAACCCATGGAAGCGACCCTGGAAGTGACCCTGGAAGCAATTCCGACCTGTGGGCAGGGCCTGGAGATAGGATTTTGACGCGGGGGATCCCCGTTGGGTGGTGGAGAAGCAGCCGTCATTGGCGAGGCTGGCATTTCTCCTGAAGCCTCATGGGCCTTTTGCGGAGAGTTCAAGATGCAGTGTGGTGGACATTTGGCGGGGGGCTTTAGCCGGGGGAGGCTGTACCATCACCGGCAAGTGGTCTCGGCAGTTCCATTTAGAGCTTTCATTGGGCACTAAAACGCAGTCCTGCTGCACTAACCCCGGGAAGAAGGTGAAACGATCACGGGAATGAGTTTGTCACCTTTGCCGCCACCCTTGTCCGCCTTGGGCAACACACAACTGCGGAACCCTTGGTCTACCAATATGCGTCTGCTTACATAAATCGAATTGTATCAATAATGCGCCAGCAAGGTATCGGCTTGATATTGCAAACTCATCTACCGCTTGAGCAGTCTCACCTCGTCGGATGAAACACCGCTGCAGGCCACGTTGGCATCGATAACGCGGCCCCTGACGTAGGGTTCTCGGCACCATATTGGTAATAGCAGTTGTCAAACTCCAAAACGCGGAAATAGTCGTGCTCAATGGAGAGCCAAGAACTGACTCATCGGGTATACTGCTATTTCCGCATAGAAAACTGAAGGCATGCTCGTTGCGGCGTAAGGGTGGTCAACGCCAAGAGCCTGGAGGTCCTCAGAGATTGGGCATGATGCAGCGATCGAGTGCAGTGTTGACAATTCGACCACGCGGCCGATGAGACCTGGCGCTGGGGGACGGTCCGACTCGTCCTAGACTCATACTCGTCACTCACGGGAACAGCACAAGACAGACACAGCCACTATGGTTACAAGACGATAGACTGCGGTGTACCCATAGGTGGTATCACCTCAAGCTGCCTGGATCTCTTCTTCTGATCCATCCTCCCACTGTGTGGTAAGTCGGCTCGAAACCCATCAGGAACATGTGCATCTGCCCTACGGAAGAGTGAGTGCTCAGCTACGGTTAGCAACAGGATCTTGATACCATTGTTACAGTGAGTACAAACGATTCGTCAACAAGGATGCAATCGGCTTATTGTAGGATTCAGCATCTCAATTCTTGGCACTTTTAGTTGTGATTTAGCTATACTAATCAGGCTTGGCGACCTATGAGGTGAGAACCTGAACTATAGCCTATTCTAGTAATGGAATAGTGGCTAAAATGGGTCATCACCTATACCTATATAGGATATAGGAACGGAACAACATGGCCCCGGATATCTCCTTACTCAGATTCGACTCCCAGCGTCAGAGTCGCAAGGAGTCGAATCCTTCCAATGCTGTGCTCGGAGAGAACGGGTATCAGTTTATGCCTTGAAGTCATGTTCTGCCTCTGCGGCCACGGGTATTCCCTTCTCTTGACCGACCGAAGCTGTACGTCCCACGAGATCATTAGGGTGTTCAGCCCCGGTGATTCCAAGTCGCTCGTTGATGCGTTGCATCCGTTCTCGATCGGCCTGGGCGACGCTATCGATGGAGCCGCCGAAGAACACATCGAGCTCCTCGAGGGTCTTGTTCTTGGTTTCTGTCAAGTACTTATCAGCGATGAGTCCTTTATCAGCAGGCAACTAGAACCTCTCTCACCTGGGCAAAGAAACCAGACAAAGATACCGCCTGCGCCAGAGAAGAAGGCAAAAAAGATGTAAGTGCCAAACTTCATCGAGTTGATCATGTCGCGGGTCGTCAGGCCGATGATGAAGTTGAACATCCAGTTCGTCGACGCCACGATCGAGACACCTCGCGACCGCATGCTGTTGGGGAACAGCTCTTGAGTGAGCACCCACGCGACCGGACCCCATGAATAGGCAAAGTTGACGGCAAAAAGCCAGATGAAGGCAATGGAGACCCATCCGGGGGTTTTGGCCAGGCCTTGTTTCAGAGCCCACTTGTCCTCATACACGCCATCCACCGATGCCACGATGATGTGGCAGATGCACATCCCAATCGCCCCAACGATCAAGAATGTCTTCCGGCCAAAGTTGTCGAGGAAAAACACGGATGGCAGCGTGAAGATAATTTGCAGGATCCCGGTTACACCAGTGGCCAGCAGGTTGGTGGTGACTGAGCTGAAACCGAAGCTTGCGAAGATCTGTGGTGCATAGTACCTGGCACAAATTAGACAGACGCTCAAGGACTCTATGGAATCTACTCACAAGACGGCATTGATACCTGTGAACTGTTGGAATCTGACGCTAAGAGTTAGCATGGGTGCGAAAACCTGAGCGAGAGGAGGGACGTACATCATAATCCAACATCCAATGCTCAACCGCTTGAACATATTTGGTGCGAATAGTGCTTTCCACGGAGCTAGTACGCCACCGCTTCCCTTCAGTTCCGCCTCGGTCTCTTCATCGAACAGAACGGTCGCCTTGATCTCGAGGAATTCGGCCACTAGGAGAGGGTCGGAGGGATCAAGCCTTCTCAACCGGGACAGGGCGGCCACGCAGTCATCTTCGCGATGCTTCATCATCAGCCAGCGTGGGGAAAACGGCAGGAAGAACATTCCAAAGAAGAGGATCCAGGCCGGGATCAGCTGAAGAGCCAACGGTACCCGCCACGAAACCGTCTTCTCTCCCAGACAAGTGTGGCCATGAGCAACGTAAGGTAGGAATGTGTTGGAGGACGAATAGGGGTTTGCAACTCCTTCAGGGTCACAGTGAGTCCCGCCGACAAAGTGCATGCCATAGTCGAGCCAGAAACTGATGCATGTTCCGATGGTGATAGATAGTTGTTGGAGTGAAACAAGGGATCCTCTCAATTCAGGAGGTGCTATCTCAGCTTGATAGAGTGGAATCAGCATCGAGAAAGATCCTATACCCAGACCGCCTATGACTCTCCCGGCGAAGAGCATGGCTGGATTCTGTGCGCCAACCTGGAATCCCGTGCCGAGAGTGAAGATGATGACGGCGACCATCATGCTGTACTTTCGAGAGATCCGGTCAGACAGGTAGCCACTGACCAACGCTCCAGCCCACGCGCCGAGTTCCAAGGCAGAGACGAGCCAGCCTTGGATGGTCGAGCCGGTCAAGGAAGGGAAGTGGGCCTGGAAATTCTCCATGACCAGAATTGGGCCCATGACACCTTGATCGTACCCGTACATCATGCAGCCGAGCGAAGCAAAGGCACAGGTCATGAAGACATAGGGATTCTTGAGCATGCCCACGATTCCATGAGGTTTGTTCGCATTGTTGCGGCCGACGATGGACTGGCTGACTTTGGCTTCATTTGCTCTGGCGCCGGCGAAGCTGCCGAAGCGAGGCATCGTTAGAGAGGAGCTTTTCAGGATTTGGACGATGAGCTTTGCGAAGAGCTTGAGAGCTGTCCAGCTGCGGATTGCTGGTCAAGAAAAGGGAACAGAAAGACGAAGCGCCGTGCTCGGACCGCTGCAATGGTCTTGAACTCCCCTGGGGTAGGAAGCAAGCTTTATCGATCTTCAAAGGACGAACAACCGAAGTAATGCAATGGCAAGGAAGGACTCCATGCAACCGCAACTCAACAGGCGCCCCCAGACCCCACAGATTCGGACCAGCTTTCCTCCTGATCATACCCTGAATCGCAACCACACCGAACTAGGAGGAATCTGGGGACTCCGAGACGCCTTTTGTGGTGCGGCTCTTTGCCATTCGCATCGAGAGAAGCATGCCAATTTGCCCATGTGCCCGGGAATCCGCGAGCTCAATACCCTCCTGGGTCAGGAAATGGGTTGCTGTCTGGGGCTTGAAAGCGACAGAATAAGTCATGATTGGCGAGTACATGACTCTTTCGACAGCAAGAAGCCGTGCAGAGTAGCATCCACGCGACAACGCGCGGCCCTGAACCTAGCCTTGTCGAAATCCTGCATCGAAACCCGGCTATACGGCAAACTTGGATGTGAGGATCGCGGTTTACGGTGGCCAATCACTCCAGGAAATCAGCTCTGAACAGCGAATAACTTGTGCGGGCCGTTTGATCGAGAAGTCCATGGCACCTCCCTCCATGAAGTAAAGCTGGAAAGTGTCAGTCAGTGTCTTTGACCTGGTTCGAATGGATGTCTGGAGCTGGCGTGGAGACTGTCTGTAACCTTGTGCATCATGGGGAGGGGGTAGCCACCTACTTCGCCAACAGCAGATCGAAAGCATTAACTATGCAATTATGCATACATATGCACAAGTCTCCTGAAGACCCCGACACAGCCAGCTCTGCCACATGTCGTAATCCAACATTGAGGTTCTGTTTAGGTTGCTACCAAGCCAAGATAGCACCAGGAGTGCGATATCATCATTTCCCCCGCATACCCAGAGCCATGGGTTCTCCAGGCAGTGAATACGAGGCCAAGAAGTCTTGGTTTGAGGAGATGCACACAGACGAGATCTCGGAACGTTTCCTGACAAACGGCATGTTCGGAATTGCGGCACAGGGGTGGAGATTAGCAGGCGGCAGCACATTCAAGGGCAAGGATAATCTGGCAATAACCAAATAAGGCACATCCCCCCCGCCAGACCGGTGCTACCTTGGAGATCTATCCTTTCCTCTTTGAATATCCGGGGCCATCTACTGGCTTGCAAATGAAGTAGAAACGAAGCAGCACACAACATCTAGGTGGGTATCGTCCCAGCACAGCACGAGGACTAGTCTCTGACTCCCTTCTCCCTGTCTCTAAATGTGGAAACGTAAATGTACCTATGGATTATGTTACGTTGATGAGGTAGTGACTACAAGGTTGTTACTAAGTCTCTTTCCCCCCCTTTTCATCCCTCAGCCAAAATCCACGAAAGGCTTAGGTGGGCTGCTTAGCGCCTTTCTACACTGCAACTTCAACTAACCTCGTACTCGTGTTTGGGAGCAGACGAGGCCTTCTAGGCCTTCTCGGGTGGTCTGCCACCCTATCCGTCAGTTCCCACTCGGTTCGGGGCCGAGGCAAACCTGCATGGGAGCTGACCGGGATAATTGACTTTTGTCCCCGTCCGAATCGTTCCGTTACTCACCTGTCGCAACGTGGGTTTCAGGCCTGGATCTCACCCATGTTTTATCCAGACTATCAGCCTATAGTGCACCCCACGGGGCAATTTCAATCCAGCGATATGGCCGTGCTTGACTTTGACAGGACATTTACAAAGGGTTCGAATCTAGAGTAGGTTTGTGGCTGGCTGGCTGGCTGCCCGGTGCACGCCAACGTCGACCGAACGAGCCCCCCCCCCCCCCCCCCCCCAAAAGGATGGAAGGCTACAAGGAGATAACGTCCGCAATCGAGGGCCGACTCTTCCTCTCGACGCAAAAAGCGCACGAAGCGCAGGAGGGCAACGAGGCGTATTTCCAGACACGCCCCGTGTCCTTACCAACGGCGGATTCTTGGTTGTCGCCGCTTGCCAACCCGATCAATTTCTCGGCCAAGGGCAAGACCGACGACACCAAGACCGTGCGGAAGGGAGTTGGTGGTACCAGGGAGAGCTCTCGACGTCCTCCGTACCTAAAGACATCCAGTCAAAATCTGCCCAAGCATACCGACCAGAGTTTGGAACCCGTCGAGATCACCCGGAACGATGCATTCAGCGTGGCCTTCGATCTTGCCGAGCCGGTATTGTTTTTGGAAGGATTTGACTTCCCACACAATCTAGAGCACACATCCGCGGTGCTGAGAGGGGTGATGCGGTTGAGGGTCGTGCAGGAGACGACACTGGGTAAACTCTCGCTCGACTTTCAGGGAGTCAGCCGGACCATCTGGCCGGAGTCGTGGAGAGTGAGACGATTAAAAAAGGTATTGGACGAAAGCGTCGTCGACCACACGTGGGACTTTCTCGACAAGGAGAGAGATCCCGCAAAGGCGGCACGGGTATTCAGTCCCGGCGTGTACAACTACAACTTCGAACTTCCCCTGGCATCCTCGTTTCCAGAGACCATTGACCTGCCCATGGGCAAGGTGTTCTACTACCTCACGGCCACCGCGGTAGAGTCTGGCCGCCCATCTGTCTCGGCGACATTCAAGCAGCCTGTCACGCTGGTGCGCATCCCGTGTGTATGTTCACTTGAAATGATCGAACCTTACCAAGTCCACGGCCTCCTCCACGGCCTCGGGTACGGCTTCTCCCTCGCGGCCAAATCCTGTCCGGTGGGCGGACAACTACCCATGAAGATGAAGATCTCGACCCAACCAGACCGTTTCTGGCAGCAAATCACCGTAGCCATGGTCGAGGAAGTGCAGTATCAGACGCGCACGGGGATGGCGCACCGAGAACAGTCCCGGTCCAAGGCAGTCCTGTACACGAAGCGGGTCAAGCGGGATCCTCTGCACCAGCGCGCATTCCGCCGCATCAGCGCCGTGGGTGAGAATATGGCGGTTTCTCACGCCAACGGCACGGTCATTGAGAAAGACACCCCGCGGCGAAGTCGATCCATGTCGGTCCACGAAGACAGCGAGGGCAGTTTCCTCTATGAGACGGCCATGCTGCAAATGCCGTCCTGCTCGCGCATCCACGCGGACACGGCGTACAGGTGTCTCTACGTCCGTCATTCTCTGCTGGTAAGCAGATACCCCCTTCCACTTCTTTATTCCTCGAGTATCGACTAATGCCCCCTCCACAGATCACCATCTCGGCCTTTGTAGAGGTGAGCGAGAGCAGTCGCAAACACTTTGAGATCCGGGTCCGAATGCCCATCCAGATCCTAACCTGCAGGTGGCTCGACGGGAGCGCCACGCTGCCCAAGTACTCGGAAGATCCCGAGGAGCTCTCGCTCGAAGGGTCGCCGAGTCTGTGTCGCTGTATCAGCGGGTCGCCGGGGCCGGGCGTGGGGAGAAGGAGTAACCTCGACGAGAGGACGGCGGCTGATCGAGAGGAGTAGACTATGAATAGAGATACATGGAGTTCTTTTTCGGTGTGGCTGCCAAAATGAGACGGTCTGGGATTTTATGGGTATATGTGTATGTGTGTATGATGTATATAAGATGTACTTTGTATCCGAACAACGATTTTCTGTTGCGCAGGAATATCATAGAGTATTCCAAGCATGGAGGTTCTCAACGTTGATGGCCGTGGCTGTACCTCGTAGAAAGCCAGGGAAGAAGGACACGAGTGAAATCTATATATAGATCATTTGCTTTCTCGACGCATTCAAGCGTACGTGATTTGCTGATTACTGTTACAGTCATGTGACTTCGACGGTAGTGTACACGTGACTGTAGCAAGATAAGAGTCATGTGACTGTAACATGAATTGATTTCCCCTCTTCCCCGTCGTCCTCTACGTCCTCCAGGCCCTCTATTTCTACGTACTGTACTTGGTAGTTGTTGAGTCCTGCGCCTGGGAGGGGCAAGAGAGGCAAGTAACGAGAGGTAAATGGGGACTTTCTACCCTAGCAGGGTAACTTATGCGCCAAACCTCAAAGAAATACGACGACGACGACGATACTTATGACGGAGAGAGATGATTCGAACCCTATAAGATTAAAATAAACTATCCAACTTTCTCCGAAACACACCCTCTCTCTGTCTTCTCTCCCCCTCTCTGTCTGTGAGTGTGATGTGTGTGAACCTAATAATCGTAAAACACCAGCGTCCTGACCTCGATGCTCTCCCTCGGCGGCGCATTCTCGTACTCCGGGTCGACAAACGCCGTGTGCGGGATCCGCCGCGCCCGCCCGTCGTCCAGCGAGTCGTAGCACTTGATCAGCAGCGGCTCGTTGGGCTGTTGGGCGTACTTGAAGAACCACTGGTGCTTGGGGTTCGGGCGGACCGCGTATGTCTCGCCCTCGCGGTCCGGGTAGATGAGTTTCGCGGGGATGAGGTCGGACTCGGGCACGGAGTGGGCGGCGGCCAGGGTGAGCGGGTCGCGCAGGATGGGTTTGATGGGGCGCCAGACCTGTTTTTTCACCCAGGGTGATTAGATACCTAGGTAACGAGAAGAGGGGGCGGTGGTGAGTTCGTGTTATGGTACTGACATTGATGATCTGGAACCGCTTCTTGAGCAGCTCCTCCGCCTCGTCGGGGAGATGGTACCGCACCCGGTTCTCCGACGCCGTGTATGACTGGTCGATGTGCACGCGGCGCGCAGGCCCGCGACGCTGGCCGCCAACGTCACGGACGTCCGACGTCGCGCGACGGATCGTGTGGTCGAAGATCAAGACGCGAGAAGCTCCTGTGCTGTTCGAACATGGTCAGTATATATTTACCCTCCCCCCCCTTCTGGCCGATCAAGACAACAACAACAACAACAACAACACACGAAAAAGGAGAAACGGAAGCAACTCACGCATCTTTCAACAACTGCTCGATTTCCGGGTAATATTCCGCCTTGATCTTGTCGTCGTCGACAAAGTCCTTCTCCGCGCTCTCATGCTTCAAGTACTGAAACCCGTGGCTGTCGAGGGTGTATTTGTCCTCGTCGCCGGCGATATCGTGGATGACGACGTTCTGGGTGACGTGGGGGCGTAGATACGAATCGGGTTTTCTGTTACACCCCCCCAAGGGATTTAGAATCAAGGATCTTTTTTTTTTTCTATTTCTGGTCCACTACTATGATGGGAGGATTACATACCCGACGTATGAAGGAGCGGGGAGAGATCCGTCACCAGGGTCCTTGTAGTAGTACACCTCGGCGGCGACATCGCGTTTGGCGGGCTTGTTGGTCTGGACGAGAGGCTCGACGACTTGCCCCAGAGTATTGCCAGGGGCGTGTTGGACTGCTGCTGTGGCCATATTCGATACTCTTTGGTTACTGGAAAATGTCACACTGGGCAATTCGAGCTTAGGTGTCCAAGTATACTAGATACCAAACAAAGAACGTCGAGAGGCAGGACTATCAATGATATAACCGATATCTATCTATCCCAGGGCCACTGACATCTGTCTCGGCATTGACCATCCGCATCCCAGGCCAACGCCCGTCAATTTGTCATCTGTGTCGCTCCTCAAGCACGCAATACATGCAAAAAGCACGCCAGTCGTCAATGTTCTCCAATGCCGTCTTTTTGAATTATAATAGTTCTATTGATTCACATGAGGTGATGTTGGCCATTTTTGAATGGATACTGAATACTTGCTAGCGTAGAGCCGGTAGAGCCACCAAACTTGGCCTTGTTTGGTAACTAGTTATACGTGGGCTATATGGGGGGTAAGGAAGTGTCCACAGTGATCGAACAGCCCAGCCATACCTCGTACAACGGCAGAAACGCGTATGGCGATACTGTCACAGGCGTTTGGGACCTGGTCAATGGCTTTGCACTGAATGGTGTAATCAGACATTATCTTCTTTCGTACCTAGGTGCCCGCTGAGGAAAAGAGCGTATTACATATATGTGTATTTGTAATGATGTAGGTATCCCTTGGGTCCCTAGCTTGTCTAGCTGTCTGGTTGGTTCATTGGTTGGTTGATTGGGTATTGCGAGCTTCTGTACCGAGCACAGCTTCGCTACATACCTCGCACTTCATCCGTCTCCCTGCAGAGGGTGACCGTACTCACTTCGACAGCAGCAAGCACGTAGGTGTCCCAAATTACCATTTGAGCTGCGTCATTCGTGTCTTTCCTCGATCCATTCTCCAACGTGGTACTGCGTAGACTATATCAGTTAAAATTTCTCGTTGAACGGCCGCAAGTCAATCTCCTGCGTCCAGGCAGATTTGTGCTGCGTGTGCAGACTCCAGTAGCTCTCGGCGATCTTGTACACAGATTAGCATCCAATTTTGACAGCACACGTCGAGACGACTTACAGCGTAGGGACTCAATTTGCCGTCCGGTGCAGCATCGTTGCGATCAGCATGCTCTGCGTCCGGGACATCAATGCCGCCGTCAATGATGGCGTGTGCGACGTGAACTCCTTCGGGACCAAACTCCCTGGCGAGGGACTGTGTCAAGATGCGCGCCCCAGATTTCCCGGCCGCGATGACAGACCACAGCTTGGAGCCTCTAATAGATGCGGTCGCTCCGGTGACGATCAGGGTCGGCGGCAATGGGGAACGATCCACAGCCTGGAGAAGCAGCGGCACTACGCCCTGAGCAAAGTTGAAGAGACCACCGCTAGAGCGCGCACCGGGCCCGTTAGATACAGTCCTAGCTTGACATCATGGGGAGACACATAATTACATGTTACCAGTGAGACTCGTGTCCAGATCCGCCCGCGTCAGCTCGAGGAACGGTTTACGGCTTTGTCGCAGGTTGGGGCGGACATTATAAATCGCGGCGACAAGGTGCAAATCCGCAAAGTCCTTCTTGATGGTTTCGAGTGCCGAAGCAAAGGAAGCCGGGTCCGTCACGTCGGCGGAGATGCCGATTGCTTTTCCGCCATTCTTGTTGATCTGCGCAACGACATCCTTGTAGCTGTCCGGCTGACGCGACAGCAGGACCACTGGATACGCCTCGGCGAAGCGCAGAGCGACTGACCTCCCAGTTGCTGGGCCAATGCCCGCTACAATAGCATAAAACTTGTCGGATACCATTTTGTAGAAGTGATTTCTTTGCTCTTCTTTCGTGAATTCCTGCTTCTCGAACAGGAGCGAAGGATGCAGTGAAGGACACCAGACAATCAATGCTAATAAACAAGGTGTTTTAGAAGATGAGAAAGTATATGATTTTGCAGTGTCGTCGAATTACTAATGTATCTCGATGGTTTGTTACTGTCCCAAAATTGCGTGACCGGGATTCAGGATTGTGCGGAGGCCGAGGGGCAGCGAGGGGTACAGGGCTGGCCTAGACAGGTGCTCCTTGTCGCGAGAGTTTGTGAGGATTAGTGAACAAGCGCTGTGAATAGCATTGGCGCGACTGTCGTTTTCAAGCGGGAGCCAGGTTCGAAGCGGAGGATTACATGTTTGGAACCCATCAGTGTTGATGGCTGATACTTGGAATGATGAACGGACGTGTACGGATACCAAGAAGTATTGCGGAGTAGAGACAACATGAATGTTGAATAGAAGCACCAATGATATTCCGCCGTGTCACATTTGCAAATAAGGGGTGATATTCGAGGAGGGCATCGCGTGTAGTTCATCACGAACACCATAGTTGCTGTATTACCAGAAGAAACTCGACACTTGCCGGCAACGTTGAAATGTGGAAACAACTGACCTGGTGACATGAGCAAGAGCCCTGTATCCAAGTCTTCGTTCACTGCGATCCCGACATCTGCTGGTATATCAAGGGTCATCTGCGCTGCCTCAGCCTCATTGCCCATCACACTCGGTAGGACGACAGATTCGTCAGCAAACACATTCCATCAGGTCTCGAGTATAATGCGTCGCTATCCCATTTCAATTGCCGAAAAGCGAGACTGCCAAAGAGCACCACCGCTGCCAAAACACAAGATTGAGACTCGACAGGTCAAAAGGTGTCCGAAGTCGCCCAAGCCAGGCCCGCGCTGTAACGATGCTGCACATGATGCAGATCTCGACACGCTCCCATCGGTCAAAGGAGGACGATGCGAGTGGTGTCGAAATTCAGCATTGACACTTGAGATCGCACAAGTCAACTGGGTGCGTTGATCTCGGTCGAGCAAGAGAGCTCTACTGATTTGAGGTTGAGCGAGATCTCTTCGAGGGATAATCCACCTGTACTAGAGAAAGGGGTGGTTTTGACAAAGGTACTTAGTGGCTGGGTGGATTGTCATAGGTGCCGAATTATTTCAAATGACTGGGTGAGTTAAGTTCCACCCTACCCCAAACTCCGCGCTCGTTAAGCTTGTTTAGTACGCGTTCTTATAGTCAAATTGCACGTCACAAACACTGCAGCACGTCATTTGAAACCGGCGTCAACACAAGCTCCCAGTTTGTTTCTCACGTGCCTTTGTCCTCCTTACCCGTCAACAGAGGACATGTCCCTCAGTGGCAGAGCCTCATCATGCGATGCACTTCGGACCTGAGCAAGACACGCCGACACTAGAGATTGCGTACGATGGACGTCGATTTCTTTCCGTCGGCCAGTCAAGCGTCGTGTATGTGATTGACACGGAGAGGGTTCTCAAAACCTACCACGACACCGACAACAACGAGGACATTGTTGAGCGTCGAGCGTATGCCCGTCTCGGCAAAAACACCCGAACATCGCACAATTCCTAGGCTCTACTTCAAGAGGGGATATTGTTCTTGAACGGGGACGTGTTCTCCGAGAAGTGCTTCGTCCGCCAAACGAAGATGTTTCGATCCGGAGAAAGGTCCAGTGGCTGAAGGACTACGCGCACGGACTACAACACTGCCACTCCAAAGGTATTGTGCATGCCGATGTTGGCTGTCACAATGCCATCCTGAACACCCATGGTCGGGTACAGCTGATCGACTTTGCCGGCTGCAGCATTGACGGCGCAGAAGCCAGTTCCTGCTGAACGAGTGGTTCTCATACCGCCGATCCGGCCTCGTATCTATCGCTACCGTTCAAACAGACATCTTCGCCTTTGGATGTATGATTTTTGAAGTGGTGACGGGGCAGGCCTCCCTTCCAAGACGAGCTTGAAACGTCTCCGACTCGAACGCACATCGTCGAAGAGCGGTACATGAACAATCAATTTCCTGATCTCCAGAGCCTTCTCGCTCCGCTACGTCAGGTGACAAGGGCATGCTGGCATGATACGGTTCATTCGATGGAAGATGTAGCGAGAATGCTCGAAGCGATTGACGGACAGGGTTGCTGTGCAAAGTTGAGAGCTTGTATCAGTAGGCGGAAAGCTAGAATCATGTCACCATGTGATTCAAAACCTTGACCCGATAGACACTCTCGAAACCCTGGGCTCTTTTCCTAGTTTAGAATCCGATGACGCTATTGTCCATTGTTTCTGCTACGACTCTTTCCATGGACCATTCACCCTATCAAGGTTTTCCTGGTGGACAGACACCACCTCTAGCTCCATTCGGCCGGACTCATGGCCTACTACTGCTCAATCGATCCTTCACGTCCTTCTCAACCCTCTCGAAGTCATAGTTATGTGCCACTATGACGCTGTCCAGGCCACGCCTTGTGTCTATCAGAGGAGCCAATCAAGGAGGAGCGTGACCAGAAGAGGAAAGTGACTCCGACGACCTCCAAATCCGGACGAGGCTGAATCATCGTGGCAACTCTTTCCCGACTTCCCCTCCTCAGACAACGAGCATCCTAAATCAACTGCAGAACGTCTCGGAACAGAGCGTCTGAGTTTGGTTCTAGTCATACGCCGCGGCTGCTCCCCGCATCTCGCTGATGGCTGAGATAGCCATACAACGGACCCCAGACGTTCTCAGCGCGGGCCGTCACAATATGACAACAGTCGCCAACAAGAAGCGTACCAGAAGTCACACGTTTGGCGGATGTAAAACCTGCCGCAGACGTCACATCAAATGTGACAAGGTGCGGCCTACATGTCTCACCTGTAGCGCTGTTGGCGCGGCTTGCGAAGGATTCTCCCAGGACCTCAAATGGGTTGACAGTCGGAGCCGAACCACTAACAACGAGGGCCGCACGGAGTCGGCAGGCCAGTCAGTGAGACGTCATCTCTATACAGGTATTCTTCTCATGGGTGAGTCTCAGCTGAGCTACTCCTGCTGACGTGGCATCTTCAGAAGCAACTCGAGAGCTGATGAGCAAAGCTTTGCGTTCGGACTTTGCTCATAAGCCTGTCGAGGAGTCCCTCTCAGAACTTGACGGCAGGTGTCGAGATGGAGTACCAGGCTGTGCCGATGGCCTCGTTGTGGGCCCTTTTGGAGTCTTCAGCCTCGATACCCTGCCACCACAGCCTCCGAGAAACTTAACTCGGAGTGAATCAGTTCAGACGATGTCCGGACCACAAGCCACTGACGTTCAGCATCACGAAAATGACTTATCATCTATTGAGTCAGTTGGCAGGTTAAGCGACATACACGACTTCTTAGACTGGCCTGATCTTTTTGACCTGGACTTCACAAATGCCGAGATATTCCCGCAGTCATCCGACAACGGTCTTCAGGATTTGTTTGCCGCTCCTGATCCTGCGGCGCCGCAGATCAACCATGCCGATACTTTCGCGGTTGAAAGAGATGTCGGCTGCGCTGGCGCCGTGTCTCCCTCGAGGAGGTCAGTATGTGGCGAGATAGGCGTGAAGCCTGACGACATTGACCCTGCAGAAGCACAACTACTTCTCACTCACTTCAAAGATCGGGTCATTCCTCAATTGCGGATCATGCCTGTCGAGAAGAAGTCGCCGTGGGAAGTCAACAACCTGAACGCTGCGGTTCTGACCCTGGCAAGACTGACTTACATGGTTTCGCAACCGGTATCTTACGCTGCTCTGGCCAATTTGCAGGCACTACTGGCTCTCTCAGCCAAGCACATGGCAGCTCATACAGATGAATCTTCTGGGGGATACTGGCAAAGTTTTGCAGCCAACATCATCAACAAAGCAAAGGAAAACCTGCAGTGTGCCTTGCGGAACGAGATCAAGGGCACCAATGCCGCCAAATACAAAGACCTACTCATGGCAATCCTAGCCATGGTGACATATGCCGTAAGTATCGCGACGGAGGTAGCACACAATTGCTAATGCCCGCAAAGACTCTGTACGATAATCAAGCAGACGCTCGGGCATATATGATCGACGCTGAACGGCTGCTTCGGCTTCGCGGACTCGCGAAACGGGCCATCTCACGAAAGGCAAGGGAATTGCACCATGTCTATACGTGGACAAGGATAGTGGAAGAGAGTACTTTCGTGTTGCGTAACTACGAATCAACCAGGGCAAAAGGTGCTGTTGGGACTGCCAGGTCCGGCGAAGTACCAGCGATGCAGCCTCACTCGGGGCCCAACCCTCGCTTGGATGACTTCCTCCGACTCGACACATCTATCCCGGACAGCGAGATTGAAGCCGGTGCAGAAAAGGACAATGAGACCGGACAGCATGACATCCACCTTGAAGACAGCCGAGAATTTCCGCCGAGCATGTACACCGAGCTCTATGGGATATCTGAAAAGTGGCTCAGTCTTGTGTCACAAACGACGAGACTAGCAAATTTCGTCGACAGTATGGAGTTCGACAAGGACCGATGCGATATTGTGTTCATGGAAGCGATCGAAAGACGAAAGCGACGACTAGAAAACATGGTCTGTGCGTTTGCCACGAGGGACCTCCCAGATGCCGACGACCAAGCGCTCTCAGCAACGCGGAGACCAGGCTTGGAACTAGCCCGCGAGTCGATGGTGCAGGCGCTGAATTCTGCTCTCGTGATGTTCTTCTACCGAAGAATCAGGAGGGTCAACCCGTTGATCCTGCAAGAACATGTCAGGACCGTCATCCAGGCTTTGAAAACGTACGAAGCTGCGTGCAGAGAGACTGGCACCCGGGGAACCGGGTCCCCCTGGCCTGCTTTTATGGCCGGGTGTGAAGCACTGTACCCTTCGCAGAAGGAGTACCTGAAGGGTTGGTTCGAGAGGGCTTTTGCCGCCACGGGGTTTACGAGGCTCACCGTGGCGAAGGCCTGTATGGAGGAGGTATGGAGGCGTCGCGACCAGCCTGTCGGCGCATTTTGCACGGGAAGCCGCGATCAAACCCGAACGTGGGAACGAATTTCCAAGGAACAGAACTTGCACTTGTTACTGTCATGAAACCATTACCACCGATTGGCCGTTGTCTTACGATGAAACCCGGCAAGCCTTTTTTAAGAGGTGGCTCATGAATTCACCACCTTCAGCCCGGCAGTTTGCAAGATCCTGGCCAACTCTGCTCGCGGCTCACCGGTGAGCAGTTTGAAGGGCTTCCTCAGTCCTCCGGTTGGATAGCCGAGCAATTCCATGGCTGTCTTGACGGCCGAGGGGTAGTTGTACTCCTCGAGAAACTTGCAGACCGGGTAGATCTTGGACCACACCTCTCGACCCGCCCGCAAATCACTCCTCACAGCCAGCGTATCCCACAACTGGGCCGACAGCTCAGGGATGATATTCGACGCACCCCACACTGCGCCCTTGCAGCCCGCGGCGAGGCTGTAGAAGGTCAAAGTATCCCACCCGTTGAAGGCGGTGATGTGGTCGCTGAGCGAAAAGACCAACTCGGTGAAAGCGGGAGCGTTGCCCGACGTGTCCTTCAGGTATCTCACGCCGACTTTCGACAGCCCGGCAATCTGCGTCGGTGTCAGGCTAAGGCCGGACGCCGAGGGGATGTTGTAGTAGACAATGTCCAGGTTTGCGGCCTCGTGGATCTCGGCCATGAGTTCTTGGAGCTGCTCGTAGTTGACCGGGTCGTAGTATGGCGGCACGACCATCACAGCCGCTGCTCCGGCCTCTTTGGCGTGACTCGCCAGGTCAACACAGTCCCTGGTCGTCGTGGCGCCGATGCCCGCCACCACGGGTACCCTTCCAGCGGCGTATTCAATACAGAGCTCGAGATTCTGTTTTCTTTCGTCCATGCTCAGTGCTGTGAACTCGCCGGTGGTGCCGCCGGGGACGAGGCCATGGCATCCCGCGCCCACGATGTGATCAATGTGGGCCTTGAGACGGGATTTGTCAATGGCGGAGCCGTCGTCTGTAAAGGGAGTGATCAATGCCACGAGAATGCCTGACAGCGAGGGGTTTGCGGAGCCCATATTGAGGGTAGCTCTGGGGTGATATGAGTATACTCAGTTTGCTGGATCAATGGTTTTGGAAGAGGACTGCTGAGCAAACAACTGGACAAAAGAGATCCTCCGGATATTTGTATCTCAGAACAGATCAAAAGGGAACGTCTCTAGGGTTTCTACGCCCGTTTGAGGTGATGCTGCTGGCCCTATTTCGCCGCATTCGGCCTCTCCGAAAAAGGGAAGACGGAAGGACGTTCCCGATATGAACAGAGCATCTGAATTCCAAGACAGACAGAACCTGACATACCGCGCCGAGAAATCTCAAGGTATGTTACGTAGTGCCAAACCGTATAGGACTTCCTCTTTTCCAGCAAGGATACTGTCGGCCCCATCCAATGTTGTCATGACATTAAGCTCCACTCATTTTCCCCTTTTTTGTCATTTCCCTTTTCGGCTTCATGAATTGGGCAAGAGTTTCCGGTGCGTGGTCAGTCGCACTTGAGCGGAACGGATCAAGAATGGATAACAACAAGGAGGAGGACGTCAGGGGGTTCGGAGAATCCGGCGACAGAAACGAATCAGACTGAGTGTCGTTGCGTCCCTCGCGGAAGTATCTGCCCTCACCGTGGTTTATTTATCTATCTGTACAGTACTGAGAGAGATCCCACCCAGAGGTCACAAATCTACCCCAACGCAAACAAAACCATTGGAAATACTTCAAAGTAAATCGCTTCAAGGGGACTATTCACCATCTTTTGCAGCACGCATTCCGACAAACAGAAATCCGCCGAGAGAATGGCAAATCGACCTCGATCTCTCGATAGCCACGTCTTCACCATCGAGGATCTCCAGGCGCTGGGCTCTAAAAAGCTCCCGAAAACGTATCGTGGTAAGGTCGACGTCGGTTTTTTTCTTCGCTGCCAAAGGCTGACAGCTTTCTATCAGAATACTACAACGAAGGCGCCATGGATATGATATCGTAAGTTTTTTTTTTTTTTTTTTCGTTGCGCTACATACACAATGTCTCAAAAAGCCAAGTAGCTAGCAATGGCCATCATCGTCTTGCGAGGCTCGTGAAGAAAGATCCCACTGACACTCGACACTAATACGGGCAAGATTACGCGACAACATCGCCGCTTACGACCGGTATCGGATCCTGCCACGCGCTTTGCGAAACGTCCAATGTGTTGATACCTCGACGACCCTCTTTGGCTGTCGGGTAAGTAGACCACTATCTTGTCGTTTACATGTCGTGTCCCGTATTTCACTGTTTGGGATTGATCCCCCCCAATTCTTGTTGCCAATCTGTCGGGGGCTTTTATAATAGGTCACCTTCCCCCTGGGCATCAGTCCCTCGGCCATGCACAAGCTCGCGCACCCCGAAGGGGAACTGGCAACGTCGCGGGCGGCGACGAACATGAACGTCAGCATGTGTTTGTCGTCGTACGCAACTACCTCGCTGGAAGACGTGGCGGCGCAGGGCCGCGGCAACCCGTACATGATGCAGATTTGTGTGCTCAAGGACCGGAACAGGACCGCGCAGCTTTTGGAGAGGGCTGAAGGTCGGTATTTAGCCATTCGCCATACATTCTTCTTGCTTCTTGCCCTTCATTTCCCAATCCTCTCCAAACCCCACGGGAAGATAAGACAACTGCTGACATGGGTCTCTGGAACACAACCCCGTTCTCGCCCAACAGCGGCTGGCTACAAGGCCATCTTTCTGTCAGTCGACGTCCCCGTCCTGGGCAGGCGTCTCAACGAGTTCCGCAACAACTTCACATTACCCAACGACCTGAGTTTCCCCAATATCCTGTCTTCGGGCCACGACGAGTTTGCCAAGGAAGAAAGCTCGCAGGACTACGGTATGTGTGTGTGTGTGTGTGTGTGTGTGTGTGTGTGTGTGTGTGTGTGTGTGTGTGTGTGTGTTGCGCTCGAAATTGCCAGATTTCGCTGTTTTCTGGTTGCTTAAAAAAGTCGTCACACTTACTTTCTTTCCTGTGCAGATTCAAGTCTGGAGTGGGCGGAAATCATCCCCTGGTTGAAGGGGAAGACGAGGATGCAAATCTGGTTGAAAGGCAGTAAGTCGGTCAAGACACCCACACCTGACTCCCTTTAGAGAGAGTCGAGACACCCTGTAATAGGGGGGTAAGGAGGATAAGTAAGCTTACTGGTAGTTCTAGTCCTCAGCCCGGCCGACGTCTTACTTGCCATCGACCACGGCGTGGACGGCGTTTTGATCTCCAACCACGGCGGTCGCCAGCTCGACGGAGTCCCTGCCACCCTGGATTGCCTGAGGGAGTGTGCACAAGTGAGCCGGGATCGAATCCAGATGGCTGTCGACGGGGGAATCCGTCGTGGTTCAGACATGTTCAAAGCCATCGCACTCGGAGCGCAGCACTGTTTCGTCGGCAGGGTCCCGATCTGGGGACTTGCGGTGAGTCGTGTGCCATCTGCCATCTGCTATTTCATGAGATCCTCTCTACTGCTACTGTTTATAACCTCCGCACGAGGCATACCTATTAACGTGCGGTTTTTTTCGCTAGTACAACGGACAGCAGGGGGTCGAGCTGGGCTTGAAGCTTCTCTTGGACGAGTTTCGCACGACTATGGCACTTGCAGGGTACTTGTTACTATATCCACACGCTCCTGTTCCTTGGTCTTGCACCTACGCTGACTGATCTCAATGCTGGTAGATGTCGCACGGTCGGCGAGATCACACCAGAGCACCTTACCTATCTTGAGCCGGGAGGTCGACTGCACAGGTTGTAGATCCCGAGAGGGCTGTACCGGATCCCACTGGAGTTGGGTGGGTGGATGGTGGACCGTAGACGGGAAATATGTAAAAAGGAAGGATTCGTTATGAGGCAGTGTGGCGGGCTTTGGGCAGCGCAGACTATTACATCCACAGGAGGCGCGGTCTGTGGTGTGGCCTACCAGACTGTGAAGAAAGGCGCTTCACTGGATGTGCGATGCACTCGGCTATTGACGGTGAATTCCACACCTTGGATATAGAGACACGGGGCGGGCAGATCTGGACAGAAGATGAAGTCATTCCTCATCCATATACTCACAATACCTACCATAAAGTTCGGTTGGCGGTTTGTTCGCGATGCCTCCACAGCAATCCGTGTGTATATAGTGTCAGATCCGATACGCTTGTGGACACAGCATCAACAGCGAGTTCGTGAAATGTCCAAAGCATGAAAGCAGTCAAGACGACAGATGCGTAACAGGGGTATGGAAATACGAAGAGGCCAAGAGGACACTGTACAAGTGTCGCAAATGCTCAACCAGTGTTGCAGGTATTTGAAATGTTGATCCAATTCGTGGACGAGCTACTCTCATACTGACTTTGTGACTTGAGTATCAGGTCGCTTTTGAGGGCCTACCAACTCCAGGGCTTTCCCATTCCAGTCTCATCCAGCAGAGCTGCCTCTAGGCCGCGAAGCTCCTGCTCTTTCATCTCCTGCCAGAGTTCGGGATCGTCGGGTGGTGGCAAAGAAGACTTCTCGAAATCGATAAACCTCGGCCCCTGTGTGGTGATCAAGATGTTGTACTTGAACACATCGCCGTGAACGAGTCCGCAGGCATGCAACTCTTCAAGTGCGCTCTCAATGTCCTGGAGATCGGAGATGGAAGCTGGCCGGCCATCGATTGGCTCAGAAATGAATCCAACAATACGTTCTGGCGTGCCCTCATAGACATAGCCCAGTAACGCAGGTCCCAATTGTGACTGTCTCTGTGCCAGAATTTCGTAGGCCTCGATCTCGCGTGAGATGGCACCAACTTCGAATGCGAATCTTGCAATCTTCAGATAACCCAGCCCCGACCCGGTATCGACGTACTTGACTCGGTGGTTCGGCCTGGACAGGACACGAAGATCAAGGACGTCGAAAAGTGGGTAGGAGCCTACCAGCTTTTCCGGAGGTATGGCGTGGAGTCCGAAATGATCTTGTAGGCACTCAATCCCATCGGCAAGCCTCGACACGGTCAATGTATTCCACGTATCGTACCACCCATCGAGCTTGCACAGCTCGCGAACAAGTGCGAAATTCTCGGTTCTCGAGTCTTCGGGGAGGATGGTGTTATCAGTTATGAAAACATAAATGACTCTCTTCCCTCTGTTGTCCTCACGTAGGAGCCGATAGTAGCAGTCATCGGGACTCATATCCAGATCTAGCATTCTGTCGCGTATGTCTTGTTGAGGTGACTCGCTGGATGCCGGGGAGTTGGTTGGATTGAGTGGCGACGGAGGTTGTGACGTTATCTGGTGATGGAGCACTCCAGATTCGGTGATAGCATTGTAGACTTGCTCCCAGATAGTTGAGTCATATGGGTTGCTACTCAGAGCTGTGTTCAAGAGAGGCTTGATGCATTCGAGGTCAAAACCGCCAGAGGAGACTGCGGAAGTGAATTCAAGGAGATCATCTCGCAGGCATCCGCGCCCCGTTGTCGAAGGTAAGTGGCTTGATGTTGGATGATCATTTAGCGAGGACAAGAATAGGAGCGTAAGACTGCGGAGTTCTAAGTCGACACTATCAGCAGAATATCTCTTGACAGGATCGGGGCTGCCTCACCTTCTGGGCCGAGTCGACCAAGCGCATCTGACGAGCAAGACAGGTCTTTTCTGTCACATGTCGCCTTGAAAGAGGCGTGGAGTTGACCAAGTGTCTCTGCAAGGGATCTGGTCTGGACGATGGGTTGAGTGACTTCTGACTGCGTTTTGTCTGCCATGGCGACAGGCACTGCGCTGGTAGGGGATGCGAGCCTTGTATTCCGCTATGCACCACCGCCCCAATGCTAAGCTACTCAGCCACTTCCATGCATCTCGCAAAGGTCGCATCAAGGTCAGTTTCAGAGTTGAGAGCTTTAAAGATGATCTGAAGGATGACATTTCGTAGACAAGTATTTATGCAGTGACGGTATCTGTCGAGCAGTGTCACTTGTTAAAGCGGCGGCAGTATACTCCAATAATGGATAAGCGTCGTCGCACTTTCTGCTGCGACAACAAACGACGCGACTGTCACTTTGTTACGCGAATGTGTGATATCTTCAATCTCCAGTAAGTGCTGAAGCCTGATCACTGACCTTACCGTGACTCAGAAGGGCCGCTCACAGCGTCTGTCTCTTTGGACAGAAACGAATTTCCACCAGATCGAGAAATGAAGTGTCCACATCTACCTTTGATCCAGAATCGTCGCAGCACACCGCCATGGGATCATCACCCCCTTAGCACTGGACACCATATCACCCTCGCTACTTCATTAATGATCCACAACATATTGGACAACCTTTATCACGAGGACAAAATCTGCGACAATTCTGTGGCGTCCTCTGGAATCGCGTTCCGATTCTCTTTGTTCGGGTTTTGTGCTGTCTAGTCGGTAGACACGCATATCCCTGCCTATCCTGTGTAGGTTAAGAATACACAAATGGAACAAACAGATAGGGTTCTCCTTTCTTCCTTGGATGTTCTCTCCCTTTTGTTTGTGTGGGTGTCGTCAAAGATGTCAGTCTTCAATCCCGCACCTTTTGTCAAAGTCGGATTCACTGGGCCTAACCGCCGCAGACAATGAAACGTCCATCTCTGTATTTCTCACCAGAACTTATACGTCTAGCTATCCGGTTTTCCTAACGTGTCGGGTTGTATCCGACGGCAGCCGCAGGAGGATTGCGATAGCTACTCGCCTACCATCACCTTCAGACCGACGGATGATCAGGTCTCGCGGTTCGGTTGGATCCCGGTTCCTCGCTCAGACAATAACATATTCTCACCCAGACTTCCCGTCCAAATGAGGGGACGGTCGACGGGCTCCATGAACCACAATGTCGGTTGAATTGCTCCGAAGCACAAACAAGGACAGAGACACTTGGGGAACTTTGCTTTCCGCCCCGGCAGTCTCCTGCACCGAAGAAACCCGTCCTACTGGAGGGAACACCGTCTGCACATGGCAAGTTTGGCGTGTTCATTAAAAGCCAGTCTTCGGCAATGCATCTGCCGTGGTACTGGAAGAGAGGCGGCGGCGGCATTCGAGTAGCCTCAAAGCCATCAATTAGCCTAATAACCATCTCTATACCTGGTACTTGGAGCAACTACAGTCAGTAGCTCTTTGCACTAAGGCTCCTTGTCCTCGAGCTAACCGGTTTACCCCATACTTCATTCTATATAGAGTAGTCGGGTATAGATAGGGGATAGTGAGAATAGTCATCGGGTTGCTGCGTTGTCGATCATCCCGTCTTTCCCCAACGTCATAATCCCACAACATAATAATGTTATGCATATTCCCCTTCAGGCCAAACTCCATGTTGTCCATGTCCATTCCTCCTCCCGTTGCCCTCCGCCCTCGAATCCCCCGCATTTGTTCCCCCTCACAATTTTTGGTCATTTCCCCAGTTTTGCTGGACTTTTGCTTAAACTATACAACACCATCGGATGTTATCGTCACCGTAGAGTAACCCTTCTAACACTGGTCCGATCCACATCGACAAGCTTCCCTGGCAAAGTAGACAAGCTAATAGTGCAGATCATCGCAACGGCTTTAGGCTCATGTCGAGCGGTTGTTTTCTTGCTTTGTTCGTTGGAGATGGGGATGGAGATGCGCAGTCATCCGCCATCGGAGCTTCGCCGAACAATTGGCGAGGATTCGGTAGACCTTGGGTCAATGGACCGCGAGAGCTGTGTGTTAGGGAGTGAGCATAAAGAGAAGAGAAAGGTACGGTGTGGCAAACCCCTCTCCTGTCCAATTGGTCTTTGCTATCCCTATTCTCGAAAAAAGAAACGTGAGCTGGCTCTCCATTTCCTTGTTGGAAATCAACAAACCATCCCTGAAGTGACTGAGTGAGCGGACGAGCACTGCTCCTCCTCTCACCAAGGAACAGCAATGCTGTTGAAACCACTATTCGCCGTGCTCGCCGCGGCCTCCACCGCTGTCGGGTACGTAGTCAACAACGGCACGGCATGCTACGTGTACCCAGAGTCCCTAACGCACTTTGGCGAACCGGTCGACGACACGCCCTCGATCCTGCAGGCCTTTGAGCTGTGCGGGACGAACGGGTCCGTCATCCTGACCGAGAACACGTTCCACATCAACCAGGTCATGAACACGACGGGCCTGGTCAACTGCGACGTCGAGCTGCACGGCGAGATGATCTGGAGCGACAACATCCCGTATTGGCTGGGCCATAGTTACTCGGTCGTGTACGCCAACCTGTCGACGGCGTGGTTTTTTGGTGGGGAGAATGTGACGTTCAAGGGGTTTGGGAAGGGTCGGTTCAACGGGAACGGTGAGTCGCGACGACATCTCTTTCCCTTTCGTCTTTCCCCCTCTTCTGCCGAAAGAGAGAGACGTGCAATCATCCGTGTACAAGATGTTGAACGCTATGCTGGGAATGCAACCATATGTGATGTGTGTCTCGAAGAGAAGATATCCTAACCCACCGCTCGAAACCTTGCAGGCCAAGCGTGGTACGACGAGAACCGCAACAACAGCAATCAACCCGGGCGCCCCATCGCCTTCACCATCCTCAACGCAAAGAACCTCTGGATGGACGGCGTGTCGTGGAGCCAGGCGCAGTTCTGGCACTCGTTCATCTCGCACTCGCAAAACGTCAGCATGTCCAACATCTACATGAACTCGACGAGCAACAACACGTGGTTCACGGTCAACACGGACGGGACCGACACGTGGAATTCTAGGGATGTGTTTTATACGAACTGGACTGTTTTGGGAGGTTTGTCTTTTCATTCTTTCCTCCCTGCCTCCCTCCCTCCCTGCCCATCTGACCTCCGCGTCTAGGCGACGACTGCATCGCCATCAAGGGCAACAGCACCAACATCGTCTCCCGCAACATCACCTGCTACCGCACGCACGGCATGCCCATCGGCTCCGTTGGCCAACAGCCCGGCCACCCGGACTTCGTGCAGGACATTGTCTACGAGGACGTGCGCCTGATCAACTCGACCAACGGCGCGTGGATCAAGGCGTGGCAGGGCCGGTCGCAGGCCGTGACGAACAACGGCGGCAGCGGCGGCGGAGGCGGAGGGTTCATCAAGAACGTCACTTTTCGGAACTTTGTGCTCGAGAACGTCGGTCAACCGATCAGTATCACGCAGTGTGTTTACGGACATGATCCGAGCGTGTGTGATACGAGCGAGGTGAGTTTTTACCCTCGTCTTTTCCCTTCTCCTAGTCCCTCCCTCCCTTCTATCGAAAAAAAAAAAAAAAAAAAAAAAAAAAAAAAGGGGGGGGGGGGGGGGACACTTCTTCTTTTTTAACCCTATACAACCTCCCTCCAGTCTAGATTGGCCTGTCTACATACTGGAGTATCCACGATTTAAAACACTAAAACGGATGTGTACAAATAGCTCCAAATCTCCGACGTGACCTGGCAAAACATCACGGGCACGTCGCACTTCGACGTCGCCTCCATCATCCACTGCTCGCCGCTCGTGCCGTGCCCGGGCCTGAAGTTCATCGACGTCAACATCACCACGGTCAACGCGTCCCTCGGCCGGCCCAGCTTACCGCAGGTCAACCTGTGCGCGAACATGGTAAACCAGAACGTGACGACGGGCGAGAACGCCACGGGCATCCCCTGCCACGGGTTCGCGCCCAACGACATGCCCAACGTGCTCTACAGGAACTGGCCCGAGCTGTTGCAGAGGGTCATACTCAGCGTCACCGTGCCCGAGGCGCAGCGGGATAATTGTCTGCATCCGGGGCCGGATCCCGCGGCGGCGGGGTGTGCTCCGCCTCCGTATTGATATCCAATACAGTGATGAGGTGGGCATGGCTTTGACGCAGAGAGAGAAGTACATACAACATGGAGAGAAGTGGAAAACGTAACGATCTGACCATGAACTTGCCTGATAGATACAAAATAGAAAGTGGCTTATTCCAAAATACACATTCAGCTTATCAGCCCTCGATATCAGTCCCTCGTGTCTTTTTCGGCTGAAGACTTGTGTTGACTAATCGCTGTGTGTTGTTTGTTGTACACCATGGATTTCTGACTTCAAGACCCAAGCCGGGAGCGGGAGAGAAGAAGGAAAAGAAGTCAAGCAGAGCAAGTATATAGTAGGAAAGTGCGATATTTGCAGCCTACACATATATGGACGGCAGGCTTGATCAAGGTGTTCGTTGGTAAGAGCCCATGGCATGACTTCTGCGAGCAACTCGTTAGGAAGGAGCGCATATCCTTGTATAGCAAGACCATGGCACAGTTCCAGTGAGCCACCCACGTTATCGAGCCAGTTTCTCGACCAGCGACGCCACCTTGACCAATTTGGCTTCCATCTGACGTCGCCCAACCACCTGCAAGCCGATAGGAAAGCCCTCGTACCGCCGGCGTTTCTCTTTCGTGTCTGTCTCCATGGTCAGATTTTTGGTAGACAGAAGTCATAGAGCCCACAGGAGCGAGAATACAAAGACTTCTAGAAACACCGGCAACTTACATATAGACTGCACCCTCTCATCCATCGGTCCTCGCGGAGGAGGCAACTCGACGTCGTCCCTACTCAAGTCCACGGCGCCACACTGCACAATGGCGGCAGGATAGTCGAGGACGTTCCAGATGCGCGAAAAGTGGCTCCGGATCAGCGTGTCGTGCGGCCGCGGCAGACAGCTCTGGGGAGGAGTGAGGATGACATCGACGGGTCGACCGGAGCGGGTTTTTGTCGCTGTCGACGCCCAGTATTCCAGCCAGTCGGTCTGGAGTTGCAGTCTCTCCGCACTCAGCGCGAAGAGGTCTGCCAACGTGCCTTCGTCGCAGGGGTAGAGGCCACCTTGTTGGACCGAGTCGGTGTATGGCTCGCCCGTGAGGTTTCTCGCCGCGTCCAGCGCCTTTTTTTCCCCCTCTCATATTAGCATCGCACCCCCACCTACACTGACGAAACTGAGGGAAAATGTACCTTGCCACCCTCGAGCTTGAAGTGTCCCACAGCGTTTTTGGCGAGCTCGGCACACTTGTAGAACTCCATGTCCACAACCTCATGGCCAGCCGCCCGCAGCTTGTCGCAGGTCTCCCTGAGAATTCGGAGGAGAGGCGGCAATGGCGTGGTTTCGTGGTCTTCCCAGATGACCCCAAACACGAGAGGCTGCTCGGGCAGTGGTTGCGAGTCCCAGGGCAAATAGCTACATCCAGGGTCGTGCAGCCAGGGCTCTGCATCAGATACCGCGCGGAGGAGAAGCTCGCAATCTCTCATCGACACGGCCAGGACGCCGTTGACACATAGAATACCGACCGTTTCTGCCCCGTCGGTCAAATACCCCTGGAGCCTGTGGTATGGGAGACGACCGGAAGACGGTTTTACCGCGGAGACGCCGTTGCAATAAGCTGGGATTCTGGGACAAACGAGATCAGGAGACCTTTTCTCGTTAAGAAACAACTGGGACGAATGGGGGCCTACCTCACCGACCCTCCAACATCGGTCCCGATGCCCATCAAGGCGCCCCGGATCCCAAGCAACGCACCCAACCCGCCCGAACTCCCGGCGGCCGTGAGATACTTTGACCGAGCATTCCGCGACTGCCCAAAGACAAAGTTCTCCGTGTCGGGCGTCATCATGGACTGCGGGACGTTGGTCTTGACGTACATGACCGCCCCGAGCGACAGGAGCATGTCGACGATGACCGAGTTGCGCGGGACGGGTTTGAATGCAAAGGCGGCCATTCCGATGGTCGAGTCCACGCCCGAAACATTGATGCTGTCTTTCAGGGCGATCGGGAGGCCGTGGAGTGGGCCCAGGGGTCTTCCCGTGCGGTGGATGTGGTCGTCGAGGAAGGCGGCGCGGTCGAGGGCTTGGTCGAAGAAGATTTCCGTGAGGCAGTTCAGGGCTTGTTGGGCGATGGCGGCTCTCTGTTTTTGTCGCAAAAAGGGCCGAGATGGTCAGCCAGAATGGATATAAACTCGAAGACTCGATAAGCTTCATTCCCCCCATGCTGGACTCTACATCGAGCCGAACTCACTCTCTCTCTCAGTCACAGGGCAAGGGACATCTTTCGAGTCCTGATACCACACCTCATCTCACAATACCCACGGTTCCATGAATCACTCTCCGATCCTCGTAGAACTACCGCGGTAAACTTACTTTACAAAACGCCCTCGTCACCTCCACACTGGTATATTCTCTCGCATGGATCTTCTCCAACAAACCCACAGAGTCATACTCTTCAGTAATCTCCAGCTCGCGCGGCGAGAGCAACGAACAAGACCGGGGGAGATGGAGCAGATTGTCGTCGTCTTCGGGAAGCGAGATCTTCCACTCTGGGGGAATCTTGCTGTCTCGCTCGGCCAGCTTGCGACGGCTGATGTCGAGGTACGCGGGTTCCGGTGTTGTCGCTGGCATGATCATGTTAAATCTTTTGAATAGTTATTGGATTGTGCTTGGTAGGCACAGGTTGTCCTTCGATGGTAACCCGGGTGTATAATCAATCAATCCACCAAAATGTCCATCTCTTGATGAACGAGTCTATTCTGAATCTTGGCAATGTACATGATCCGAATGTAGAAAAGACTGTATTAATTATTATCCTTCTTCGGAACTCAAAATTAGATAGATACAGGTAGTTACTCAGTCCTCAGTATCGTGCATCTCCATGTCCCTATCCCATGCCCAAGAAGGCCAATCCGCAGTGGCCGCTTACCTAAACGCTCAGGGCAAGGGCCATGGCATTATTAGTGGCATTATGCATTACCATCACACATCGGAATTCCCGCCGCATTGTTATCGGCGAGAGCCGTTCTCCGTGAACCGTCTTTTCGGGACATGTCCACCCACCAACCGAGAGATGTGGGCGTGATGGATATGATATCCCGGGCAGACCATGGCAAAGCACAAAGTCAAAAGTTGGACATTGACTGTTTGTATGTTGAATGGTTGAATGGAAAAATCCTTGACCTTGTGGACCCTTTGACGTTTGTTTATTGGCGATTAACTAAGATACATAATACATAACAACATACGTGCCAATCTGGGTATAAGTCCGGGATACGCGCTGCCGGCCTATCGACTATAGCCGTTCCCAGTACCAAATACTGAAGTCCGACTTCCAAACTGTCTTGACGGAGGTCTTCTTCTTCACACTCTCGGTAACCCTGGCATAAATCAGTATACACTACACGGCCAACGTTCGCCGGTCAGTACACTCGACACTCTACACTCTACACAACCTCGCAAGCCTTGCAAGTCTCAGAAATGGTGATCGAGGACAAGAAATACTCGTTCGACCGCGACCTGGTCGGGTACGGCCAGCAGGGGCGAAACGCCGAGTGGCCCGGCGGAGCGCGCATCGCGGTCAGCATCTGTGTCAACTACGAGTAAGTAAGTCGTGTTCCGTTTCGATCTTTGGAGCGCATTTCGCGGGTTTTGGCGGGACCGCAAATGGGGGGTTTCCGTTGGAAGAGAATGGGCCAGGGGACCCGACGTTTTGTGTCTATGATCCTCAGATGTACAGTGGTTTTTCAACAGGACACACTCTTGTGGGCTTACTTACCCGTGGCCTTTTTCTGTCGCGGAAAATGAATGAAATGAATGCTGGTCTGGAAAGAAAACTAAGGCCCTGATCCTGTCTAGAGAAGGCGCCGAGTCGACCGTGTTGAACGGAGATGTTCAATCAGAGACCCTGAACTGGGAAAAAGGTATTAACTCAAAATCTCTCCCCCAAATCGCCATAGTCCTGGATAGTATGGGAAACAGTCTATTTTTCTGGGGGGGGAAAAAAAAAAAGCACAAGGGACACCCCGTATCACCGGGACTACTTGCTGACCATCATCGTGTTTGTCTCTTGTCTCCATCTATAGCCGGTGGTCCCGCCTTCGTCAACGCCCGCCAACCCAACGTCGAGTCCGAGTACGCGTACGGCGCGCGCGCGGGCATCTGGCGCCTACTGCGCATCTTCGCCGAGCACTCGCACCCCTTCACGCTGCTCGCCGTCGGCCAGGCGCTGGAGATGAACCCGAGTGTGGCCAAGGCGTGCGTCGCCGCGGGCCACGAGATCGCCGGCCACGGGTACCGCTGGATCGACTGTCGCGACATGTCGCCCGAGGAAGAAAAGGACAAGGTCAAGCGCGCGATCAGGGCGATCCAGAGCACCGCCGGCGTGGACCCCGCGGGCTGGTACGTCGGGCGGATCAGCCCGAACAGCGTCGGCGTGGTGTGGGAGGCGTTTGCCGAGATGGGCCTGCAGTTGAAGTGGCAGAGCGACTTTTACGCCGACGACGTGCCCGTCTGGACGGATCTCCCCCCTGAATTGGCGAGGGTGCAGGAAGAACTCCATCACCTCCAAGAAAAAGGCGACAAGCCCAAAGAGGGCCTCCTCCACGTCCCCTACTCGTACGACTGCAACGACATGAAATTCCACTTCGCGGCCGACGGGTTCGGCGGCGCCTCCTTCTACCAGTACCTCGTCGACGCGTTCGACATGCTCTACGAAGAAGGCGGCAAGATGATGTCGATCGGCATCCACGCGCGCATCGTCGGCAAGCCTGCCCGTGCCAGGCAGTTCCAGCGGTTTTTGAGCTATATCGCCTCCAAGCCGGACGTGTGGGTGTGTACGCGGGCCGAGATCGCGGAGCACTGGAGACGGCGGTTCCCCTATCAACCCGCGTCTGTGAAGGACTGATGTGTTGCCGAACAGAAAAAAAGGAAACCACTTGACAGTCATTCTTCTCGGTGGGATATCCTGGTTGGCTCTTATTCTGCTTCGGGCAGCTGGATATAGTTGCATATGAAAGGGACGGGCTATGTACACCTCCCCCTTGACCCCCCCCCCCCCCAAAAAATCAAAAGTCTCCCCACATGGTCCAGCCGTCCATGGGAAACGTGTCCATGGCTTGAATGATGCCATCGTACATCCACGTCTCGTTGATCTGATAATCCTCCAGCACCGTCTCAAAGCTGTTCCATACACTGTCCTGAACTCTGTTTTCAGCGTATCGGTTGCCGTCGTTGTTATTGTTGTCCCCATTGTGTCCTAGAAGCGACTCCCCTCCTACAACCGCCGCATGCTGTCCCTGAGTGATTCTCCCAGAGATCCGGCTCGTCCGGCCAGATACCGACGTCGACGCCGAAAAGGGGCCGTGGTTCCCCTCGATCGTGGCCGAGACGAGACTTTCAAAGGCGTTGCGAACTTTACGAGCCGCAGGCCACCGTTCAGAGATGGCGTACAGCATGGTGCTGCAGGCGCGGATGTCGCTGCTAAAGTTCGCATCAAAGAGTGTCGGGTCAAGACAGAAGCAGTACACCAGCGCGAGGCCCGCGACAAAGTTGGCGTGCAGGGCGAGCAGCGAGAACGAAATATACGACTGGTTATTGTGTAGTCTTTTGTACATCTGACAAATTTGCCCAGCCGAGTAGGCGAACAGGCGAAAGTCCGGATGTGATGGAGACAGGGACGGAAGTAAAGGCAGGAATAGAAGCACTAATGCCTTGTGGTACTGTATCATGTGGTAGTCGGTGGTGCTGTAAGGGAGCTTCCCTTCCTTTTCGGGATGGGAGACGTACGGGATGGCAGCCTTCCACTCCTCGAGGGCATTACGAAGTTTGGCGATCTTGTGTGGATTGATTTCGGACACCGGCTTATCCACCCGACAAACGGTGTGGCAAATTTTGGATTCGAGCTGCTGGATCCTGATAATGTGGATGGCTGGTGTCAAGGAGGTGATGCCGTGTGGATGGGCCAACGACTGAGCAATGGCGGCCGTGATCTCTTCCTCCGATTCGTACGAGTCTTCAATGTTTGCTGGCAAGGCGACGTCGATATCCCTGTCCGAAACCGAGTATGGACGGCCGACAGTCCTGGCGACAGACCTTTCCAACATGTAGGCGGTCCAGAATATGCGCTTGCGCCGTTGGTCGACCAGGTTGGATAGATTGTTGGTTTTCCGATGTAGACCACAGTCGAGGCAATGTCGCATTGTTGTGCCTATCATCCACCTGTTAAAAGTCAGTCTCCAAAAAAGAGATAGAACGGCCGGTTTCCATACCATACACCCGGACCAGTGGGCGATCTCAACTGGTAGATAGACAGTAGAAGCATAGCCTCCAGGTTCTCCAGGCTTCGCACATCTGAGATTATGTCAATCTCTGTCAGGGCAGCGGCGTAATGAGACTACTGATGTTAGAACTGCTCGCTCAGGCTCCAGAGTCTCCTCGGGTGTACGAACCTCGGGCGACGGATAGGAATTGTCATCGGCCAACTGCAGATACCTGGCCCCAATGGCATAAACCAGATGTAAAATTGCATAATCAAGTCGTCTAGACCGGGCCTCTTTTGACTGCGATTGATGAGCAGACATCAGACTTGCGCGATCTCTGTTCAGGGCATGAACCCTCTTCTTGGACAAGAACGGGTGCTTGGGGTACACCTTGAGTAGATAAGTGCTGGTGAGTTCCTCTCCCATTTCGTCCGCGGGCATCTCGGCGAAAACAGCATTCTCGGATGCCGGCGGCTGCCTCGAATCCTCAGAGGTAGCAAGATGCTCTGGCCGAGGACATAGGTCTCGTGCATTCGATCCCAGATTTGGCACATTCATTGCGGATTTGACGAGCTTAGCCAGCTGAAATCCACTGGATGTGCCCAGATAAGAGTTTGGCGACAGCGCGACGAAGCCCACTCCCAGTTCCAGGCTCGGTTCCGAGTTCTCCTCCCTGTCATCGGGGCCTCGCGGCTCGACAGACACCCTTGAGGATCTGGCAGCTGCTGCCTCGTTCATGTTGGCGAGATGGTCTGCTGCCAATTTGGGATCGACGGTGGTCAGTGATTGCTCGAGGTGAGCAATGTGGTTCTCCAGCGACCTCACATACTCTGACGGGTACACTTGCTTCACGCCGTAGGAGCAAGGCTCACCAGCAGAGAGGCAGTTGGAACAAGATGGAAATTCATTGTCGCAGCGTTGTTTGCGTCCTTTGCATCGCTGGCAAGCAACGGCGCTTCGTGCTCGTCGTTTGGCTGGTCGCTCTTGCACGTCATCGTCTTGGGGACTGAAATGCTGTACTGCATGCATACTGTTTTCCTCTGTCACGCTCGGCAGGACCACTCCGATTGAAGCTAAGTTTGTTGCCGGTGACACCCCCGTGTGATCAAGGCCGGGTTCTTTGGTCTTCCTGACAATCTTCTCGTAGCATTTCGTGCACGACGAGGTTCACTCCTTACTCGTAGACATGATGTTCCTGGTGATCATACAGGAGTCGAAACACAGTTTCTTACCCGCCGGACAGGGGGCTGAGAAGATACCAGGACCATCATGTTTACCTAGGTTGATCAGTGCTTCCGACCAAGTCAGCCTCGATAGGCTTGAGATGCTCATCCGGCAGGTATCCCGAGACTAACCCACCCTTATCGTTAGCACCTTACCTGATTAGGACGGTGCTATCACGTGTCAGCAGTTCTCACCAAACCTTGATAAGAGCTTCCTGGCTTTTCTCAAGGTGGGAGAAGCCAACAATTATTATCGTTGATTCTTCCCACGCCCCGGATATGAGAATCCGAACGGACGCTATGTATCGCTCGGGCAGCTGGTCCAGCACCACAGGAGAAGTCCGCCCTTTTCTAAAGCCAGTCGTAGAATCCCACAACTAACCAGTCGAATATCCGCCACCGCGTGTTCACGGCCATTGGCTCATTTCACTTGCCCTTATCGCCTTCACTGCGAGGCTCCGATGAAAAGCGTCAAAGTCCCGAGTAATGCTATTTCTAAAGGCTAATCAATATACGGCGGATGTGCCGAACACCCCGGCTTGCCTGGGTTGGTACTTGTGGTCTTACTCTATCAGCCGATATGTCGAGCACCAGGGACCAAGTACTAACCAACAATGACCATCGCGCATTTTTGTCGAAGATAAGAAAGACAACTCATCTGTGTATGTTATCTCTGAACAGAATAGAAATGATGGTCTTGGGAGCAGCCCAGCCTTGCTAAACCGCCAGTTCTGGGCCCGATGACTGACCCATCGGATTTCCCGTCTGCTATATTCGACCTTGGCTCGTTGATATCAAAGGACCTCACAGTCGAACAGATGTCGGGTCTTTGAATTGCAGCTATAACTATATCCCACGCGTCGCTCCATGCTGGCTCGTGGCGGCCCTGACAAGAACGTTTGTCGATAACTCCCAAAGTGTCTGAGAGAAGACGCATTCTGGATAGCCTCTCCAAATATGACCATCAAATCTTTCCTACGCCGAGTCGATCAGCGGATCCAGACTCAGGACAGTAGGATCCAGAAGGCTGAAGGCACGAGGAAATGGGGAAATGAAGATCTCGACCCGACGCCGTATGTTGTACTCCTGACTCTGACGGCTCGTGTTGCTGATATACCATACAGTGTCCAGCAAAGAACATGGCGACATTGGAATTACTTCATGTTCTTCTGGGCGGTTTCCTTCAACCCGAATCAATGGAATACGGGATCAAGTCTGGTCAATCAGGGATTGGTGAGTTGTGTAGCCAACGGACCATTCATCATGAAAATGCTAACATCAAGGCAGAAATGGTGGCAGGCCCTGCTCTCCATCGCGGTGGGAAACTTGATGTGCTCGATCGTCTTGGTCATTCAATCTCGCGGACCCGCTGTCTACCACATTGGATATCCGGCTTTTGTGCGCGCCAGTGCCGGCATGTTTGGATCTCTGTGGTTCATCTTCCTCCGAGGCTGCGTCGCCATCATCTACTTTGCGACCCAGACATTCTACGCGGGGAAGCTGTTTGACGTGATGCTTCGGTGTGCATTCGGCCACAACTGGCAGGACATTCCGAACCACCTCCCCGAAAGCGCCGGCATCACCACTCGAGGCCTCGCCGCATTCTTCCTCTACTGGGCCGTACAGCTGCCCTTCATGCTGATCCATCCCCAGCGCGCCAAGTGGCTCTACACCATCAAGAGCGTGATCGCCCCTCCCGTGCTGATTGCGGTTTTCGGGTACGTGGTGGGCAAGAACGGAGGTTTGACGGGCTCGTCGGAGATCACCAAGACCACCACGACCACGGCGCTCGGCTGGGCGTTCATGAACGGCATCAACTCTGTCAGTGGAAGCATCTCGCCCGAGATCATGTCCAACGCGGATCTCGCCAGGTACGCCAAAAAGCCCTCGGACGCCGCGTGGGCCCAGGCCGCGGGTATCTTCACCAGCAAGACGTTTGTCATCTTCATGGGCATCGCGTGCTCGAGCGCCTCGCTGAACCTCTGGGGTACTGCGTACTGGAACATGTGGGACCTCCTGGGCGCCATATTGGACCACAACTGGAATGCCGGAGCGCGAACAGCCATCTTCCTGGTCTGTCTCATCCAGGCCCTCGCGGTCATGGCAACCAATCTGGCGTCAAACTGCTTGCCCGTCGGCGCCGACTTGACAGGCTTGCTCCCCAAATACTTCAAGTGAGTCTCTCTCTCGGGTCCGCTGTGACGAATGCTATTCCATAACCTTGCTAACCGCCATCAACTTTAGTATCCCGCGTGGTCAGGTCTTTTGCGCAGTGATCAGCCTTGCTGTGGTGCCCTGGAAACTGCAGGCGTCGGCACAGACGTTCCTGACCTTTTTGGGGTCCTACGTCGTCTTCATTGCCCCGGTCATCTCTGTCATGATGTAAGTCTTCTTTTTGCACCCCAACTTATGTCGGCTGGTTAGTTTCCTGTGCTGACAATATTGCGTTTCAGTGTCGACTATTGGGTCGTGCGCAAGGGCAACATTCACGTGCCGTCTCTATACGACGACAGTCCCGACAGCCCTTACTTCTACTGGAAGGGGTTCAACCTCCGCATGTTTGCGGCGTGGATTGCCGGCGTCGTCATTGTCATCCACGGGCTTGCCGGGTCATACAACCCCCACTTCAACCAGGCCAGCAAGGACATGTACACGATGGGATTCATTCTGGCATCCTTGACGGGCGCCCTGGTGTATTACATCCTGGTCCGCATCTGGCCGATCAACCCGTATCCGGCGGATCGTGCTGGCATGCCCATGACGTTGGAGTACCTCGGTCGCACAGACGGGTATTTTGAAGACGACGTTATCGATGGAGTCGGCAGCGAGCACCGGCAGGAGGTCTTTGACGAAATGATGCCGTCCAAGGAGAAGGATGTTGCGCGCACCTTCACCACGCTGGCCTGAAGCATTATTTTGCACTGGCGGGTTAGAGAATGGACAAGTGCGACCAGGGGGCCGATAGCGGCAGAGTGCATGCTATAACCAAACGTATCTGGTAGTATAGAGTTCTCGGCGGGGTGTTTGCAAATTCCCAAAGACATGTTTGTAAAGCATCTTTGATGGACGAAGGTCGCTCTCAACCGCACCACTGTTTTGTCATGAACAAGTGTTGTGCCTCTCTGACAACAACATGTAGTATCTGATCAGTCAGTTGGGACGAGACAAATCACTCGGAGACATGGGGCTGTAAGAGAGGAAATTGAGCGAGGCACAGCTCGTCGATGAGTAGGGCGATGCACAGATCCAGGTAGCGTTTATGGCCGTCACAGAGAGCGTGTCTCAGTCGGAGCTCGCTGTCCTCAACTAGATCTCTCGCCTCTGAGTTTGTGGTCAGGGAGCTTCAGTTCAATCCCATCCCGCATGCATGCAAAGTCACAAGGGCCTCCGAGTAGACACATCGCTTCCGGCTTATTGGAGATTGTGATTTGTTCAATTTCCGTTCGCCTATTAGCGGGTCGATCAAGTGTGGTTGATTGCCGAGTCGGTGTCATCGCCGGCTAATGTTTAAGGCATCGGCATTTCCTAACGCCAGTCAAGGAACTTGCCGAAAGGATCCCTCTCGCGCACTGGCTCCTGCTTCTGCCCCGTTCTTATCTGCAGATCCTAGCGTTGACTTTCGGCAGTGCCGATATCAAGTCAACGCAGAAGCTTGATTATCCGAGTAAAAGGGGCTCGGAACATGCGAAACTCTCCTCGTCAGCGACCCCGAACGTTCTGATCGTCCCTGTACGCGCGTTACTGATTTGCGAAGAGGACCCAATGGAGCTATCCCGAGAGAAGCTGTCCAGATGTTGCTGTTGGTGCATCGGCGTTGCACGGATTTTTGGTAAATTCATGACAGAAAAGAACCACATCCCCATATCCACTTGATCTTCGTGGATCATAATAAAATGCATCCATTGGCTCTGCAACGCATGAACGCTGGATGTCAGTCAGACACGGCGACTTTGGGCCTTGCATTGAACGGATCGACGGGTCTTTGTCACCGCTGGAACCTGGGATTTCGACCGTTTCATTCGTTCTTAATCCAGCTTTGTGCAGGTCGGTTACCTGCTCTTCATACCAAACAGCTGTTGTTGACATGAGCATGGATGGTGCATATATGCAAAGTCTGGTTGTGGTGTTGTGTTCGCCATTTGTACTTTTCCCTGCCATTCCCTTCTCGAGTCCTGCCATCCTCGGGCTTTTGTGCTAGGTGAAGGAGAAGTCGATACTCGGCCGAAGGTCCTGCTTTGACGACCATGACCGAGTCTGCTTCTAGAAATGATTGCAACGAGCACCATGAAGCACAGACGATTGCTCAGGAGGCCAACCACGAGATAAAATCCGTCCCAGTCACCATCACCAAGGATGGAACATCAGACACCAGCGCGACAAAACCAGAGGCCAAACCGCAGACTGAACTCACGGACCAGACTCAAAGATTGCCCTTCGCACGGCTGATCATCGTCTACTTGTGTCTGGCCATGTGCTTCTTTGTCTCTTTCCTGGATGTTAACTCGACAACGACCGCACTACCAGCAATTGCTCGATCGTTGGGGATTTCTAGCACCATCACCTGGGTTGGTACATCATACCTTCTGGCCCAGTGTGCCTTTCAAGTACTTTACGGCCGACTGGCGGATATCTTTGGACGGAAGCCTGTCTTGATCGGCTGCGTGCTCAGCCTGATCATCGGCGATATTCTGTGCGGATTCGCCAAGAATGGGCCCTGGCTCTACACCTGTCGAGCCATTGGAGGTATCGGCGGCGGAGGCATCAGTTCTCTGGTTCAGATCACCGTCAGTGACCTGGTGTCACTGA